ACTGACTACTAAATACTACCTACTGTATAAACCTTGATCTACTTGAAAACCACTCAACTTTAGATAAGTGATTTTTACTTAAAATAAGCTATTTTTAACTAAGGTACAACGGATTGTTTGATAAGATTTAAAAATGCATATATCTCAGGGTTAAACTACTATAAAATTCAATGCCAAAGAGCATTGTCAGAGATAAACATTGCAAGATAAGCAAATATCTTCAGCCAATATTGAATTCAACTCATTGTCGTTAAACCCATACTGAATGTATGAGTTTTAAACACATAAAAATATGAGAAGGATAAGTATTACAAGGCCAAAGTTCAATGATCGTTTCTATTTTGACTAGCTACTTACTTTATTTAGAGTAATTCAACATATAACATAATTTTGATTAATACCGATACAAAAGACATCAACGCGCGATCTCTTTCATTATTTTTATTGAAAACCTTTTATTTATCTAATAAATTACCTTACACGAACTGAAACTGTTAACAATAGTTACGTTATTTAATGTAACAAAGTAGTTAAACTACTCAACTACTATACTATTACATCTTATTAGCGATCGTAGTTAGGCTAAGGACGCACGAACAAGCAATTATACGAGTTAGTAGACAATCAATAGTCTACTGAGTTGACTCCGTACACAACTTTGGTATTAACTACGTAAAGTGTACAGTACAAATGATACTAATCACTTAAATTCGGTATTAAATCCAAAAATAGATTTTTACTGACTAAAAATACGTTTTAATTTGAATAATGACTATACTTTGCCATTGTTTTTTTTTTGTAACCATCACATCTAACGTCAATTGAACAAAAAGCAAGAGAATAGGTAATGTCGTAACTATTGTTATCTTTTTGGTATTTTATTTGAATAATTTCGTAATACATACTCAAATATACATGTATACGTACTTAGGCACATGTTCATTTTTCATACTTAAATAAACATGAGTATTAAGCTGACTTTACTTTACTTGGTATTGTCAAATGTTACCAAACGTCATAATTTTTATATACACAGCTTAAATATACATATAGGTACTTACTATTTATTTAACTACGTAATTTGGTGTCAAAGTCATATAAATAAAGGTATGAAATAAAAATAATGTTAATTTTATTGTTGATATGAAATTTCGTTCCACTTAAAATAAACCAAAGGAAAATCGCTTCTTTGTCAACAAGTAGTGCCCAGTAGTGAAAGCTTCAGAAAAGCAATTATAAAAATAACATTTCTTATATTTGTAAAGCCGAAAGTTAATTTAAAACTACGCCGGTCCTTCTAGAACGGATCGGCGATTCCAAACTTATAATTAGAACTTATAAGTGTCGGTTTGTTTATCAGTGATGTCTGAACAAACTTACAAAATAATATACTATTCCTCGGAAAATGTCACATTGATACTTTTAAAGTTTCGACTCCGGCCCTATCGCGATAAAAATGGGATATTTATATTCTAGATTGGGCCAGGTATGGGCGGGTGTCGATAGGGCAATGTGTAACCATGGAGGTACGATAAAATAGTAATGAATATTATTTATTTCAAGAAAGTCCCATTATACTTTGTTTTAAGTTAAAGTGCGATAGTGAATGGATTAGCCTTTCAAAACACAGAATACAATTGACATTTCAAACGTCTTGCAAAACAATTCAGAAGGTTTATATTCTAAACAGGACAATGATACCAAGGCTCAGGACAACAGATAGGTAGACTTTAAAAGTTTTGAAGTTTCTTTATTTATTTTAACCTTTCAATAGTGGTGATTAGAGACAAAATAGAATAACAATAGGTGCGCGAACGCTTCGCCTGAGGTTTGATAAAATAATTCGTTCCAAGAATTCGTAATAGATAAGGAAAATCTTGACCTTGTAAGTTTTAAAATAAGAATAGAAATGTTTTCACTTCACTAACAATAGTAGTACCTAGTTAATTGTTTACCACTATGTAGGTAAGTATTGTGCTCCAGTTGACTTATTGTTTGTTCTCAACATTTAAAACTATTAGCGTTAACTAAATACACTTTAAAAACACGTTTGCCATTACCTATTGGTACAAAAAAAATTGTCATAAATTGAGAATAATATTTATTTTTTAAGTTCGTAAATAGTCAGTTTGAGAAGTTATCTGACTACGGTAATGTAACAAGTCATTTATCTTAATCTAACAATCTATGCGATATTCATTTATAAAATTACTTTTTCTCTAGGGTTGCGGAGTATCATCTATTTTCTATACTAATAAATATTATGTATATTATAAATTTTGTAGCTTTTGAGTTTGTTTCTTAGTTTGAACGTGAAAGTCTCCGGAACCAGGTGCTTAAATTTAAATTTTAAATTTTAAATTAATATTTCTTTATGTGTTGGATATAAACATCATCCATCGAGCCGACATACATACGAGCAAATAATAAAATGTTAAAATAGTACCTACTTAGACTTTATACCTATGTATCCCATAAAGTGAATGGTAAGACCATGTAATCTATAAAATCATTCTGTTGCCTCACTGATTTATTGACTGCCAGAGTGTGTCATCAATGATAATTATAACTTGTTACAATGAATATTCAGTTAATTCATATGTGTAAGTGTTGTGTACATGCAGAATGACATAGTAAAAACAAAAGGTACAAATGAATGCAAGGGTAAAGTCACATGTGCCTTCCCACTTCTAACCAGCACCTAGCTTCACTGACGAACAGACTTTCAACTAATATTCTATTTTAACGTGTCAAAAATACCTTTTATGGTTTAGTTGGAATAAAAGGTTTGTATTAACTAGCCTTTGCACAGACATGAATACAGTTACATATAATAAAAGCATTTTTGGAAATTTTACGTAGTCATAGCAACAAACATAATTTTTTTAGGAAATGAACACTACGCTAAGTACTATTCAAGGTTTCCTGTTGCTACTAAGAATTTTGCAACGGAAAAACCAATGATTTTCCCCTGTTTAGTATGTACACTTAAGGTTTTAGTGTGGGACACACTGGCAATAATAGATTTGACTACATTTGCAGTTTTAGTAAAAAATAGCATGCAAAAACTTTGTTCAACTCATTCAAAATAATTGGTGGTTCTATCTTAATGAAATATTCCTAGAAATATTTGAGGAAACGGTGGTTAAACTTAAAACCTAGTTAAACAAAAACTTCACGGTAATAATCGTCATAGTTAATCCTACTTATATATACGTGTATATTATTTTATTAGTGCAACTAGTAATTAACGTTTGTTACTCTTTCTATTAAAAGCCACTAAGCGGATCTAAATAGATTTGGCATATACATAAGATTATATTCTGGAATAGAAGACTTGGCGAGCGAATCTGATGGTATAGCTCACTAAACAAGCTTACGGATACCGATAACAAATCAGCACCATGGACACCCGTTACACCAAAGGAATCACAAGGGCGATGCCTTTTGTGGATTTAAGGGGGATTGGGCCTCCGCCTAACGGCGAAACACAACGCGTTTTTTCACGCCCATATTCTGTAACGCCTTTATATCACTCTGGTCTGGCCGGACCATTTATACCAATTTATACCATTCGGTACAACGGCTTTCAGGCACTTAAACTTATAGACTCCGGATATGACGAATAAGTAAATGAATATGTAAGTACACAGAGCATGTAACAAAATTTTGTCATTATGTAACAAAAACAAGCGACCGACGAACTCAGGGTCAAGTTGTACTATTGAACTTGACGTGCCGTAAATAGCAGATTTCGGTGATAAACCTCATCGACTTCTCATGCTAGTGTCTATTATAAGAATTAAGTATAAATGACACTATTTTTGAGGTCGGAAAATCATGATGTGATTTCTCCTGCTCTGGGTTCGGCGTGATGGAGTGACTCTTACTGACCAAAAACCACCCATCCTTCTTTCACCTGGATGGTGCCCAGCTCCAGGCAATAAAAATGTTATTCATTAATTTAAACCAAAGAGTCTCTTCAAAAAAGAGTTTCTTGAATACTAAGAACAAAATTAGCTCTGACATTTTAACTATACCTTCAATATAATGAGTATCATCATCGTCAAAGACACTATGGCATTTCCCAAGAAAACAAGATTTAAAAGAAAATCAATTAACTACTTCAAGCCGATACGACCTTCATAACTTTAAGAAGAAGAGTGTAAAAAAAACCTAATTCTCTTTTCAAAAATGCGAACGCACTTACGGTGGTGGACAGCGCGCTGACCTCCTTCCGTCAGATGATCAGTCTGCTCGTTTACCTAGTATTCTATAAAAAAAAATAAAAAAACAACGGAACTTCGTGTAGCTAGTAACTGTATCCAAGTTTGGCAAATAAACCTTTTCGTTTGATTATTATATACCTACCTACTTACAAATAGAATTGGTTAGTATAAAAAGTTAATCAACATTTGCCTCTGATTAGAAACTTGGAACAAGGTTGTTCACGCTCTAGCTCCAGCCCTTATTTCGTAATTTGAATACGTTTTCCTATCTACGAACAATCAACAACAATAACTCGAGATACCATAACTTTCCGTTGCCTTAACAGTATAAACGGTGGCGGTGACCTTAAATTAAAGTCATTGTCTGTTGTTTATCTACATAATACGTATACAATATATATTAAGTAAAACATAAATTAAATATTTATATCATAGAGCTGAAGAGTTTGTTTGTTTAGTTGAAATCGCGAATCGAACTATTATTGTTTTTGTCTTGGTTATAAAACTTCATTCTACGAATAAGTAATAGGAACCGTGCATCGATTACATAACTAATTGGGTATAATTATAGCAATTTTTGTGCCTAGCCTTCTCCAAAAACGTAAATGATGTCTTTGATAACTTGTGGTAGTGGTAGGTAAGCATAAGGAAGAATATGAAATTTCCCTTTTCTTTTGACGTGGTTAAAATACACACGATACAAAGAATATAATTACCTACCCACTTTTGACCGTATGTAATATTAAAAATGTTCAATGTAATTATTTTCAGAGGATATGTCAGAAGCGGTGGAAGGTGGTGCAGCGTTAGCGTGGCGGTTGCTCGCGACGCTGGAAGGTGGCTCGATACTCCTTGCTACCTCTGCACTCCTGGCATACACGGTCCGCAAGAAAATCGCCGCACAACACCGAACGGGGAGGAATATACGACGCGTTTTGGTAAACACCCACATAATTATGTAGATTTCATTAGGAATATACATTTTTCGTCAATTAGGTATGTTTTTGTACCGTTATAATTGCATCTATAAAGATAAAATCCACATCCTCATCATATTCATTAGATAATTTTTAACATTTTGTAATTAGTACGTAGTCATTTATTACATCGATATATTTTGTGGCAGAATTTATACTAAGCAGTAGATAATTAGAACAAACCTGCCTTGAACTTGTCATAAAAACAATGCTTCTTGAAATAACTTGAATGTCCCTATAGACTGCGTTTAAATACATCGTGAACAACACTGATGTCATCGTAATTGAGTACTCACGAATTGATTGTTGTCCTAACCACTGCACAGTTTTAAGATAAGTGCCTATCTGCTGGTAATGACATAGCAAAGACGCGTCCTTTAACATGATGACTCTCATCCGGTAGGCAGATGGTTATTAGCAAAGATCATTACAGGTAACAAACACGACTAACTTATTAGGAAGAGAACTGAAAAGGCGATTGGAGAAGCGTGGTTGTATCGTGGCCACGATAGACCAGATCGTAGACAACGAGGAGGTAAGCAGCCTGAGGAGTCAAGCGAGCCAGGCTAAAGTCGACGCCATCGTCATCGTAGGCGCAGAACCAAAGGCTGATGGCCTAGACGGCATGGCCAGACTCGTCACAGAAGATGTTTACGATAATCTAAAGGTAATTAGAGCGCCAAACTATTTTAATTACTCTTAATAAGGCCTATTATGAAAACAACGCACATTTACGCATGTTTAAAGGATGTAGCAATGGTTTTGAAGTGTATTTGTTATCTTCTAACTTAATGTAGGTCAAGTTAATAATAATTTGTGCGTAATATACATTAGGTAGGTACTTTGTTGAGTTAATAAATAAAAAATGAATAAGCCATTTAGCACTGTTACGAAGTCGTTATCTAAGGACCTTAATTAAAACATGCATTTCACAACAATTTTAATTATAAGCTACAAAAAAGTTAATGCAGAAATCTGTAATTTAAACATATTTGTCTCTCAAGAAATCTATACTTACCTAATCTTTTTTCTTCAAATTATCCCTAACCATTAACTTCGAGTAATCTTTTATTTACACCATAGAATTGAACACAAGAACGACTAACAGTATGCACACTTGTAAGTCAACTCACTCCTATCTGCCAAATCCCTTTCTTTATGGCTTTATACAGGGCAGCATTTTAAACGAGGGACATATTCAAGGAGCCGATTTTAGAGCTAAATTACAACTTGTTCCATGGGACCAATAACGATCAATACTATATCAATAATATTTTCCCATAAAAATCGCAACAGCTGATTGACCATTTTGCATGGAGAAGTACATTCTTTTTGTCATTTCTATAATGGTTTTATGGAAAAAGTTTTATTTGAGCGCCAGAATCGGGTCCTTCAATATGCCTTGTTCAAAATACCACCCCGGATAGTTTTCTATTTTTTTTGTAGGAAATATAATGAAGAAATTCTATGTGTATATAAATAAATTTGATATTAGCTCTTAGAATCACTATCGTGGTGTGTCCAACGCGGTGGTCGCATAGCGTGGGCGTGCGCGGGCGACACGGCTGGAGCCTTCAGCGACGCCGGCGCAGCGTTCGACACGGTCCTGTGGGCCAGTCTGAAACATGTAGCTAAAGTGTAAGTTAAGTAATCACTAATATAATTATGTAATATGTCGAGCGTCGTGGTGGCCCGGAGGTTAAGGCGCCCGCTTCTCATGCATGAGGGTGCGGGTTCGAAACCTGGCAAGTACCAATGTGACTTTTTCCGAGTTATATGTACTTTCTATGATTATTTAGACACCACTGAAATACGGTGAAGGTAAACATCGTGAGGAAACCTGGACTTATAATTTCTAATTATAAGTTTGAAATCGCCAACCCGCATTGAGCAAGCGTGGTGATTAATGCTCTAACCTTCTCCGTATGAGAAGAGGCCTTTGCTCAGCAGTGGGCATTTATAGGCTGATGATGATGATTATGTAATATATGTAGACGGTACGGTTGGCGCGGTGGCAGGGCAACTGGCTGCCGCGCAACGTGTCGCGTGTTCGATTCCCGCACGGAACAACTCTTTGTGTGATCCATAGATTGTTCTTCCGGGTCTGGGTGTGATATGTTTGTAAACGCACCCACGAAACAGGAGAAATTTCTAGTGTGGGGCAACGTTGTTAAAAAAAAAGGTGCCCGCCCGTACATGATACTATAGGCTCTCTCTATCACACTCGAAACATAGCTAATGCAAGAAAACCATGAAGACATTGTAAGCGGATCTGATAAATAATATAAATAGCTTTGTTCTCAACCTACATGTAAAGAGACAGCCTGATCGGGAAGAAGCATGACTTCCCCACACTTAAACCGTACACATTCAGTCCAGACTCGATGAGCAAAAACCTAGAAAAAACTGTGTGTATTTCTGACTATATATACTGTGTGTGTATTACAAAAAGTTTTTTAACATTTTAGTGTTATATTTCATTTCAGTTCCCACTGTGAACCTATCTGGGTAGGTCGGTGTGAGGCAGCGGAGCAGGCGGCCGAGCGAGTGGTGGCCGCCCTCACCTGCCACGACGCGCCTCATACTTCTAGGTTCTCTGTCAGGTAACCACTACAATACTGCAAACATATCTACATTGTCTTACAAACACCTAGCTTCACCGACGGATAGTCAGTCGGACGAGTTTTTTTTTGGCGATTCACGTTTTAATTGCGGTAATAAGATCCACAATAGGTGCGCGAACGCCGGGGTTCGTTTGAGGTTTCATGAAAATACTGAAGAACAGACACCGTCATTATACTCATCATCAGCCCTGTTTTCATTTCCGTGTGGACAGCCCGGTCCTGCGGACTTTATAGCCGGGAGATAATCATCACATATCTTACCCAAGTTGATGCAAGAGTAGTGTTAGACTAGACAGAAATCGCCGCGAAGGCCGAGGTCGCGGTACCTAATTGCGCTTGCCCCACAACCCCGGCTGACCATTATTAATACCACGTGGCCGTATTACTTAGTTCCCTTAAAAAGATTAGGCTAATATACCTACTGCAGTTTTTAGCAGAAAATATATTATTATTAATAATAGACAATAGATAAACATTCCGAACAATAAACAATGCAATTGCAGGTAAATCGGCTACCGAGAATCCTTATCTTATCTAACTTATGTTAAAACCGCAACTCGGCCTCTTTTATATTATTTTAAATTACCTACAATGTGGTACCTAATTCCTGTAAGACGATTTTGTAAGACAATACAACAATACAATGTTTAATGGATATTTGTGGTTCCAGTAACAAATTTTGTAGGCCATGTGGGATTAACTTAGTGTCTATTATGGTTTCCACTAAATTTGTAAATGGATTTAACTTTTGTCATTATCATTCTTTTTAAGGTAGGTACTATCCAAATTAATATTATTAATCCGAAAGTAACTCTGTCTGTTTGTCTCTCTTTTCTTCACGCCTCAACTACTGAACCGATTTCTGTGAAACTTGGTACAGAGATAGTTTCGAACTGGAAAAAGGAAATAGGATAGTTTTTTACCAACAATCTGTAGGAAGTCACTATTCCATGCGAATGGAGTCGCGGGCAAAAGCTAGTGTCTTATAATTCGTTACCAAAGAAGAAAAACAAACCAAGCACTCAAAACTTTCAATACTTTGATATGTTACAATATGTAAATCAAAGTCATTAGCTCTAGAGACAGGAACCAAGTATTATTATTATCAATGTGCTAAGTCAAAGTATGTTTCCAATTTTCCAGAAATGCCGCTCACCGGGTCGGGGAACGCCTGTGTAGATGGCTGAAGATAGTAACATAAGACTTCTACCTCTTCTCCTCGAACGAAATGATAATTGTAAAGCTGTAATATAAGATCGGACGCTAGTAGACAATAAACTGTACGATACGACCATTATTGTATTTTATATTATTAATTAATAAATTAAACATAAGAATATTATAAGCAATTTTGTGTTTATTATTATTTATTGTACCTTTACCCAAAACTTACAGTTAGCCTAACATTTAATTACGTAATTCAAACTCATTAGTAATGAATGATAATCAATTAGATAATTATCATAGCCTAAATAATGTTAGGTACTTAGTCCATAGCAAGTAGTTCGGCGCATTTGTGGCTATATTAGGTATAATTAATCAATAAATGCGATTAATGGGTACATGAATATATACTCATATCCTACAAACACTTAAAATAACCGTCCACTAAACAATGTGGAGGAATGAAAATGAAAGGATTTACAGATTGGATAGGTTAGTTGTGTTATGAATGGTGTGAAAGAGAAACGAATCTGAATAGTATGATTTTTGATAGCGAAGAATAGAAAATGAAAACCGTTGTCCTTTTTGAGTGGGGAAAAAGATCCATCCACTTAGGGTGAGGCGAATAAAAAGTGTCAGACTCTTACTGACTAAAACAACTACTACGTTTCTTCTCCTGCTCTAGATCGTGGAGCGATATACCTACATAATTGCATTTTATCCGCAACCCTGGTCGCGGCTGAAGACTTTAGTTCTAAGCAACTACATATCCAGTCTCCCAAATCCACCCCAAATCATCATCATCAGTTTCTTTTAGATTCCTTGGTGGGTAGCTTAATAAATATGTATACAGTAGTCCCTACACGGAATACTGATAAAGAATGATCTTAATATGCAATGAGAGCCTTTTGGAAAACGATACGCAATGCACGTTTTGTCAGAAATACTATTTAACTAGGTGCATAGGTTTGAAATATGCTGCTTTACAATGTTATATACACAATATATAGACCAAAATAAAAGATATATTAAATAATTCATTCATTGCTTCATATTTAAGTAAGATATATCTAATATTAGGTTCTAAGACTGTATTAGGAGGACCTACGTAGGTACATTTCTCAACCAGAATGATCTCTAATTAAATGAACAAATTCTACATGTATAAACATAGTATCACAGGCAAAGAGAAACAATTAGCATGCGTGTGTGTGTTATCGCTGTTATATTTAATTAAATAATGTAAAAGATTGCTGTATCACCAAGCCAGGGGAGAGGAAAATCTAAGAATATCATGCGTTACCCTAAACTAAAACACTACCATTATATTACTTCCTTAATATTACCTACATTGGTAAATTTGCAAATATATACTACTCTTAGTACTACTTTTTGGCTATTATTAATCTTATCTTCTTTAAAAAAGGCAAACTCCTATTCGAAAATAGTGCGCAAAATCACACTTATTAGCAACAATATAATTTTATTGTACGTTCCACCATAAAGGTAAACAATAGTCTTTTATAATAATGGCCTTTTTGTGACCTTCAATGGGGGCTGCGCGTGCGCCTGTGCCTCGATTACTGTGTGACTAACACCCCCGTGACACCCTTTCCCTATTGTTAGCCAGTGGGTATAAATTTCCTCAGGCACTTAAAGAATTATCAGTTACTCGCTAGCTGTCGCAACGGAAGGTTCTCTTTTCGTGACGTCACGGGAAATTTTGCTAATTAATTTGCCGAATATTCCGTAGTGTTAACAGTTGTACCATAATTTCGCGTGCATATTGTGAAATTATTACAACAAAGTGAGTGCCATAGTGAATTAAGAACATTGTGCTAAAAATATTCGAAAAGTGGACTATATTAAAGTATTATAAGTGCTTTATAAGTTAATCAGTGACCATGAGAGTGATCATCAAAATGTATCCTCCAGGAAGCAGAAGAACCACTCCTGTACAAGAGACGATCAATGAAATGTATCCTCCAGGAAGCAGAAGAACCACTCCTGTACAAGAGACGATCAATGAGGTAGGTGTACCTTACAATTTTATAATCTTACTAGTTTTTGTCGCGCGGTTTCACTCGCTGCTCAGCTCCACTTGATTGTAGCGTGATGTTTTATATCCTATAGCACTCGGGAACATTGTAGCTATCTATCAGTAAAAGAATTTTGGAAATCCGACCAGCGGATCCAAAATAACCCCCTACATACAAACTTAAAAAACCTACAAATTTTACCTCTTTATAATATTAGTATAGATATATATAGCTTCTGTTGCGCGGTTTCACTCGCTTTGGCTCCTACAAATCGTAGCGTGATGTGTTATAAGCCTGCCTCGATAATCAACAAACACAAAAAGGATTATTAAATATTTAACCAGAAGTTCTGTAGATTAGCGCGTTCAAACAAACAAATAAACTCTCCAGCTTTATAATATTACCTAGTATAGATATGTAAAAATGAATTGCTGTTTGTTAGTCTCGCTAATACTTCAGAAACGCTAGACCGACATCGCATATTGTGGTGGAAATATTCGTGGATGTTCAGGGAAGGTTTAAAAGCTCAGAAAAAAATATTAGAAAAAAATAGACGCGGTACAGGGTTCGCCGGGTCAGCTAGTAAATAATAATAAATTATGTTATTAGTACTTACTTATTGTAATATGAAACTAGTCTACTAAATACTTTTTAATTCTGAGTTACCTAATGCTTTTTTATGTTTTATTTTCGTATTAAGATTTACTTTTGACCTATTGATAAAATTCTAGAACTTATAATACTTTTCATATTTAAGTAAAATGTTGGACTACACTCAAACGATTTTTCCAGGGGTGTAGGTAGTATGTATAATTATGTCATTTATAATTTTTAAATATGAACGGTAAAACTAGGAAATTTATTAACTTTAGTAGGATTCCTAACCGATGAAATTTCAATTTCAATATTGCCTTTCTTCATTGCAATTTGAAGAAGTTACATGACCTTTCAGTATTGAGAGTCTTTGATATTCCAATAGAAATTCAAATTCTTTATTTGCATGTTAAGGTGGGTCAAGGATCTTAAATTATAATAACAGGCACAGCTTAACGGCCTTTTTCAGGCGTTGCAAAGAGGGCTATTACTAGCTTATAAAATAATATTAAATTACTCAATTTACATCACATTGCATAAAAGAGAAAAAAAATAAACAAAAAAGTTTAGAATTAGATAAATAATAAAAAAGAAAAAAGTTGTTAGTTGAGAAATTTCGTTAGCTGTAATAACACACGTAAACGTTATTAATTAAATACCAATTGCCTCAATCGTGGTATAGTCGCAGGATGTAGATATTTTAATAAGTACCTATAAGTACTTACATTCGTAAATTGTAAGTTAAGCACCGATCATGATATTTGACCATACTTATTTGATAATTGTAAAAAAGTTTTTTAATATTGACGCCATAATTCATTAAATTTTAGGATAGTTCACACCGGGTTACACGGCTACAACCACCTTTCTCTGATGCATAATATACGTGTAATCTATTAAAAACGTGGTGATAGCAATGTAGATATTCCTCAAATCCTAGATTTTGTATTTCGTACTCTAAACTGTGGATAAGATTAGAGGTGATCTTTTGCATTTACTAAAATCCATTTAGCTAAAACGATTTCGAATTTAAATCAAGTTATTTATAAGAATCAGATCTATTGATGTTTACCTACAAAGTCTTTTTAAATTGTAACTTCGGTACTTTCATTGAATACCATCCTACTCGACATACTTCATATATTATCTACTATGAACGTTTCGAGAACTTCCTCCGAGTACAATGATAAACGCAAGTAAAAATCTAATATAAGATTGACCTGTGGCCGCATAACTAAAATGTTACGTAGGTATTTTCTTCCGACGTGTCTAATATAAATATTTTCTCTTATTAGCATCAATTACTAGCTCTACATAGTTAAAACTTAATCCGTATTACTAAATACATTGACATAAATATCGAACGAATACCTACTTATAAGATTAACTGCAATACAAACATGTCTCGTCGTTTCCGTATATCTTTTTTGTGAGGGGAAAATCATCAAATGACTTCTCCCACCCAGGGCGGGAGGGAGTGTCAGAATCTTACTGACTAAATACCCGTTTCTCTTCTCCTGCTCTGGGCAAGGTCGCGGTACCTCGTTGCGCTTAACCCACAACTCCGGCTAGTTTCCGTATGTCTAAAACAATCACTATCAGACGCAAATGTAGCTACTTCCCATTTTCTTATGTTTAAGCCATACGCGGAATCTTATTTGTGTAGTGGAGAGCCGTACAATGTGTATAGGCTCAAATCATATAACAACACAAGCCAATCAACGTCTACATATAGGTAGTACCCACCTACATAATGCAATAAAGTATACCTTTTTACGCTATAGTATACCTGTATAATTAGGACAATTTGAAATTTAGTGCGATTGACTTGTTTAAATCAAGTGCAAAATTATTACCTACTACACTGTTGTCAATAGTTATATTCTATTCCGTGGTTATATCAATATCATTGAAGTAACTGTTACTAGGTGCATAATAACAATTCATAATGTAGAATTAAATAATAATAGGTTTTTACCTATGAAATTGCCGTTCTGCAGTACTGGCCATTTCAAATCAAAATAGTTTTTATTCATTGATAAACATGGGATTCTTTTTCCAAAAGTAGTCATTTGTTTAGTGATTAGTGTTACATTTTCATCGCATTTCAAATCAAAAAATTCGTTTAAATTTTTTAATGCAAAACGGCAATATCATATCACCTATTAATATATTATGCAATTATGGACGATGTTATCCTTACAAATAGGAAATAAATTATTACGGATCGGGCGGTTTCACATTTTATTTCTGGCTGTTGTCGTCTGTCTCTGGAAAATGGTCCACATCACATCTTGGATCTGTATGTTATCATCAATAGGATTATTGTAGCCAACAAGTTTTAATATATCTAGTAATAATAAACCGACTAACACGCCACACGATGATAAGAACTTCGTATAAGTTCCGTAAGTCTTGAAATATTGAAAGTGGACTCGGTTAACATTGCGCCGATAGTTGGATCGGCCAACGGATTAGTCCCCAAAAGGAATCACAACCACCTTAGGAGGCTGGAATTGTATGGATAGGTTAGGCCTGATGCAGACGGCAGTTCTTCTTGAGACTGCACGTAGCTATAGTGAGGAATTTTCTTTCAGTGGAGACCTTACCACTGACTTGGAGCATGTTCCCGCTTCCGACTCCCGATTTACCGTCATCGGGAAATAAATATTAATTTATATAAGAGTTACTTACATTGAATTGAAAAACACGAAGTAGAATAGAGTGAGCAATTCCAAAACCAATTCATAAAAAAAACGTTAGGACTAAATTAATTTCAATTCAATTCATCTTTAGGTATTGTAGATCACAGGTAATTGAACCTACATGATACAGATTGTGTTACGTAATTGAATATTTAACGTACAACCATGTCCTAGGTACTCTTATAGCGTACAATGAAATATTGGAACCTATCTTGACTCTTAATTTTCAACAATGATATAATTATCTAGTTTTAAATTATTGAATGATTCACACATTGTTGGAGTACCTACTAAATTACAATAGTTAAACCGTTTATAAATAAAAGGGTCTCTTCTCATAATGGTTTTGTCAGTTGAAGGTATATCTACCAAAGAAATCATGCACGGCTCACGGCCAATAGCATTCAGCAGCAACAGTTCTTGGTTTTTTATTTATGATTTGACACAAATTTTAGTAGGTACCTACATCACCCTGCTAAACCACAACAAATTACGCTTACTTTAAAAAATGAGAATATTATTATTTAATCGACTTCAAAATTGGATGTTCCCACTACAGCAAAAAACGGACGAATGAAAATTTATTTCATTTACACTAAAACTTTAAATTTTTAATTTAGGTATACAGAAGACCCTAACGAATTTCTGTCTTCTCTTCTAAATTTTATCCTAATATTACTAAAATATTAACGTATAATCTTCCACAAAGTTGTATAAATTTTGCTTTCAATCAATTCTTGATAAAATTTTCAAAATCGCGCTATTCTAACTTTACAGCAATAAGTACTGCGCGTTCCTTCCACCTCAATCTCAATAATTATTGCGCATAATTAACGTAGGTATTTTAAATACATACCGATGGATTTAAAAAAAATTACATAATTTTAATTGGTTACGAAAATGACTTTTCTTCAGATGAGAGGGTATTCTAGAATTTGTTCAATTTGTTGATGAATGTCCCTAGAACGGTAATAACACAGGTAATTATTTATAGGCGCGCTTAATAAATTGCTATAGCTAAAAACATGTCACTACGGTGCATGCGTTCTTAGACAAAATAATTATAATGACTGGCAACCCTGCATGAAGCTGTCACCTTTCGCAATGGAGTGTTGGACGTGTCCGTAAAAACAAAATTTCCTTTTTATTTACTTGTAATGCTGTTACCACTTTAACAGTTATACCAAATACCAATTACGATTATGTTAAGTTTGTGTGGAGTTTGGTTTGCTTCAAATTCGCTGCTTAAACATGGAAGAGGTAATTTGTTAGGTTACCAATGTTACCATATTTTTGTTGTGTCACAATACAACCATGATATCGTGTGGTTATTTTACAAAATTGTTTTGTTTTGTTTTAGGAACTTAACGAGCATGATTTGGAGGAAAGGCTGTATGCTATGCTACATCATGTGGACGAGACAGAGGGTAACTTAAATCCGGACCGCAGCGATGGGTTAAACATATTGGAGAATGTGCCCCGAAGCACGGTTCGTCGCTACTGGCGTACCAGCGACCCTTCTACTCCGTCTCAAAAGGTGAACACACTGAAAGATGCCACACCAACACCATCTAATAACGTCGCCAGTAAACAGAATGTTGTTATCCAGACCAACCAAACACCAAAACCCAAAGAAGAAAAACGTGAGTCGCCGCAACGGCCTCTTACTGCCGATCTATCCATATTTCAAACAACTATACCTCAAAATATGAAAAGAACCATTGAATTTATTGAAGATGAAGATGATCATGCTGTTATTCTTGAATCTAGTGATGAGGATGAGGTCATTGAAGTGGCTTTGCCCCCGAAACCAACCATTACCATCGAAAGCTCTGATGAAGATGAACTTCAGATTGTTAATCCGGCCTCCCCTACCAAAACACAAGTAAATGTGGATAAGACAATAACAATTGGAGAAAGAGACATTTCAGCAAGCCCTGCACCCTCGGCTGTTTCATCTGTCTCTGATGAATTCATCCGTAGTGATTGTATTGCATTGAATATATCCTCCCGACACCAGGACAATCCTAGCTTTGATTTTAGTCTACACGGATCTGATTTACTTGTACAGAGTACTCCATCAAAAAAAAAGAAGAAGAAGAAGAGCAAAGAAGCTGTAACATCAACCCCAGTCCTTCCTGAAACACCTAACAAGCCCACCTCAAATGATGGATGTTTTGCTACTCCTAAAAGTAAAGCCAAGAACAAGAAGCAAAAATCTAAATTATACACTGTGACAGAGAAAAGTATCCCGAGTGCAGATGTGTATGACTCTGACAGTAATCAGTCAGTAGACACAAACAAGAACAATAACTCTTATACTGTTACTGACAAAAGTCTACCCAGCACTGATGTCTATGAATCAGATTCAAACCTATCTGAATGCATGAAAGAGATAACACCTATTGCAAAACGAATGGATAATGATGTTGATAGTACGGACAGCAGCATTTCTCAAAATACCCCGGTTGATCAGTCTTCCAAAGTAAAAAATAATGAATCCAGTGCAATAAATGACACATCTGCTACAATTTCTGTTGTAGACCTAACCGGAAATGATACTTTTGTAAATTTGGATTTATCAGAGCTAGAAAGTGATGTTGTTATGGGAAATGTTTCTGGATTCACTGAATATGATTACTATGGGGACGAGACCTTATCTGAAAATGACATTTCTAAATTTGGCTCAACAAAAATTCCTTCGATATTGAACGAGAACCTCGATTTTGATAATTTAAAAGGCAATGATAAGGTTTGCAAACAACGAAGATACTCTCTCACAACTCTTCGTGCAGATATGGAGAAATTCTATAATGAGAGCTGGGGCGGAGAGAATTTTAATCATAGAGAAATACAGAAAAGCATGTCACGTAAGTTGTATTCATTTACTTGCTATATTTACTAGCCATGGCAAACTCAACTTTGTCTCAGTTTTAATTCCCATTGACCATTGAAGATGATTTACAATATTAACTTTTTAATCAGCTATTCATACTACAAAGATGTGATTGCACAACAATATTTATACTATGCCCAACATACAATTATTGTGCAATCTATACCTTTATTGTAATTTTATTTTGGGTAATAGATCATGACATAACCCTCCAACATTGTAAATTACTCAATAGTCAATTGTTTGTTTGACACAGCCTGCTACTGTTTAAATTTTATTACATCTAAGACCACTCATTATGGTTAAAAAATATACTAATATTGGACCTTCAAATGAGATACTTTTTATACCATAAATACATATGAACCTCATTCAAGAGAAGGCTAAGCCTATTATAAAATACCAGGAACACCCTGTCTGTATAGCATATTGGATCTAAACCATCTCAATGTTGGAATCTGTAAGACATTCTCAGCTTAATACATTTTTAATCTCTCTAATTAAAAATGCATTAAACTAGTGAACTAACTAATGTTAAATCATCAATCAATTAATTCATTATAGTTATGATTATTTCATATTGTTAATTGAAACAATTTTTATGTTTCAAATTCCTTCATTTTTAGCTAGGCCTCCTTTCTATCAATTAGGGAAAATCATAAGTATTAGTTACTTAATAATTATATATTTTTAGGTGACAAGGACTTGTGGGCGATTGATCCGAAGGATAGGATGCCATCAATGCAGAGGAGAAAAGTGACGTAAGTATTAATTAATGTTACATAACATTCACTTGTTATTTCATCTCTAGCATAGTAAAGCTCAATATGTAGCAGTAAAATATTGCCAAAATTTGATTGTTTACTGCATGGTCTAGTTCTTCCTTTTGCTTTTTGTTCCTTTTTCAATTTACAACTAATAACAATTTCACAACTGAAAACTTAATACTCTGCATGAGAAAGAACCTCAACATAACAACTTTGTACCTCTAAAGATAACAGTTAACCATAATTATCTAGAAACTACTAGAGTTAGGTACAAATTACAATCTAAGGTATTTTTATATCTTACAGATGCAACTATTGCAACCGGCCGGGACATAAAGACGACACGTGTCGCCTGAAGCCGCCCATCTGCTACATGTGTGGCTCCACCGGACACTTCGAGCCGCGCTGCCCGCGGAAGATCTGCCTCAACTGTGGCTCTCCAAACCACATGTACTCGTCGATGTGCCGCAACTGTTCCAACTGGGGTAACCTCAAGTGTAACGAGTGTGGCCAGATCGGCCACCCCGCCTCACACTGCCCCGACCTCTGGCGGCGGTACCACAACACTAGTGACGCCAACACTCAACTGGAGCGATGCAAACAGCAAAAGTATAACAACCAGATGTACTGCAGTGGGTGCTCTCGGCGCGGACACCTCGTGCACACCTGCCGGGCCTCGCTGCCCTTCTCCGGTCTACCCATTAATTCGCCCTACGTGTACTCCTACCGCCCAGTCTACCAAGGTACCAGCGAGAACACGCAGAAGCCACAGTACATCACTCCACCCGTCACGCCGCATAGGAATGAACGCAACAAACGCCAGTCCAAGTCACCCACCACTCACGATTCTCATTTCAACAAGAAAAGGAACTTATCCACGGGCGACGAACCCGAACGTCGCGTCACCAAGAGTCCCGCACCGCAACGGAAAACTTCCGTCAGCAAGGACACCTCAGATGAATGTAATAAAAAAGAACCAAATAAAAATTCACAAAATGAAAATAAGGTTCAGGCGTCCATCGAAAAGGCGCCAAATTTCATTCCTATTTACTCTGCAAACCATGACAAGAAAGGCAATATGATTCAAGACAACGAAGTTTCAGACACTAGCCATATCATCACCTCGGCCCGCATCTATGTTACCAATGACATCGTTGAGAAACTCAATACCGAAGAAGGTAAAGCATGGTTGAAAGAGAACACAGAAAAACACCGTGTACAAATGGAGAACACGGAAGTTTCTTCGTTTTTGGGTATTAAGGGTAAGCTAGCAGATCAGGAAGCCTTCCAGTCTGCACTCAGGGACTGGTTCAATCCTGTCGCTACCACACCAGTGTCGACGGACACCACCAAGCCAAGTGGCGAAGGCGATACTTGGAGCGTCATACCGAAGAATAGAAACAGTTTGTTGCGACAACTCAACTACGCGTTAAATTCACTGAAGGAAGATATTGGAGACCCTAGTGCGATTTATAAGGAGCTGACATTCCTTCAAAACCGCCACCAACAACTACTAAAACAAAAAGTAATCAGCCCTAAACAGTTGAGTAACAACCGAGGAAACATTAACCAGATGCTCAAGAAACTTAACATGGTCCTCATCGGGCAAGCAGGCCTTGCCGACGGGTCGGCACATGTTAGTGAACTGTATGCTCTGCAGGAAAAACTCATGAATTTAAGACAGAAAGTCATACCTAACGATCTTCGAAAAGAGATTGGACAACATTACGCGCTGATTTTTACGGCGCTCCCTAGAACCGATTACTTAGATTTACTAAAAATTTATAATACAACAAAACCGTCTACTATGCTGAAGAGTAAGAAGAAGAAGACTCTGAAACTAAATCCCAAACTAAACAGATTGAAGATAAAAGTAAACAGCATTCCAACACAACAAATACAAAATGGCAACAAGGAGGAGCGCGCAGAAGTCCCTGGATCCTGTTGCAACCCGATCATGCTGCAAAAGTTAGCTTTCTACCACAAACGACTACTTAGCGCACGGCCCTCGGGCGCTGCTCTCAAGAGAACGCGAGGCGACCTCGTGAGGAGGCTGTACTCCTCTATCGCCTCACTATACAGAAAAGAGAAAATGTCTTCAAAGAACATGAAAAAAGTGAAGAAACTACAGGAACAAGCACAGTTGTTCTTGTCTAATGTATAAAATATATTTAGGAGATAAAGAATTTTATGTTGACGCCAATCAGAGGCGTGCTCGGCATGAGACGAGCCGGCTTGTACCACGTGTGATCCTCGTGCGGGATCAGTTTTATTTTCGTCTACTTGCCGGTCTGATATAATGGCACTTTATAGTGCGTGTGAATTAATAAACTTCTTAGTGTAAAGCATTTCTTTGTTTACTTTATCAAAACATCCCTCTTACACTTACACAAAATACAAAAAAAAAATCAAGAATTTAATTCTACAAGGTATGCTGACCAAACTTGCAAATAGTATTATTGGCAAATTAAATCTGCAGACTAACAAAATCATAATGTGCAAAATGATCTAGTAGATCGTACAAAACTCAAATCATAAATGAGACTTTTTACAACACACACAACTCTTACTCTTAGGGTGTGTAGGCCTAAAAATGAACATATTAGTATTAGAATGAGGCAGAATTTTATTGCAAGATATGCACCCAAGATTTGCACTTTTCACGCCTAATATTTATAAGGTCGAATGTCAAAGAAGGGGTCTCGGGTTCGAATCCGGAGTCCACCCAAGTCAAGTTTATTACGCCCAATATATTTCTGTAGGCTTTCACAGCTACTAAATAAATGAAGAAAACATAGACGAAACGAAGAAAACATGAGGTTTTTTTTATTTAATAAGTCGGCAAACGAGCTGACGGATTACCTACCTGATGGTAAGCAATCAACGCCGCCCATGGACACCAACGCAACGGAGGAGTTACGAGTGCGTTGCCGACCTTTTAGGAGTAAGTGATTTGGAAATTTAGGGATTGGGGGAGGGGAAGTGAGTTAAGGTATGCGCACTGTATATGACAGTACTGACTGCACGGTTGGTGCGGTGGCCGGGCAACTGGTTGCCATGCAACGTGTCGCGGGTTCAATTCCCGCACTCTGTGTAATCCACAAATTGTTGTTCCGGGTCTGGGTGTCATTTGTACGTGAAGTTGTGTGTTTGAAACCGCACCCACGACATAGGAGAAAACCATAGAGTGCGGCAACGTTTTAAAAAAAAAACAAAACAATTTATCGCACGCCGCCTATCCTACGAGGTTGAAAAGGCATAACATTATGAATCTCAAGTCTAAAAGAATCGAAAAATCACAGAGATTATGAAAGTCTCTAAAGTGACGACAAACTATACACAGATATCTACTCTTCAAGGCTAGAGAGTGAATAGGCTCTTAATAAACTAGTGCGCCTTACCATCAACGATTGCATCACAGCTTACCATCAGGTGGGATCGCAGTCAAGCACTAGTTTAATGAAAGTAAAAAAAAATGTGGATTTCGGATAATATGTATAGGAGGTAAAAGCCAAAAAAAAAACACTTATTCCCCGAACTGTTTGAGCAGATGCCGTGTTAGAAAGATGCAGCACACTTCAGTAGGTAGGTATCAAGTCGTAGGTATTTCTTAATTCTTACTTTTTCTTTAGTGGGTAAGTACATAGGTAAAGTAGAGACCTTTTCAGTGCAAGTATCCAATCACAACTTTTGAGCAAGGGGTTTTGACTGTGTCTGGATGAAAAGCTAAGCAACTACCTTATTCCTAAACAGGTGAGCCTTTTCCCAACAATCACCATGTGTGGTGTGGAGTAGCTACAGGAAAATATCGCCATTTTTTTACATGGCATGGTGTGTGCGTTTACCAACTTCACATCTAGCTCCAGAACAGGTATTAAAAACGGTATAATATGTCGCTTATGTATATGTATCTCTGTCTAGTTTTTCCTACTTTTAGGTATTTAAAATATTCATCACATGGACCTTGCACCTATGTTGCCTCATTTACACTTGCCGCCATCGCCAGTACCACTAACTAACCAACCATGAAGCATGTAACCAACAGACAGACTGACAGACACTATTGTATGAACAAGGTTTCTTTATACGTCTGTGGTTAGGCCAATTCTTAGCAAGAATATAAATTATATTGTATTACTTACTTAAAAATATTGTACAGAAGTGGGAGACATACAAACTTTTCGTGTATAAATAGGCATCAACTTAGTATTTTAGTAAAATTGAAAAACTTAGTTACTTCTCAGACATTTAAGCTATTGAGTCCCCTCACTAGAATAGCATACGTCATCAAACAAAATCATACCGCTGATACCGCGGCCGCACGTCAATTTGTGATAAATTGATAAGCTCGGTACTTGTTGATTTTGATAAAATCATTTTGATCAATAGCAAAACAAAACTTTAGTTAGTGCTTTTAGAAACGGAAACAATGAAGTCGTTTACGTTTAGTGTTCTGCCAAAGTTCGAAATCTTTGTATTATTATGCATCATAAATTCAATTTACGGAAGAATGGTAAGATATCGGCAATATTATTTTTGTATTCGTAATTTGAAGATAAAATAAAAAGGATTTTTTATTGCGTGCAGTTTGGTCAAGAAGGATATTATCCAGCTGGTTACTACGACAGCCAGCAAGCACAATACGAGAAAATAAAAACTGCGCTTACGAAGTTGGAACATGGTGTGTATTTACCTTAACGATAAGTATTATATTAACTACGATTTAATAATCGTAATTATTTTCACACGATTTCTACATAATTCGTTAATTTAAAAGAAGATAGAGTCGTAATAGGTGCAAATACCGAAAAACCTCACAACAAATGCTGTACCTAGTCGTTCTTAAAGACTTGGGTATTCCCCAAACTCAATATTTAGTTATTTCTTTCAATTTTCATAACTATGTTAATTCATTTATGTTAACTTTTTTCTTGAGTAATATTCCTAATAGGGAAGTAATTTACGCAACTGATTTAAAATTGAAACAACAATTTTCTCTCTAGCTCCACAATGGGTGAATGATTGGCCAGACCCCTCTATCAGAATGGGCCAAGTATCTGGAGTAGCTATCGACAATTCTGGCCGAGTTCTGGTGTTCCACCGGTCTCACAATGTTTGGGATGCAACTACTTTCAACAATAGGGATGTGTATCAGGGTATTGGTGAGGATGCTATACCAGAACCAACTATATTAGTGCTGAATGACACAGGAGAACTTGTCGATATGTGGGGACAGAATTTGTAAGTAATAAAACTTCAATATTCAATCATTTTGTACCTATATTATTGTTTTTAAATTGATATAAATATGGAGGCAAACTGGTTCTACAAACAACACAAAAAAATCCTATCTCCAGTAGTAATAACATTTATTTCTGTAACACCTTATAAAATCTAATGTGTAAATATCTGAAAATACTATACAAACTAGCATATAAGTATTTTCAGATTCTATAAAAAAAAAATTTAAAAGGTAACATCCAAAAAATCTGAAAGCCCTGTATTTAAAATTAAATACTTTATTTATAAATACTGTTGTACTCAGTGACATTTAATATTTTTTTTTTATTCTGGACATATTGCTTTTCCTGTGATCTATAGTTTTTGAACGAGACACAATGTGGGACTGGCTTAAGTAACCATGAAATGACTCTGATTATAGCCGGTGGTAGTTTTTTTAGTAAAGCCATGATATTATTATTCATCTATATTTATTTTCTTAAATTAACTTTTTGCATAGGTTCTACATCCCACACGGCATCACAGTTGACAACGAAGGCAATGTGTGGGTCACAGATGTGGCTCTGCATCAAGTCTTCAAGTTCACACCTGATGACAAAGTAAAACCAAACATGACACTAGGAGAGAAGTAAGTTTCTTTGTATTTTTTTTTTATAATTATATATAAAATTTTGATTATGATTTCAGTTAAATTAACACAACCAGATTTAAGTGCCTAGTCAATACTAGTCATTAAAACTTTTCAAGCTTTTACATTTGACAGACTAACTCATAGTTTACAAGAAAATATATTTATTTTTACTTTATTAACTCAGCAATACAGACCCAATCATTCCCCCAGCCTGCCTTATATGCCCTAAATAACTACAAAACCACAACATTCATTTGTTTTGGAGTAGAGAAATCGTCATTTAACGCGATACGATCTACAGCCCTGGTTGAGGCGAGTGGAGCCGTCAGAAACTTTATATTAAATTCCTATTACCTATCTAATATCTAAGCATGATTTTCTTACAGAACTTAAAAAAAACCATGCAATTTCATTATCTTATTGACAAGTCAGCCAAATAGATTTTTGATTTCGTCTATAATTGTAATTTTCTAATTCTATTTCTATAATTGCTGTTATTGTTTGCCTTTAGGCTGTCATACACATGATATCATATCGTCGTGCCTTTGTTTATAGTAACAGGATCAAATCAAAACAATCTTATTGATTTTATATTGTGTTACGCGATTTATAAAGAAGATAAACACTTGTGTTATTATTGGATATGAAGTAAATAAAATAACTTGATTTTTGTCAATACGCTGTAATGAGCTGTTTACACAACTGTGACCCGCTTACGTACCTATTGTAGATGGGAGAAATACTTGTCTTATTTACACTTTTCATCAAATTATATACATTGGTTTTACAAATATTTTATTTCGCTTCTAATTTATCTTACGAAGGTATGTTTTCGAAGTCAAATCTTGCAAATAAATCTTTAACCAATTTAGTAGGAATTTTTTTACGCATTAACATAGTTTGCATGACCATAAATACTAAACTATACTGACTGCTGACTTTACTCCAATCCTTAAAAAAATGCTAAAGTGATCAGTAGTGCTTTTCGGGAGACACATAAAATTAATTATTTTACTAAGACTTTCTCACATAACTGTTTGGCGACATATCTCGACTAGTTTCAAGGCGCACTGAGGGCTCGTATTCATGACCATCGTTCGCTGCATCGTATGTCGAGCAATGCTGAAACTATTCAAGTTATTTGCCAAAGTAATTAGGACAGTAAGACGTTAAACATAAATTATTATAATAGATCCTCAATCGATCTGAAATTGTAACAATGACATACTGAGTTATATTAAGGCCTATAATAAATTGTTACTATTTATTCGATTTGCCTTATTCGTATTACTTTAAGGAATGGCGCCGAAAATAGGCGAGTAGTTAGTCACTCACCAGTACTACAGATGCTCGTTCCCGTATTTTTTTCTAACCAACGATTTACTCCTGGCATAAAACAAAAGATAAAAATACACGTTTGAAGTAGGTTTATTAAAAGAATACAATTTAAATTAATTATTTTTACCTTAATTTATTTTTTAGTACTCTGTTCTAATAACAGGTTTATACCGGGCAATGACGACAAGCATTTCTGCAAGCCGAGTGCGGTTGCCGTTCTGTCCAACGGTGACTTCTTCGTGGCAGATGGATACTGCAACCACAGGATCCTCAAGTTTTCTCCAGATGGAACCATTATTCTACAGTGGGGGATAAGTAAGATAACACACCTTTTTGGTCTTTTCGATAGTAAATTAAGGGCGGCTTGCGCATCGTCGTTAAATACAGTTTAAGAGCGACGTAAACGCATTTAGTCTGCTAATTATATTTAGCGTCTTGCACAACAAAAATTTAGGCACTAATCACGTTTAACGAACTGTCAAAGTTAAATACCCAAAGATGGCTATTTAGCGTCGCTAAATACGTTTAGTAGAAATCGCGCGTCATTATTTTAAGGTTAAAGAAATTTTACTATTATTTTAAGATTTTAAAGAGTTCGGTAGGAAGTTTGTAAGATGGATTTGTGGGAATTGTATTCTGACGACGATGAGGAGATTATAGAATATATCAACAGACCGAGAGAATTGTTTGAGAGAGCAGACTTATTTGGAATGTATTCGGACGACAAATTCTTCAGAAGGTTTCGCCTAACGAAAGAAACCACTACAATTTTGTTACAACAAATAGCCCCACATTTAAAAACCAGCAACAAGTAAGGAAATGTACTTTTTATTAGTGAACATTCAATAAATAGTAATAGTAGGTAGGTATGTACCTAATTAGCAATTTTTTTTGTTTTGCAGGATCAAATCAGTCACTCCTATGAACCAACTTTTATGTACGCTGAGATTTTATGCAACAGGAAGTCAGCTAATAACATGTGGTGACATGATTGGTGTACATGAAAGCACAGCTTGTAGAATAGTGCATCGTGTTACTCATGCCATTGCATTATTGTATAAGATGTATATCAAATTTCCAAGCACAACAGAAGAGCAAAATAAAACAGCGTATGATTTTTATAGAATTGCAAAGTTCCCTAGAGTAATTGGTGCGTTAGATTGTACTCATGTGAAGATATTATCTCCAGGTGGTAATAACGCTGAAATATATAGAAATAGGAAAGGATATTTTTCAATAAACACCCAATGTGTAGCTGCTGCAAACCTTATGTTTTTAGACGTTGTGGCAAGGTGGCATGGATCAGCACACGATTCCAATATTTGGGATAACTGTGCATTAAAACGCAATTTTTTGCAGGGTAAATATAATGACAAATTATTGCTAGGTGACAGTGGCTATGCCCAAACTAACTTTATGATGACACCTCTGTCAGAAAATAATGTGAATACACGAGGAGAAACACTTTACCAAGAGTCACAAATAAAGACGAGGAATGTGGTTGAACGTGCATTTGGTATATGGAAGAGGAGATTCCCTATATTATCCAGGGGCATAAGTATCCATCTTCATAGAGTACCTGGTATAATCGTAGCAACAGCTGTACTTCATAATTTAGCTATATTACGAAAGGAAAACATACCCCCTGAAGACCAAGACTTTCCTGTTATTATGGAAGTAAGGGATGATGATGTTGCATCAGAACGGTATGGAAGAGGAAGGGCTAATTTGCAACAAAGACTACTAATAGAGGGATATTTTGCATCATTGTAAAAAAAAAATTAAAACAAAAATAATAATTATTGTTTCTCTTTTATTTCCAAATCCTTAAGTAAAAGTTCTTTTTCGTACATTTGTTCATTAAATGCCTTTTTTTTCATTAAACTATCCAATTCTATTTCATATACTCTTTGTTTATGTTCTATTTCCATTTCCAATGACAGTTTTTGTAGTCTAACCAGCTCCAACTTCGCTTCTGACAACATTTTGAAGCTTTCATTTGCTGTCTTGCTTTTCTTGTTTGCTGATTCTTCAGAAGTATTATTTTCTGGAATAAAGAAAAGTAGTTTAATATAATATTACTATAAGCCAAATGTGGATTCGCAAAAAGATATGAAACTGACTTGAAATAATAATTTAGGTACCTTTGTTATAGAGCGCAGATGCCTTCCTTTTTCTTAAAACGTCTATCCTGCTTAAATGAGTTTGTGATAATGGTGTGGTATTAATGCCACTCGTAGAAGGTCCATGGTCATTATCAGTTAAATCTAAAACAAAAAATGTAATTAAAAAACTGCTATAAATATATTATATAATGATAAATTATGGTGATAATTAATTACCCTTGTTTGTCAGCACAGTTCCCTTCTTTAGTATTATAAAATTATCTCCAGCCTGAGATTGCAATGTTGTGCTTGGAGTAGAACCACCATCATTCTCAGTAATAACTAAAATAAATATATTAATAATAAATATAGGTATTTAATAAGTGTACATTTTGTTACATGATTGGTTTTAAAAGCAACAAAAAGTGTGTTTGTGTACTATTTAGTTACCTACCAATATTACAATTGACCACATCTGCAGTTATGTTATCAAGACTTTTTAAGTGATCTTCTTCAATGGGTGCAATTCGTTGTTCTTCAGGAAGACTCTCTTGAAATTGCTTCATGAGTGTGGCATCTCCATCATACATACTATAAAGTCCATCCATTTGTGGCTCTATTAACTTTTTTATTGCATTAAGTGGGTTGTCACCATCTGAAGGAGGAGGGCCTCCACCTAAAAATAATAAGTTTAATTTGTTTACAGTTGTCTCTCTTGAGAATGTGAATCTCACTCTCCGAATAATGTCATGAACTTATGATCTTAATAAGTATTGATAGGCAGCTTATAAAACACCGATAAATGAAAAAACACAACACTATGATATTAGATATATATGTACCTGTTCCCATCACAACCTTCTTATACTTGACTTCTTCTTTTTTCAATTCTACTTGCAAACTGTCGAAGCTCTCCTGGCAAACCTCAATAGGCTTATTTATTGTGGAGGCGATTGCTTCCCAGTCTTTACCATTTTCCTCTAAGGCATTAAGAAAAGCCTGTTTTTGATCAGGATCTGTAACATAAATAGACATCTGTGTTATAAATAGCAAATACCAGCAATACCACGGTTAATAAAAAAACAATACTGAGCAGTATATACAAGGGTATGTTAGTCTGTGTCCAGAAAAATAAGTTCATCATGTTACTAACCTTTCAACAACATTTTTGATTCTGAATGCTTTTTTTTCAATTTGCTTTTAATGTTTCTATAACAACTTAAAAGGTTTTCGGCACTTCTCGAAACACCTTTTGTGTTGGCATTAAAAACATGAGCGATTTTGACCCAGGCATTTTGCTTTTCAGTCTGTTTAATTTGGTCGGTCTTTTTGCACTCAATAATATGGGTGTATGGTTCCATCGCTGCAATCAGCAGTATCTGTTCCTCTTTTGTAAAATTAGGCCCCCGGGCTCTAGAAGAAACACTTTTGTTTGCCATGGTAATTACAACTGAACTCAACGAAAACAATTATCAATAAAAATTACCACGAAAAATAGCACGAGACGCTTCACAAATCACAACAAAACTTTGAGTGACTTGACAGCTCGGTTGACTTGATGTGACAGTTGAAAGCTCGTCGGTCCATTTCACGAATTTTTTTTAAGGTTATAAGTACATTTTTTATTCCTTACCTAATTAGTAAGGAATAAAAAATGTAAGTGTGGGAAACCCAAGCTTCGACACGAATGGGTCGGCTCGACCGGAGTGATACCACGGCCTCACAGAAAACCTACGTGAAACAATCACAGCGTTGTGTTTCGCCGTGTGAGTGAGGTTCCGGAGGCCCAAGCGTTCACCTTTTCCCGAAAAAACATAACTTTAGCCAGCAATCATCCAAATGCAGCTATTTATTAATACAGTAGAAAACAGTTTGCCTTTGTTGAAATAAAAAAATCTCAGTAATAAAATAATAATCAGGTACATCTTAATGGTGAGCTGATACCTGAATATTTCTCCAATACATTCTTTACCTTAATAAACAGTGATAAAGTTGAAAATGTTAAAGAAAGACACTGACTGCAATAAAAAATAAAAGTACATACCTAAAAACTTCTTTCTCATGACTTCAAAATGGCCTCTAAAGTACATTTATTAACTTATCGATGTCAAGAATATCCACAGATAAACTATGCATTACTTTTTGGGAAATAGCTTAGGGACTTAGGGAGTAAACATATGGACCATTGAGTCAGATATTGAACCTTATTCTCACCTACCTTCAGTTTGAAATACAAAATCTGGCTCAATGGGTTAGACCTAGACTAATAAAAAGGGTTGTTTTGTAATAATGCCGTTACTGACTAAAAACCAACCGGTTCCTTACTGCTCCGAACCGGGGATGCAGAATTAGCTCATATACTTGCAATCCGACAACTTAGGGATTATTTTATCACTAAAACTTAAGACTAATTATGGCCATCCCCTAAGGGGGCGTCCATAAAGTACCTGAGGTGTTTAAGGGGGGAGGGGATCGAGTCAAATCTCATCTAATCTTACGTTGGAGAGACGGGGGTCTCGGCAAATATCAAGCAATTTTTTTTTCTGATTGAAACAAATAAAAATTGTTCTGTTTTGGTGTTTTTAATCCAGATTGTACATGCTTAAGATTTAATCTTATCATCATTTACTAATAAAAGGACGATGCAATTTGTTTTTTCTTTTCACAATAACAATCCAACGCGTTTACGTAAGAAACTCCAATTTTGAAAAATCTCACGTAAGATTCGGGGATAGGTGAGGGGGTTAAATAAAATCTCACGACATCTCACCAGAGGGGGAGGGAGGGGCAGAAAATTTTAAAAAATACCTCACGTAGTTTATGGACCTCCATTGGCCCTCTATTGGGTCTTCACAATTTTATAACCTACCTAGCAGTATCTGGTCTTATTTTAGGTCATGGCAATTCTCCGTTTGCATTCAACGTGCCTCACGCGCTTACACTAGCTGAGGACCGCGGTTTGGTCTGCGTTGCTGATAGAGAAAGAGGCAGAGTGGCTTGCTTCCGACATGACAATGGAACCTATGAGGGTAGCTTCAGCAGCTGGCTGATGGGTGGGAGACTTTTTAGCGTCGCTTATGCTCCTGTGCATGGTGAGTTTTTATAGTCAATTTTTCTTTGAGAATTTAAGAAGAGAATTATAATGATTTGTCAAGAAATGGCTCCAAAGTGGGTTTGGAAGTTTGATGATAGCAAATATTGTGTAAATCTTCTGTGCCAGAGCAAAGATATTCAAAAGAATAAAGACTTACCTTATACAATTATTGTTAAAAACTTACAAAAGTTAAAATTTCTTAAAAGTCTTTGGTTAACAAAATAAAAAAAGACGTTGCTCCACAGGAGTTTGTCCTGTGTCGTTGGTACGGTTACAAACTTACAATTTAACATTCTCATCACACCCAGATCCAGAATAACAATTTGTGGATTACATTAAGAGTTGTTCCGTGCGGGATCGAACCCGCGACACGTTGAACGGCAGCCAGTTGCCCAGCCACCGCACCGAAGTCAAAATTGTTTACATTTAATTGCCAAATTATCTTAGCAGTGACATTTATAACCACGTCATTCTTCACAGGAGGTCGCCTTTACATAGTGAACGGACCAAACAGCTTACCAACACCGGTCCCCGTTCGAGGCTTTGTGATCGACTTCACCACTGGTCGTCTCATACAAACTTTTGCTCCTGACGAGGGTCTGAGAAACCCTCACGACGTTGTAGTCTCAGCTGACGGCTCCAAGGTCTACGTAGCGGAGTTAAATCCCTTCAGAGTGTACAAATTTGTTGATGAAACTCTAAAAAATGAAAGTCGCTTGGAGAAGAATGTGACGTCATCACATGTCAAACCTACTGCGACTGTCGGTAAGGAATGTTCCTCTTTAATTATTATTGCTTAAGCTTGCTTTAGGGCTGATTTTTCAATGGTTAGATAAAAGTTACCTGTGGAATAAATATGATGCTGTCGCGTCAGAATGTTTGTATAAGACAGTGACAGCAACAGTTTTTTCCTCAGATAACATTTATCTGACTATTGAAAAATCTGCCCTAATTAAGCTTCGATTCGAATGGCTTAAATGAACATGTTTATTCCAAATTTGAATGGTTTTTTTTCTATCTTTACTGGTGGGTAATTAAATTATGCCACTAATATTTTTTTTGAAATAAAAACTTATTCTTAGCGATTGTTTATTAACTAACTTAAGTTTGCTTATGTTTTTTTTTCTTTTTATGATAGTAATAATGGAATGTGATCTATAATTCATTGTGTTGTTATAACATTTGGTTGCTTGCGGATATAAATAAAGTTGCCATACTTTCACAAGTGCCATATTTGAATGCAATAGAGAAGTCATAATTTTATTTTAAGATAAATAATTATTGCTAGAAACTTTGGAAGGAAACTGAATTCACCAATTTCCTTTTATCCACATATGTGATATAAAGAAAGCAAGTTTTAATATAATCAATTGAAAAAAAATGTAAAAAAAAAATATAATGTGGTTCTATCTAATTTTAAAAGTATTTTTACTATTTAAAAAAGTCTAAGTTAAAGTTCCTTTCTTATTTGGTTATAGTAACTGTCAAATGAAAACTGCTTAATGCTTTGAAAAAAATCTAGTGTATCGTTATCTCTTTCACTTTTCATTTCATCTCTTTCATTCCGTTTTTCTATGTACTAACTTTTTAAGAGTTATTTATTTGACGCTTACTTATACATATTTAAGAACCTATAAGTACTATAATTATTTATTTTAACAAATCTCGTCCAATACATTGAAATATTTTTATAATATAATGCCACCCTTTATCACTCACATTCAAAATATTTTTTAAATTAATGGACCTAAAAATTCGTGTTTAATATTATTTTATTAATTGGCAAATGAAATAGATTATTAATCACCCATCCCTAAGATCGTAAGCTAACTGATTAATCAAACATTTGTGTCATATTAATCGACTCTATTAACTTAATAACGTTCCAAATCTTATAATGCGATTCCCCAAAGAATTGTGAGAGTAGTCAATGGACGACTCCCCCTGCTCAACTTGACGAATTTTCAGACATAGCTCAAAAGAGCTCAAACAAAGGAACAGCTAAATGTCTATGACAGATTGCTGTACTTAGCAGGATACAGAAAAAATATATTAATCCTTTTTTGATTGATTGAAAAGGGGTGTTTAAATACTCTTTTTGTGTTGGTCGGGATTTGTATTTTGCAACACAGTGACTAATAAGCTTGGTGTGGGTGTGCAGAGGTAGTTGGGACGGGGGGCGCGGGCGGGGGCGCCTGGGAGTGGTGGAGCGGTGCGCTCGGGGGCGCCGGGGGCGCCGCCGCCGCCGCGCTACTCGCGCTCGCCGCGCTCGCTCTACTGCGCGCGCGCAACACCGGTAAGGGATACGAAGCCGAGCCACTCGTACACTAAATACACGACACTCACGACAAATACCACACTACTATTTCCCTAACACACGAGTCATACGACAAATAAACTTAATAGAACGAAAATTATTCTGAAAAATAAGTATCTCTATTTTTATAAACGGTGTAACTTTTAGATTTAGGCAAACAATGCCTATACGAGAAGACGACGCTCTTCCATATCTTGAATTTAACTCTCAGTGAAAAGTAAAGCTATCTGATATATTTAATTAAATTTAGAAATATATACAATCTGCTTTATTTGGTTTAAAAACTATTTTGAGTAATAAAATATAGTAAATATATTAATAAAACAAGAGTTGTTCAATAAAATTGAACTTTATTGCAAGGGATTAAAGTTATTGTTGACTCTTTCAACTAACGAGAGTTAATTACAAACTATATTAAAAGCCTAATTTATTAAATATTTTCTGGAAATATGTCACAAATGATACTGTTAGCTTTAATTATAATGTAATTATACGTATAAATATTTATTATATAAAAGTAATTTATTTATCAAAGTAGAGTAGGTACACACAACATTCCTTATATAGTACGTGCTTATGTATATACTAGGTATATATGTATTTATATACCGTCCACTTTACCTATACATACATACATACTTAAAAAAACTCAGATCTCAATTTTAAACACTATTAGTATTTTCGTGCGATACATTATTATTATTTTTTAATGGCTAACTCACACAACTGTTAGGTGTGGAAACTTTACACTTAAAACGTGGTGAGTCACGCAATACTGATTATGAATATGAGCCCCCAATGTAGCTTGAAACTAGTCGAGCTGCTCATCAAACATGTTCTTGAGTTAGCCGTTAAACATAATAAATAAATTTATTAGTATTTTACAAAAACAATACTTACTACGATTATACAGACTATACAATCACACGTAAAAAGTTTTCAGTTTTAAATAATCTGCAATTATCTAGTTTGTTTTTTTTTTATGTAAAAGGACAGTATTTTGATTAATCTTTGCATGTATTTAAGGATGGCTGAACAATTTTTAATATTTACCAGTATGTATACAAGATACTTAATTATATGCATTTATATTCAAAGAATTTTAGATTTGCTAATGAAGAATTTTCTAGATATTAAGATTATTAAGAAAAAGAAGTTAAAAAAAATCGACTAACGACATAGGTATAAGTTTTGAAATAAATATGTCTTCGAAATAAAAATTAAATAGAAATAAATATTTTTGTTCTGGAAGATTCTCCATTAACAAATTTTTAAATACATATGAAATAATAAATATTTTACAATTTTATTGTTGTCTGTGATTGACGCAAGTAGAAGGGGCTTTAGCATAATATTATAAGTAAATAGTTATACAATTAAAAAATATATTCACATTTCCTAATGGTTATAAAAAATAATGTTTTAATTCTTCTTAGATCTGTTGATTAACTAATAATTTATTTTAAGTTAAAAGTTAATGTTAGGCACGAGCCTCACTAGGGCAGAACTGCGCAATTATGTTAAACAAGAAACTGAACACAACCTTATTTATTTTAATAATTAAACGCGGTTTTTAATCCGCATCCCTAGTGTGGCCAGTGCCTTACATGTATTTTATTTTTTTAAAAAGGTTGTATACCTATTACAAAGTTATTTATTCTTAGCACTGCAAAGTTATTTATTCTACAGTATATTTCAAATTTTTTGTACGTGTAGCATTAGACAAATACCAAGAGATTAAGAAATTATTTTATGCAGTCATTTGATTGTATTTTTAACCGACTTCAAAAAAGAAGGAGGTTCTCAATTCTTATGTATACACAGACTTAGAAAGTCTCAATCTACACCTATACCGAATTCAAAACTACAGAGGATTTTAATCTTAATTTGAATATTATTTAAATTTCTATTTATTTACACTTTTTTATGGTAATAAGTAATTTTGTCCGATGCTATTTTTTTCTCTTTACCTCGAATATTCAGAGATCTTTTTGTTTTAATTTTTCTATATTTTGTTTTGTATTCATATAAATAAAAGTTTATCCCAGAGGTAATTTGTAATGAAGTCGCAAATTATATTATTATTGGTGTAATATAGTTCCTTGAAATTGGTTGCATGTTTACAATGATTATGTGAATCAAATTTTTATTATATACTAAGCTATTCACATCACCTCATTTGGGAGTTTTCCAAGCTTATAACCGCCGTCGAAATTTAAGATATGTATTAGGAAATATATGTTTTAAAATTCCAATTTTGTTGGCGGTAATAAGTAGAACAATGTTATGTGTTTTGTCTCGGCAAAATGTTAAATGATATAAGATTATGTAAGGAACGATGCATATTTCTGTAAATATTTAGAAATTACAGGCGTCACAAATTCGTTTTTACGCTCATTGTTGTCAAGAACGTTATGTCGCGTCAGACATTTAGCCGTGTCAAGGCACAAAGCATACAATTCGATACACTAGTCTGTTTGTCACATTATTCCGTTCTGTTATTCCATTTTACACAAAACCACTTTTAATTATTATTTGCGCTTTCAAATATTGTGATTGTGAACTGTTGTCATGTGCAGTAATATAGTTGTATAAATATATTTATTGGAAGCAGCTTTTTGTATTTTTATTTACGCACCAAGCATGCCTCTCACCTTTTTTCGTTCGCCTTCAGTTTGATCTCATTTACTGGTCTTAAGCACAAGTATCGTATTAAAATACAAATAAATGGGTTTCATTAAACATCTTAGATTGTAACAAACATATTTTAATTTGACTTATCCTAAGTAGTAGATAATTAATTATAAGAGTTTTGATAATTAATAATACTTCATATCATATTCCTAAAGATATAATGCCTTAGAAAATAATGATCATTTTTACAATAATACACTCTTCAAGAAAGGAATATAATAAATTACTATAATACCTATTCTACTTTAAAAAAATGAATTGCATACAGATTTAAAGTTTATATTTTTATTGCCTATTATCTGTATTATGAGTACATAATTATGCTTAAAAGTACCTTTGAGACCTAGATTTATAGCGATTTGCTTGAACTATGTATAGGTTTATAATTATTAGTCATCACTTTATAGAAAAGTATACAAGATAGCATAGATAATGCAAGTAGGTACGATTACTAAAATATTGCATCAAAGAGATAAGAGCAGAATTAAATCAGCCAGTGATTGTCTAGGTCGGAAGGGTGTAACCCGTCGTCGTTGGGAGTACGGACATGGTGAGTTCAAGCTGCGACGTCTACTGGAGCGGCGGCGGTTCACGCGCGTGCATTCAGACGATTCCGACGAAGAACCCGCGCCAATGCTGCCACAAACATTGCCCGCCAACGCATGATGCCAATACCAACACGCCAATCAATGCCACATGTGAACCAAGCTCGAATATTGGACCCAATGTTTGTGGACGTCCGAATCAATCAGTTTTTTTCTACTGGCATTTTTGTGCCAAGGTAAATCCAGGCTACCATATATTTGCAATCCGTTCAAATGCATGAAATATGCATATTGCTAATTGTTACAGTTATTACCTACGACTAGTAATTATTATGTAAATATAAACAAGCCTTTGTTCCATGCTACTGTGTGAAGGACATGGACGAATACTCAATTTTGTAATATTTTTAAAGAATTTCGACGTTCACAAACATTTAACATAGATAAATAAACTTTTCAGAGTTACCTAGTTAAATATTTATAAATTAATTTATTCGTCGGCGCCAAATAAGGTGTAAGTAAGTATATATTTGTACAGATTCACATATGTACCAATTCTTATGCAAGGCAAAAGAAGCCCTTTACTAGCGACTATAGGATGCGTTTTGTAACAAATGAAATCTTCAAACAAAAATAGAGCAGCTTATCTTGTATAGCTGGATTTAAAACTTCCTGCACAGTAATCGTTTAATACCACATTTGTCTGTATTGAGTCCCTAAATGTAAATTAAATTTGGCAAAACGCACCGTCGTAGGTACAATTATCACTAGAATAAATTATGAGCTTCGAGTGATTGAATTATAGTTATGTATATAAAATTATAGGAAGGTACTATCTGTGTATAGATTTAAGTAGGTAGGTACATGGAAGTCGGCAGTAGGTTGCAATAGCATTGGTTGAACATTTGCACACCTGAAAAGAGGAAATAATAAACTAAAATTAATAATAAGCTTTAATTTTTTTTGTAAACTCCTAATTTATTGGCCAAGGTAAATTTGTGTATCGTAAAAATTTAATAAAGAGGGGCAGTGGTCTAGAATGAGCTCATATAAGTATATGTAATATACCTACTTATAATATCTCAAACATAATTTTGTTTTCCACTTGAAAATCTTGCAATAGGTATATCGATATCTCGATTCTGAAATCTGAGAGCCCTGGCTAAGAGATACCACAATTTTCGTAAACCTCTGATGTGAAAACCCCACCCCTCGTAAAGGCCGTACTTGTACCCTTTAGAGGTCATATTACTGATTGATGAATAGAGTGGTAATGGCCATGGTCTGGACTGGGCCTATTTTTTGTAAAATCTCTAAATTCTGACGTATAGGTATCATTACTAAGTGTGTTTGAGTCTGCTTGAAATTGAAATCTAGAGGTCCTAGATAAAATTATTGTATTTTCAGGGCAAGGAATGCAAGTTCACTCTGGCTGTCTGCAACTTAATACCGGCCTCCATAATATTTATTTTACAACAGTGTATATTGAAATGGTGAACGTTCGCAGTATTGTCGCTTTGTCAGCCCTGGATTGAGAAGTTGAGATAAACCACCATCATCACCCTATATGTGCCCACTGATGAGCATAGACCTCTTCTTACACAACGAAGGTTTGAATACCTACTTTTTAATTATCTGTCTTGCTTCAGGCAGATTGGCGAACTGGAATGTGTACCTAATTATAATTATATTTTATAATAATTATAGCACAATAAAATAGAAGAAGTCCGGGTTTCCTCAGTATGTCAGTGGTGTTAAAATAATCCTATATAGGTGTAGGTTTCGTGGCTGGAGGTTAAGGTGCCCATTTCTGATACATCAAGGTTTCAACCTGGCGTTTGACGTTACCTAAGCGGCTTTTTCTAAGTATATGAAATTTTTAAGAGTCAAACTAATGATGGAAAATAGTCAAATAGGTATGAAAGAAATCACAAATAGTGTAATACTGCTAACATATTTTCAAAAGGGGTAACAGTTATCACATATAAACATTCTTCAAAAATAATATTATTATTACAATATATCTCGTGGTTTGTGAATTAAGAAAAGCGTACTCTGATATGATTTCTTGACGTCCAGGGCTGAATGATTTATTGTATAGTATTAAGAACTAGGTACCTACTAGAAAAATATAATTATAGCGTAAGTTGGATGGACAAGTGCCGTAAAATTACTTAGGTACGTAAAACAAAAAGTGCTATTCAGTTTAAATAAAAATACAATTAGGTAACTGTTGATTTATTTAAAAAATATAAGTATAACACATATTAATTCTTATAAGCAATAAATTCGATAAACATTGTGCAAAATGCACCTTATGCTATTTAATTTTGAGTTTAAAATGTCATTTTACTACATAAGCATTATAATCTTTTTGCTATTATAATGTGATTTCTAGGTGACAGCTTCGGGTCGAACACCGGTTTTATTTCGCAAGAAAGACCTGAAACAAAAAAAAAATAATTTACGTATTTATAATATTTAAATTCGAAGAATATGTTTATTTTTTCTACATCGTTGATCCAGTGGTCGATTGCCTATCTATTACTTTTTATTTTACTAAGAGAATTCGTTTTAAGATTACTATGAACTAGCTGTAAAATAATGATAAAATATTTTGTGCCTAACTTGCATTCACAAATTTAAAAAAAAATGGCAATTATTCATTGGTAAAGCTCCGCAGTGAATATTTGTTTTGGGTAAATTTCAAATTTATTATAATATGATTTTATTTTATTTAGTTCACTCATGAAATAAGTCTGTGACCAGTTGATTCTAAACCATTGATTTTTTCTTATTCATTATCAAGGAAGGTTAAAAATTGTTTTAAAACTATAATGCAAACTGGAATATACCTAATACATAATTAATGATCAAAAAACTACCTTTCTACTATAGTAATAAGTACCAACATTCATATGCATGCAGATGTCGTTGTAAAAATACTTCTAGTACTTGAAAGTGCCAAACTTAAGCATAGTCCTAAGTTTAGATCTAATCTCGCTTCTGTTGAGTCGTGTTGTATAAGTAATTTATGAAATGTTGTCTGTACATACAAAATGTATGATGTGTAAAGTATTTCAGTGTCAAAATAAGTGTATTTTTGTCTCCACATTAAATTAATATGTAGTTAAGTGATTTTTCGTTTCATTTGTATAATATACTTCCTCTAGGTTTAAGTTTAAGAGCGTGAGAGAGCCTTGCACATGAATGGGCGGTCTCGAACGGAGTGATACCACGACTTCACAAAACACCTATATAAAATTTACCAACCTCGTTCAAGTATATATAGTACTCTATCTAGGAGCACAACAGTTTCTACAAGGGGTGCCAGTGCTAACCGTAGCGTGTAGACCACGACCACGCGTCGCCACTGCGCCAGGTCGGCGTGACCCCGGGACCAGGCTTCTGGACTCGATGGAAGGGAGATGTTGAGCCGCTCTGTTGCTTGAGAGCAGTACCTGATACAGCAAATATTCTTTATTCAACATATAAACATATAATTTACATTTTTAAATATTTCTTAAAAAAATAAAATAAAAAAAAATTAAAAATATAAAAAATAGTGCCCCACCGGTATCGGGAACAGGGTCCTACCTACCGGCGGTCAGGGCTCCAGAGAAAGGAACCTCCTGACAATACTAGCCGTGTCCAGGAGTACCACTTTCTGAATCAAGCCCTTGATCCAGCCACCTAACGAGAGCCTCCTAAGATGTTGGTCGAGGCTCTTAGCTATTAAGCCATTGGCTGACACGACTATCGGTACAATGATAGCCGAATCCACTTCCCACATGTCGACAACTTCGCGTGCCAAGTCGATATACTTAATATGTTTTTCTTTCAGCAAATATTATTGTGACGGAAAAGTGGTTCAAACTCTTTGACATCATGACGTCAATGGATGGTTGTCAAACGTTGCCTAGAGATTGTAAATTTCGTCGTGAATTGTCAACACGAGTTGGTGTAATCGGTAAGGCGTGTGGATTACACCAGAGAGACCCCGAGTTCGAGTCCCGCCGTAAGCATGAGTTTTTTAGTTGATGGAAGTTTTTGTGGAACTTTCTGGAATTATTTGTGTGAAAGAAATGAAAAATTAAAGAGTGAGAAGGAGAATAAATAAAAATGAATAATGAAATTATTGGAAGGTTCTGGAGGCATGACGATCAAAAAGAATAACGAAATGAATGAATGTTCCAGAACCTGACCGGGGGTATATAAGCGGAACTGCGGCTCACCGCTGGCAGTTGAGTTCAAAGTCCAAAGCGATTCGGAAGAAAAGGAAGAAGTGAAAAAGAAGAAAAGTGAGTGAAATAGTAAAGTGCAGTGAAATAGTGCAAGTCAGCGTGAACTGTGAGCGGCAAACGGAAGTTTGTGTCAGTCGCCCGGACTCTGCTGGAGAGGAACGCAGAAAACTTAACTCGGTGGACGCTGTCATTTAAGTGCAATAGAAAGTCTGAAAACCGGTATTAGTGTTTAATTTCATCCAATCCCGTAACCCAAGCCCGCATAGTCAGGAACGTGACGTCAGGCACGTAACATTATTATTATTGATGAAAGTGAACTCTTTAGATTACCTACATTTAATATATTTTGTCGTACACTTGTATATTTTTAAGTAATCACAGTTTAATATTGTACCACTCCCAGACCTGGAACAATAACAAAAAGACCTGGGCGGCGCTGATTGCTTACCATCAGGTAATCAGTCTGTATACAGTCTTATCACATACATAAAAAAAACAAATTGTACGACAGACTGTTTCCCACCTATTGTGCAGTCAATTAAAATATTCATAAGGTTGGTTGAAACAGATCTCTTTTGTTTTGTATTTTTTTATACTTTTTCTTCTTTCTTGCCTATGTGTTTTCAGTTAGTGATGCAAGTAACTATTCTCTATGTAAACTTACTAAAACTAAAGACCAACAATAACAGTAACTGCAAACTATACTCACTGTTCAAAAGACATGGTGTTAGAGTGTTTGATGCTCCTCACCGGTGAATGGCGGAGTTTTGGATCTTGTTCCACCAGCATCCTTTCTAGAGCAGCTCTGTATGCGTGTATCTGTAAATACAATATTAATTCATTAGATAACACTATTAATAATTGTGTGTTATTCTAAATGTTTCCAACAGATCAAATTCAACATTTTTCTATGAATGTTCTTTATATATTATATAATACTACATATTTTGTGGGGCGATCATTTTTTTAAATGTCAAATAGCGTGGGTTCTTATATCTCTTGAATTATCTAAAAATACGAATATTAAGACCTTATATCGTAAAATTAATATGAATCCGTGATTATTTTTGAATATTTTTAAGATTTCTAAGTTCACTGTGATGTCATACATCAGCTACCACATCCACCATGTAGTTTATTTAAGAATAAGATATTTTTTAAACGGTTTTATTTATTATTTGTTTAGAATGTAAATATTACAATAAGATGTTAACAATGTTCAATAGTCCTTATACATTCTGCCTTTCGGCATACAAACATTTATGGATAAACGACATTGGGGTACATATATAAAACAATATAGCTTACAGGGGGTGATTCTTCACATCAATTAAAAAAAAATTAATAATGTCATTATCCTCAACCGAAAATTAACGAGTCTGCTGATTAAAACACAGATAATTATTTTATTAAATTAAATCTCACCACTGCTTACAAGCAACCGATTAAAAATATTGTATAAAATAAATTACTAAGATGCTTAAAAACCTGGGAGGATAATGACTTGTTAAATAAAAGTTAAGGTTTTTTGGAGAATCACCCACTACCACCAGTGCATGTTCAATTATATATTACAAATCATCATTAAAAAAATCGGATGATGAATAGTAACATTTTTGCAAAAATAACTCGGTTAGACGTTTTTTGAATATTCTAAATGGTTGATCTTTAATAACTTTAGTTAACATATTGTACACTTGTGGTGGTATGGTATACACATGACGCTTTTTTTAAAAGTGTTGTTTTATACCTACCTGTGTGCAATAAATTTGGATACTGAGATCTCATAAAATTTGTCCTCTTTCACATAACGATGGAAACAGAAGAATAGCCATTTTTGTAAAAAATGGCTATTTCTAGGATGTACATGGGAAGGTAAGTAACTTTGTAATTTGAAATTAGGAACACAGCTGTCTGTAACCTGTTAAAGATGGATCTAACGCATCGTTTTTGGGCTTTGAAAATGTTTTCTCTTTCACTACTATTACCCAAGAATATGATGCCAATACCACGAGGCCACGGTAAGCGAGAAGGACTGTTTTGATATTGACTTTTTTAGATAGGTTGTATAACATGTGGGCGTAAATACTTAGCTTTTTACAAATATATTCAGCTTGAGGTTCCCAAGTTAGTTGATTGTCGAATTAAAAAAAAAATAAAAGAATAAAAAAAATAAAAAAAATAAAAATAAAAAATTAATAGCCCTAAAAATTTGCTAAATTTACATTTTGAGTCTTATGACCATCATAAATGACGTTTAAGTCTTCGGGGTTATTTCGTTGGTAAAAATGCATGATATTAGTTTTTTGAATATTTATTTTTAAATTATTTTAATTAAGGCAATTCACTATAAATCTAAGAGTATTGTTATTATCATTTTCATAGTTTTCTTTACTTGTGCATTTAACTATTGCTGTACTGTCGTCAGCAAACAATATGATTGGATGGTCTATTTGGAGTGGAAGGTATATATATGGTATAAATTAAAAATAAAGGCGGACCGAGAACACTTCCTTGTGGGACGCCATATTTGATGTTTGTATAAGACGATCTGAATTTATTTCGCGTTTTGAATTCGAGCAAATATTACAAACTTCAGTATATTGCAAACTACCAGTACGATAGGATTTCATAAAATTTAATGATTTTCCTCGAATCCCATAAGCTTGAAGCTTGTTTATAAGTGTCGTATGATCTAGGTAGTCGAAAGCCTTTGTCATATCCGTGAAGATGGTGCACACCAGTGTTTTATTATCTACATTTACCATTCCAGTTTTTAATAAAACGAATATATTGATGTTTTTATCTTTACGGAAACCTTTTTGTTTCGCGACGACGTCGCCGCGTCCGCGCACGCTGCTCATAAGGAAGAACCCCTCAGTGGTTCGAAACTAGTAGAGCTTTTCTCGGTTATTATAAAAACCTTTTTTTTGTTACATAGTAAGTTAAACTTTGACAAAAAATTGTAAATTTATCAAGCAATAAAATAATATTACCTTCAAATCTTCATAATTGCCTTTGCACAGCCTTTCACAGTACACCTCAATTGCATGGCAAGCTATCTCTCTACTGGCAAAAGAGAGATGACTATCCAAACTCCTTACGAAGTCACTCATTGGGTATCCCCTATTCAAACCATCACAGGTCAACTTCATAAAACAACATCCAACAACACAAATAAACTTTATGTTTTCATATTCAACAAACTGCTTCAATAATAAAGGGCCCAAGTCTCCGCAAGGATGCAAGCCAATTAATCCATAGTTTTCCATGAATTTTGGTAAAGCAAGTTCTGTCACCTGCTTGTGAGTTGATAATGTCATATTGAAGTGTAGGGGGCGCTTCAGTTTGCTTACAGCCTCGCTTGTCAAGTGCTTCTTTGCTGTGTACTCTAACTCCAAATCAAGTTTCCTGAAAGAAGATTGGTTACTATAGATAAGTTATTTGTTCAGATCAATTTTTTGCCTTCTGCTTCAATAAGAAAACAAAACAACAAACCCACTGACAAAAGCTACATTTAATTTTGTGTAAAAAACCACTAAGATATAATTATTATGTTGTGGTTGTTATGCCATTCATACATACCAAGAGTACAGACCTAGCCTCCTCCGTCAGTTGTGACTGGCACTCAATTCCAGCAGCATGCATATCATCTCTGTAAGCTAGCACTCGCACCAGGTGTCCCAGACCTGAACCAAAGTCTATTACAGAGCTACAACCAGTTTGAACAGCAGTATCAACTACTACACCAGCCATTAAACTAATTTCATGTCTCTTCTTCAATTTCACATGCTTCAAAAACAGATTTTTTAACCTCGGATGATGTTTGCAAGCATTCAAGTCTATATGTTCTGTTTCATTTAATGTTATATCCTGTCGCTCTCGTGGTATAGTTAGGGCTTCAATCGACTTTATCAGGGCCAAAAATGACAGTGGCAGCAACATATTTGTTTCTTTTTTGGAGAGAATGTCTCCTAAATGTTTAGGGTCCATATGTTCGAAGGTATGTCGCCACGTACTCGGCAATTTGTTCCAATGGTCGTCGACAAAGAAATCCTAAAATAAAAGTTATACATTTTTTAGTTACCTATTGTAAATTCATTAATAGTTATAGCTGTTTCGGCCAAATATACTCACCAAAACATATAGATCCAGAAGCCAATCATACATTCGTATAACTTTGAGCGACATTTCGAGACAAGTTTTCACATCTTCTTTATAAGAAAACATTCTAATTAAAATATCAGAATAATCAATGAAATATTACTAAAGTCACAAGTTCACAACACGGCACGTTCGTTTCTCCAAGTTTATTTTGATTTAGTTGTCAATGTCAAAAGACATGGCATTTGATAAACAACACTAGTGTTGTATCTGATTCTCAAGCATGAAGTATTTTAGTCGATTGACAAAATATTGTAGTATCGAATGAATGAGATTGATTCGATATAATCATAAGACTGGTATACCAACCCATATGAATGTAGACCAGTATAAAGTCTAGATTCTGAATCTGTTTATTGATTGGTATCTGGACACAACCATCTTGCGCATAGCCTATTCATTGAGATAACGAATAAAACTAAATTGTCATAATGATGTCTTTATTACGAATAATTACGGACTAGATATAATCTTACATAGCAAAAAGCATTACAAGTTAACGATAATGTATATTTTGCTACATATCTACTAGTATCATATTTGAAGATAAATTAAAATTAGGTACACACATTTAAATCGGACACAATATTACATAATTAATTTTATTTCGATCTATTGACAATAAAATTGTAAACACTGCATACAATAATTGAGACCTACGTTTTCATAATGTTAACATTTCATTAGACGAACTTATTTGTTTATTGAAACTGTTTAGATTAGATACACTTATAAAAACTGAAAAAAAAATGCCACAGCTTAAAAAAAATGTAGTTATCCGATTTCAGTGGTTTGATAAAAATATTGATGTTCGAAATAGGATACTTTGGCAATAAGCATCATACTTCGCAATACGTAAGTTCGTAAAAATCGTTCTGACCCTTCATAAAAGTTTTTTTTTGTTTTCAGTCGAATTTATGTGATTATATTTAAATGCATTAGTAGTTCTATTTAGTCCATTGTATGTTACAATGAATTTATAGTTCAATATATTACAAAATCACATAATAATATAAAATAAAACGGTTTATTTTAATAAAATTTATAGTCAATTAAATAAAAAAATATCTTGATGCCTTATAATTACGCTAAACTGGTTAAAATAAAAATAAAACCCGTAGGCATGTACCTAATTAACTTAATTTAACCAGGTACATGAATCTGGAAAATCATAAAAATAAAATATGTATACGTAAATACCTTCAGGCAAAGTATGATTAAGAAAATGCAGAGATTACATGAGATTCAAAGTTTCTTTTATGAGACTATCCAAGACAAGCTAGATCGCCTCCCGTCTTTTATAACTCTTCCTGCTAGGAAAAAAAGTCAAATTTCGTTCAAAACACAGACTCCAACAGTATTGTTCACACATGATTAAGACAATAACACAACAAGCTTATAAATTAAGCCTTATAAAACAAAACATCAATATTATTATTGTTACACAATTATAGAAAAATCACTGCAACAAATAGCACTATCATTAAAGCTGGTTTTCTCTTTCTGCCTAAAAACTTAACAACATTAAGAATATAAAACAATGACGCCTAATGTTCATCTTGCAGTTAAACTACACACATCAAAAAGAGAATAACTTATATCAGGTCTTCATATACCGCTTTAAACTTAAATTGAGCAAATTGTAATAAAAACAATCACAATGAAACAAGGCGGCCTGTTTGAATCGTAACATAATGGAATTGTTGACTAAAATTATTTAGGTAATAGATACACACTTAATAATAAGCTTTTGTTGCTATTACCCTAACTTGATAATTTTTAATACAATACATAGATAAATAACAAGCTAGTCTTTCGGCGAAAATCATTTTGTGGGGTCGAACGCTAGAATTTCTGGCACAATATTCGTGCCTTTCCCCGGGAAACGTAGGGAGCGCTTCAGAACTGTAGTGCGGGTAGTAAGCACCTACCTGATCTAACTTGAAGTAATCGTAAGTAGCTGCAACTTTCTTAAGTTGAGTATCCAGAGAACATGGAGTGACAATGTAGAACCTGTAATTCTTATTGTATTCGGCCTTTAGTCTTTCGGCACTAGATAGCATGGTATCCACTTTATCAAATAATGCCTCCACAGGTATAGATCCGTACTTGTGTATAAACGTGGTGGGAGACAGTCGATACTTGTGCCCTGTCTTCTTGTCCTTGTACACTTTGGTGGTGCTCTCCAATTGGAGTAAATATGTCGGTATGCTATAGCTGTGCGTCGTTACAATGTAGGTATGTTGTCCATAGTTGCTCGCTTTCTTCAGATCATGATGAATGCCTTTGGCTAACGGATATATACCACCCTGGTGGATGAAACCGAAAAAGATAGTGAGCAAAATGTTAAGCAAATACCAAACGTATCGGAAAATAAATTTCCACTTTCTAGTAGCCCTTCCTTCGATTTCGTTGGGATAGAGATGGTTGCCAAATAGGTAAATCAGAGGTACCAGCACTGGGACGATGAAACGAGCTTCTTGATGAGGAAAATAAGAAAGCACTGCAATAGGTATCACTAAGGAGAACATCATTAGGCCTGTGATACTTTGGATTCTAGGCAATTTGCTGTACTGGCCGCGGACGAACCTAGAACAATTTAAGTAAGTATATCAAATCAATATCAAGTAGTCACACTACACCTAATTTTACTATCACATAGAATAGTATCATAAAACAAACAATAAAAAACTTATGTGTTATTGACAGCAACTTTCGCTTTATTTATGAGGTAACTGATAAATTATGTCCACTAATCGAAGTTCCAGGTGAGATCGAGTGCTCCTAAGGTAAAATGAATTACAACCAATCATGTTAGTAATATATCCTAACCAACCATATTGCTGTGTTGTGAAAATAAACAAATGTCAGGCTTGCCGTGTTCAGTAAATTAATTACAGTGAGTCACTACTACTGACTGTAGTAGGTAAATACATAGTAGAATCATATATTTATTTATAGTTTGTATGTACCAAAAGGTTGAATTTTGCTTATATGTATTAGACTTATTAGGTTGTATAGATAAAAATGTAAAGAAATTTACATGTCTCAGGAGCTACTCACCTATACGCGTTGATAGATAGGGCAACAGTAGCGATTATTCCGAGCACGTTGAACAGCAGCGGGACGTTGACGACCACGTGCAGCCAGCGCGGGTGCAGGCCGTGCTTCTTTAGGTTCCCAGTATCAGAGTTGTACCGTAGGAAGTTGAGCGGCGTCACCACCCAGTTGTCCCACGATATCTTCAGCGACTCTATGTCCGCCATTGTTATGTACCCATAGTAACCCGAATCTACCAGGATAAGCAACAACGCAGAGGGTATTCCGCATACTATGAAAGTAAATATGCGAAAATGGAAATCTTTGAACCCTACCACGGTGGAACCCAATCCCCGATGGAGCCAAAAGAAAATAGGAGCAAAGGCAAAACATACAAATGTAGGACGATTGAAAATGCCAATGACCACGATTGTGGCCAAAATAATTACATTGTTCAATGAATGCTCTGGCAAATGTGTCGATAGTTTAAAAATCTTCACTTTTTCAACAGTAGTAGCAGCTTTTTCATACTTTTCTTTTAAAAATTCGTTATGATAGATAACTTTGTCAGACTTCTGCATGGACTCCGCAACTATGAGGAGCAGCAAAGAAAAGAATATAGTTTCGAATGTGTTTGAAAAACTTCTACAGCAGTAGACAAAAACCACGTAGGAGGTGGCGAATATAGTAAGTCTATGTTTGAAATTCTGTCCGTATAAGACGCAAATTCTATATAAACAGAAGTCATTTATAAGGGACAAGAAACATATGAATAGTCGCGGTATCATTAGTAAATAGTATGGAGTTTTCAGATCGATTCCCACATAGTGTTTAACATAGGGGTGGAAGAATTGGATGAAGTGAAGTGGCGGGCCGAGTATCATTTTGGGCACGAATATGTTTCTGATGGGAAATTTCGGGTCGAATTCCCATGTTTTCGATACGTCGATTGAGAAGATATCGCCTGCAACAAAAAAACAAATAAAATTTTCAAAATAATCATAGCAAAACGCGACGACGTCGTAGTCGTCATATTTGGAAAAAAATACCTATCTCTTAATTTGTCCCCGTCCACAAACCTCGGGCTATTATTTTTACTACAGTTCTCTGACGAAAAGATTGACACTACCGTTTTATAATGATATATATATACTTGTATCTTAATGTTGGCCCATTTAAAGTACTGATAAGCGTATGCTTATTTATATTATTGCAGTGTTAATCATAATATACTTTTCATGTAAAGTGTATGAAATTGTGCTTCTGTAGAGAAAAAAAAAATGTATTACCTACTTTACTAAACGGTACAGTTTTATCACACTAGCAGCTTAGAAAGCTGATGCGTGCGTATTAATGGATTTGGATATTTTGTCGAGTCTGTTTTTTAAAAGAATTAACCGTGGGTGCTTTTATCACATTTTCTGGGAGTTTATTCCATTCCGTGAACACCATATAAATATTTATCTGTATTTAAACAAGAACGAACAGATGTGAGTAATAATATCAAAGATGAATGATTAAGTTTATAACAATCATGAATTTTCATTACTTCAGTAACTAACATAATATTGTTAAATATTGTTACTAATATATTGTTATTATATTAAATTTTTGCAAAAAAAATATATTAGCAGCCTAAATTACATTAATCTTGATGTACTTTAGTCTCACCTACTTTACAAACCGTTGAGGGCTATATATATAGCTACACCCACAGCTGAAACTATTTATGGAACTATCCAATTTGGGTAGTCTCCCTGGTCATAAACAAAATATATATTGACTCTTCAATACAAATAATTTTTAAAATATGTATAAATAAAGTTTTATTTATTGATTTGATAGGTAATATACTTTATTAAATTTTAAATTCTTCTAGCAAATTTTTCATGATGATTTTTTTATAAGAAATAATAAACAATAAATCATCAAATAAAGTTATAAAGTATTGAATTTAACTAATAGGAACTACTGGATTTGGTTGTTACTTACAAGTATCAACACCCATATACTAGATTTTTATGTCAAGATGTTATAAATAGATCAGATTGTTAGTGTATTGATTTTACAATATGCTCAGAAAATATCACATGATCATTTTTGTATTTATATTTTAGGTTTATAAAGTAAATGGTATCAAAATAGGGATGTGATGAAACATAATATATTTTTATATGTACCTAATAACAATCAAGGTACTGGTGACAAAACAGGACCCTTTTAGTTGGGCTGTGTTCAATCTGTTTACATACATAAATTATTATTATCAATTTAAATTGATAATTAATGTATTTTCCAGTATGAATGCTTTTTCGCCTTTCCCTTTGTAATAAGTAGACGAAAAAAATTAATATCTAAATTAAAACATGTTGCTGTTCACCATCTGGTACCAAATAAATTAATAAAATTCAATGAAAACCTTATTTATTTTAACCCAAAATATAAGAGAAGTGTTTCCTACAATCATCAATTTAATTTAATGAGTTGTACTGTAAATAGTGTCTGAGAAATTAATATAATATTGGTACTTACTAAAAATAGCAATATCTATATGGTAAATATTAAATAAAATAAAACTGTAGCAACTTAATAATTGGTTAAACCGTTAAATAAACCAACCTGCGATTACTTCAACGTTCTGGAAAAACTCGTCTGGGTGTATGTAGCCCCGCTGCGGAAGAATGGTGAACAGAAATCTAAGTAACACCAAAAGCCAATAATGTAATGGTAATTTGGCTGTTTCCTTAAATGAGATGGCTTTCAGAATTTCCGTATCAACAAACATCTTGGTTTCACACCGATTGGCCGTATAGGATATATAAACTTTTATTAATTTTGCTAATTAATCGTCAATGCAAATATAGGTACATTTTAAGACGAACGCCGACACCCGGCCCCTAACGATTCTCCCCGGTTTCTAATTGACACTTGGTTGGCTATTATTTTTGACAGCCTTTTTTGTTTGCAGTAGGGATGTACCCACTCGATTTCACCAAAAAAATAAATCGACTAACTGACATTCAACGTGAATGATTAATGTTTGAATAGTTTGGAATTATATACTAAAGTTTATTTTGGAATAATTTTAAATGTAAGTTAGTCAAGTTGTTACCTTTTCAACAATACCACCTAAATAATTTGTAGGCTATAAAGAAGGGGAGCAAATGAAGGGACTTCGGTAGTAATTCGGGTGCATCAGATTAAAAAAATGATTATTTTTTTAATAAATAAATGTAACCTAATACAGTGAATTTCGTCAAATTAAGCTAATACAGTTTTATTTCACTATTCACATAGGTACACTATCAAATATACTATACACGGGCCACATACAGTATCGAATATATCAGGTCCAAGCACTATAAAAAGTTGCGATTAAATTTTTTGGAAAACTATCGATTTCTCTGTCCTACACCGGAGGCAAAAAATGACATTAAATCATTTTTTAATACTATTACCATATTTTCAATGGCCAGTCGATCCCTGCGGCGCTTGAGTACCTTTTTTTTTATTTGTGAGGGGAAGTCATCAAGTTACTTCTTCCGCCCAGGGTCAGGGGGGAGGGAGTGTCAGACTCTTACTGACTAAAAACCCCCCTGTTCCTGAACAGGGGGGTTTTTAGTCAGTACTCCTGCTCTAGGCCGAGGTCGCGGTGCCTCATTGCGCTTACCCCGCAACCCCGGCTGAACGACGCTTGAGTACCTAACTACAAATGTATCACCCTGGGCTCCCTTACTATTAGCCACGGCACCTTTTAAATACTTAGCTTGACCAGAGGGTAGTCGTTAATTTGGTCGCTTGCGAATTGTTGACAAACCAGGCAGAAATGGGTCCAGTTTGACGAAGTTTCTTTTGCTCATCATAATATCAGACACAAGATTTTAAATACTTAGCTTGACCAGAGGGTAGTCGTTAATTTGGTCGCTTGCGAACTGTTGACAAACCAGGCAGAAATGGGTCCAGTTTGACGAAGTTTCTTTTGCTCATCATAATATCAGACACAAGATGTCCAAACCAGAACATAGGTTTCCGCCAGATATTTCTAGATTAGGTACTTAAGTCAGTACTGATACAGATAGTCATCTTTTTTTATTTTATTTATTATAGCTACTCTCGTGCGGTTTCACCCGCTGCTCGGTCCATTTAATCGTAGCGTGATTTTTTATAACCTTTAGCACTCAAGAACATTGTAGCTATCTGCCAGTGAAAGAATTTTGGAAATCCGATCAGCGGTTCCAAAGATTACCCCCTACATACAAACTTACAAATTTTACCTCTTTATAATATTAGTATAGATAAACTAGCTCTTACCCGCGGCGTCGCTCCAGTCATTTGACTACTATCGTACTCTACCTACCCTACCAACCCTACTCTACCTACCAACTTTACTCTACCTACCCTACCCTACCAAACCTACACTACCTACTACTACCTATAGGTACCTATCCTATGTCCTTCTCCCAGTTCTTAGCTACCTCCCTACCAATTTTCAGCCATATCGGTTCAGCAGTTCTTGAGTTATAAGTGGAGTAATTAACACGACTTAATTTTATATATATATATAGATATGGGGCTATTATCCATGAGAATACGCCAACCCCATCGTACCTTGTGTGCTACCTACAAACATTATAATAAAAAAGAAAGTCATCTACCTATATTCAAGATTGACTGGTTGGAACTTTGGAAGATGTATTGGGTATTTCAATAATAAATTTGAATAAAAAAGAAAAGACAAATGGAAATAATATTATGATATGATTTTATTGTTTCGTTAATACATACTTGGTATTAGTTACAGTTATGAGCAATTTTTGGCACATTGTGTGCCCATTATTAATTAATTTTATAGGTATTTAAATACCTAAGCAAAGATTAGTTAAAATGATCTAATGCTATACAATAAATTAGTTATGTATGTGTTTTATAACATAAACTGAAGTAAATATTATTATATTGAACAGTTATAACAGTTTTCAAGCTGCTTTTAATTACTATGTTATTTGGAAAGTTATATTTTAGCAAATAAACTTTATGGTTTCATTCATTACTTGACATCATAATTAACTATATAAGCAGGCATCCATTTCATTTTACCTAATAATGTTTACAAGTTACAAGTTTGTCCGAAAATACAGATCGAGACACAAAACTGTAACCGGAGTTTCGTGTCAAGTGAGATAAGAAATCGCGGCCATGGCCTACACCAGAAGAAACTAAGGATTTTGAGTCAGTAAGAGTCTGACACGACTATCCCTCCTCAAAACAGATAAGTACGAAGACTGCAAGTCGAATAAATTATACATATGAATATTATAGTATTGACTCAAAAAGTTTATTTGCTAAAATCTTAAACAATATTTCTATGGCAACATTTCTATAATAGGGTACTTTATACATTACAATCTATGGTTGGGCAACAGTAATCAAGGAGGGACAAACCGAAAACCAAGCCAAGCCGCCATAAAGAAATGACTACTTATATCTGTCAAATTTGGATGAATAGTTTGTGCATTGGAAGTTATCATCAGACATAGTTTTAGTACATAACATCAAATCGAAACTTAATTTAAAACGATTAATTTTTATTTTAATTTAAAGGCCAGTTTCAATAACCTAACTGATCCCTACAATAGGTATTTGGGTAAGACAAAGAAATGAGAATTACTGCAAGGCTGATACAGCGGGTGACTGAAAATTATTTTGTTTATTAACATTTAAATCATTTAATATAATTCTGGGTCCAGTAATGACGTTCGTCTGAAAAAAGACTGCGGTTGCGGGGTAAGCGCAATGAGGCAGCGCGGTCTCTGGTTAAAGCAGGAGAAGGAACGGGGGGTTTTTAGTCAGTAAGAGTCTGACACTCCCTCTCGCCTCAGCCTGGGCGGGAGAAGTAATTTGATGATTTTCCCTTACCAAAAAAAGCTACAACAAAAGAGAAAAGATTATCGTCCATAATAAAAAATGCGTCAAATTAATCTTTAATGACCAAATCTAAGGTCGGAGAGGTTATTGAAACAGGCCTTAAATAGGTAAGTAAATAAAGAAATAATCACACATCAGTTTATATCCACTAGAATATTAAAGTATAACATTACATAACACTGGCCAATATTATTCTAAGGTACATAAAATAGTTATATAAAATTATTAATAATGTATATATAAAAGTATAAATAGTAGCTATTTACATAAATATACAAGGGTGCTACAATTTTTTTGTAGTTGTACAAATATTGTACTAAGCTTAAACATCTGTATACTGTAAGCAGTAAGGTTTATTTTGCGGTTATAATTGTTAAAAGATATGCATGGGTACTTTACTAGGCCTTTGTATTGAAGATTTTTAAATTCAGACCTAAATTACAAGAATTATTCTAAATATCAATAATTACAATGGAATGTTAATGCTACAAGTAATTATTGGTTACAATATTAATAACTCCAATGTGAACGATTAATTATTTCTTTTGAAAAATATACGTTTAAATTCTACTAGGTATGTCTAAACAAATGTATCTGTAGCGAGAATAGCATTTCATGTGACAATTCCAATAAGTACTTTGATAACACCCTTTTACAGGCTAAAATTAATAAGCGACCTAAAGGTTTTGGCCTGAGGTCGCTTATTACCTTCAGCCGAATATATGATTTTCACCTACTTGTGTAAATATTCCTATTCCATATGTATATCAGTCTTATAACACCAAGGCATGTCCTCTCCGAATTTGCACTGATGCGCGTTGTTTTTAGCGTCGTACAGCAGTGAGTTATCGACATAAGCGTCGCATACATTGCACCACACTGACAAATCGACTAAGGACAACACTAGCGCGTGGCCGGTGGCTGCGAAGTGAGCTTGCATGTGTCCATTAATACTGCGGGCGCAGGCCGTCTAGAAAAAAAGAATACATTATTACAGCTTATTCATCTTTATCTACACCTTTTGTATCGATGTCGAATAATTACCCCTGGGTGAAATGACACCAAAAAGTATCCTTTGTTGAAAATATAATAACTCAATAACACTAATGTGAAAAATAAATTTAAGTGTAGGAGAGCCAAAGTTTGGGCAGTTATGGGGTTATCGGAGGTCCAATCCTTTGTTTCTCCCCATCCCTCCCAAAAGCCGCAACGCACTCATCTGGGTGTCGAAGCACGGCGCCAATTGCCTACCATCAGGTAATCCGTCTGATCATTCGCTGTCCCAACACATAGGAAAAATAAAAGCCTAAATACAGATATTTAAAAATAGTTTTACTTACAATGTAACAATGTAGGCACACCCAATTCTCTTCCGTAGAATCACAGTCTACGCACTTGACACCTTGTTCAAACTTCACATCGGTAGGTAAAGTGTACAGAGAGTCTAGGTGAGGACACCACTGTAGGGGGACCACCGCAAACATCTCACCGTCGAGTATCGATTGCATATTTTCTGCTAAATAATCGACTAAAGTTGGTTTCTTCTCTGGTTTTGCAGTGTTCTCTAAAGGCCTTTTCCCAGGACTAGATGGGATGTCTTTGGTGAGTTTTTTGCCACTGCTGGTACCAGCTTCAGGGTTCTCAGTACTGCTTGACGGCTTCGGTTGGTCATCCTCGTCATCTGTACCGCAGTGTATACCGTCGGAACACTTCTTTTCTATATTTAAGTTTCCCATGCTCGCTTCAAGTGACGTTTCTAAGTTGCTAGCGCTTGATTTGGCTGACACATTATGTATCTCCTCGTTGCACGTTGATATTTCAAGATCTTGATCTATCACCAAGCCTCTGGATGGCAGTGGTGGTTCTAGTACATTATCTGCTGGTAATGCAACTTGAAACTTGAGACATTTCCAGTACTTCTTGTGCGTGTTGATGACGTCACGGATGGAATCGATGGCGGACCAAGAGCATGGGGTCTTGGGGTCGTAGTGGTAGAAGATGGGGTCCCCAAGCAGAGCCTTGGTGCACATGGTCATGCAGTAGGAGATGCTGGTGATGTTGTACCCCCCTTCGAGACATAGAACGACGCGTCCCCCCGCTAGTCCCCTCAGTAACTGCGTCATACGACCGTAGCACTCAGGGGTCACTTTGCAACCTACAAGAAAACAAATTAACATTCAAGTTCCATACGTATCGTTAGTGTAGCAGTTTTATAAGTGTATGTTCGATTATCGCGTAATGAGAAAATATATCTTATTTTGAGGATTTATTTGAACATGTATTTGTTAATAGAATGAATTAATAAATGAAACCCTTAAAACATGTTAACTTAACTTTTTTTGTGCTGTTGAGAGGAGTCATACAAATTTAATAGTGTTCTAAGTCATTTTAGAAGATAACTAGTTATTTTTATTAATAACAATGTGGTTCTTGGTGGATACACTATATGTTAATAATACTAACCTCCAAGCGGGTCCCCGACGCAGGCATCGAATCCAGCGGATACAATAACAAGCTGAGGGTTGTAGGAATACGCTATCGGCAGTATGACTTGTGTGAATGCCGTCATGTACTCCACGTCACCCATTCCACGCTGTAAGATACGAGAAAAAAAATATTATTACTACTACACTATCAGCTGTAGCAGCATAGTAAGTATGTGTCCAAAGGACGGCCTTGATCGCTTACTATCATTAGATCATTCAACTATACGATTGTAATCTTTCCCATTAAAAACAATCCTCTAAAAAGTCGCGATATTATATCTTAGCACTTCTGCCTTAATACATAAAGAAAGATTTTCCTATGTAACCAAGCAAATATATTTACAATTTTGTCAAAGGATAATCAACTATACGATGTATAAAAATAAGGGCTAACATACCGAGTTCCATGGCACGTTGACATTGTATCCCTCCCCCTTCCCCGTGCCCACGGCGGTGTGGTTGGCGTCCTTCGAGTGAGGGAAGAACAAACCGTTGTCGTATCGGTGGATTGACATGTACAGGATCTGGAAATAAATCATTGGTTTTTTAACAACTAGGAAGTGAGAGAAAGCCAATAAATTGTAAATGTAAAGAGTCTGTCAGGAAAGTTTGGCATTACCTATTATATTTTTTTTACAAGTCGTCCTAGCCCGTTTCCTTCTCATAAATTAGGGTGACAAATACCAATATGACTTTTTTTTTAAATATAGTCCCTCATAACCATATAACTATATCCTTCCATAAACCTTCTATTGATAAAACAAACAACAAAAATCTAATTGCCAAAATAGGTCCAGCCGTTTATGAGTTACGGGTTTACCAACACATTTTGTGCATCATTTTTAATACATTATTTGTACGGGACCCATATATAAAACACTAGATTTTTTTTTAATTCTGAAATAAACAAAAAACTTACCCTATTATCATGATACGTGATCCTTTGGGTGCCATTTCCATGATGGACATCCCAATCCAGTATAAGGACCCTGTTCAGTCCATGGTTGTCTATAGCGTACTTCGCAGCGGCTGCAGCATTGTTGAGAAGACAGAAACCACTTGGGATCTCCTCGTCAGCGTGGTGACCAGGTGGACGGATCACGCAAACACCGCTGCCACACTCGTTTGTCAATACTGAGTCCACCATCTAAGGCAATAAGGTTCATTGATCATGTCTTATTTGAAGACATAAGAGTTGCGGGGGGGGAGGGGAGGTTATTTGAACAAAAAAGGAACAGGAAATAGCTATAATATAAACCTTAGGCACTATGGACATACAAAACATATTTAACAATATTGTAGCTCACAGCTCCCAGATTATCTGTGTGAAAGTTAAGCAAAATCTCTAGGGTGATCAAATGTTAATTAATTTAGCTATGGGACAGGATTATCTATTCTAATATTATAAAGGTAATTTTTTTTTAGTTTGTATGTTTGTAAGTTAGTATGTAGGGGGTAATCTTTGGAACCGCTGGTCGGATTTCCAAAATTCTTTCACTCATATGCAATGTGGGGGTTTGTAGGTACGAAATGATGAGACGTGTTGACTTGACTAAGGCGTATATTATACTGTTTGATTAACCTAAGCTTAATACTAAGTACATGTTGTATGGAGGATCGGCTTACACACTACACATAGATAGCTACAATGTTCCTGAGTGCTATAAAACATCACGCAGCGGTCAAATAGAGCTGAGCAGCGGGTAAACCCGCGTGAGACTTGCTAGTAAATCAATAAAAAAGAAAAGTTAAACTTAGTAATCAGACTAACCTGTAGGACGCATCCGGCGGCGACGGCAGCGCTCTCTAGCGAGTCGGGGTGGAAGTACACGGAGTCGTACGCGTTCTTCTGTACGTGTAGGTTTCTTAGACTCGTCGAAGCCAGCTCTTTAAGTCTGCAGGAAATTCAACCATCTTACTAATATTATAAATGCAAAAGTTACGATGTTTGGATGTTTGTTACTCAATCATGCCAAAACGGCTGGACGGATCTGGATGAAATTTGGCACAGGTATAGGATAAACTACAGAATAGGACATGGCTACTTTTTATCAACATACTACGAGGGCGAAGCCGCGGGCGGAAGCTAGTTTATGAATAAATCTTGTCTGTTATGCTATTAAACAGTACAGTCATAAAAATCTCAAAATGTTGGCACATGAACTAGAAAGTATTTGCAATTCCGGCTACAAGTTTGTTACCAACAACAAAAAAAATGTTTTTACATCTGAACTACCAAAATCGCAATCGTTATTAGTTGTAGTAAAGCTTCTAATCATAATTCAGATTTATAAATCAGGAAAGAGCTAGACTTCATTCCCATACTTTATCTCTTTAAGATAAAATGAACCTAATGAGCATTATCACATAAGGTATATTTTCCCTTACCTATTTAAATGTGTCTCAGTATGAACAGCCAATATTTCTTGATCCGTTGCTTTTCTCGCAGTTAGTTGATGGACTCGGTCTAATAGACCGAAGTCTCTGTGACGTTCATGTATACGCATTATTCGTTCTGGACATTCTACGTGGCCACTAGAAATTCAACAGTATTTTATGATAAGTAAGGTTCCTTTTTGAGTGTTTAGTACTTATTTTAAGAAACTACAATTTGTAGGGATGGTTATTATTCGTATAGTTAATTAAGTAACAATTTACTAAATAAAATATTTCTCTTTTATTCGTAGATAAAAGAATATGTTTCTTCTGAGCAATTTTATATTTAAACTCTAATAATATTAAGGTCTTTTATTGCTTGCAGACTTTAAAGTACATACGGTTCGCATATATTTTTGTGTTTTAGCATAGCTTGGTCGTAAATATAGCCGACTGCGTGTTGGGGTATTGATAAGTCAGTAACTGAAACAAAAAATATACAAATTTTAAAAATAATGTCACAAAAAACATCAGAAAATCTTCAAGTGTTAATCAAAATATTACGTTAAATCTGTATCTGCCCAATGGCGGATGTTGGTATGACTTAAGAGTTTCAGTTCATTTTATCATAAGCCTGTAAGTGCCTACTGCTGAGCAAAGGCTTCTTCCCACACGGAAAAGGTTTTAGCATTAATCACAACGCTTGCTTAAGGCGCATTGGCGATTTCAAACTTATAATAAGAAATTATAAGTCTAGGTTTACTCACGACGTTATCCTTCACCGTATGTCAGTGGTGTCTAAATAATCGTAGAATGTACAAATCGGAAAAAGTCACATTGGTACTTGCCAGGTTTCGAACCTTATGCATGATAAGCCAGCGCCTTAACCTCCGGGCCACCACGACGTTTTGCGTCTTAATACAGTTAAAAAGTACATATGTTTCTTATTAACTTTCGTGAGACATTCTAATTATTTATATATATTCTTAAACATGCGACCAGTAGCAGCGCGACAGTCGCCGGGTCGCGGAATGCTGCTCATGAATATGGGCCTCTAGCATGGCTTGAAACTAGTCGAGTACTACTCGTCGAATTATTACGTGAGTAAGCCGAAAACATAATAATTAAGTACATATGACTTGAGGTTAAGGGCCTCAACCTCGGCGCCTCCTCGACTACTTTATACATTACTTTCCAACCGACAGAACGGGACATCATTACTGAGGACCTACGCTCGTTACTAAGGTGATTCAATGATAACTCACCCAATCTAAGATGGTTCAATCGTTCAGCGATCCTCATTTTAGTGCCATCATCTTGTACGGGATAACAGTTTCTTGTAGCGAAGGTATCAGGTCTAGTTTCGTCTCCCTCCCACCTTACAATAACCGTATGTTTCTCTTTCGCTTCATCGCAAACATTGGGCGGGCCGCTCGTCGAGTACGTCTGTTGAAAGTTGTAGCAGTTCCAATATGGCTTCTGGGCGTATATGCAGTTTAGTATTGTTTCTTTTATTCTGTAGAGGAAATTTTATTATGTTGAATACTTAGATTGCTACTAGTAGACAAAAGTGGATGAAATAATGTAACCTCCTCTCTCTCCACCTCTTTTCCATCTTTGTCGTTTATGTACTATTATTTTTGTAAGTTGTGTAATTATTTGTGGTACAGCAAAGTATACATATATTGTACTAATATTATACACAAATGTGAAAGTTTGTGAGAATGTAAGTTGGTTATTATTTCACGCCAAAACGGCAGATTTAAATTTGGTATGTAGATAGGTGATACTCTGGGTTTTAGCCTATGATTTACATAGGCTATTATTTATCGACATACAACGCGAGCGAAGCCGTGGGCGGAAGGTAGTATATAAATAAATAATACTTATGTAGTTGGTGTTTGGTAATTTACTAATACTTCTATTTATCTATCAATATTAGTAATCTTAATGTGTTATGAGAAAAGGTTATTTTAGGGTATAGTATCAACATTGGTTTCTAAACGAATCGCTTGGCATTTGTAGAGAAACGTGCGTTCAACTAAAACGTCAAAGAAGAAGTTAGCTTACTCATCGGAAGGTTCAGTGAGCGTCTCTAGTACAGGCGGTGAGTGTCCGAGGAGGGTCCGCAGCGTGAGTGCGGCGGCGTCGGCCAGCGAGCGCAGGCAGTACCCGCCCTCCAGCACGGCGCACACGCGGGGACACACGCTACACAGGCTCTGCGTCAGGTGGCCGTACACGGCAGGGGTCAGCTCCATCTCGCCCTGTACCACCAAACATTATACTCTTATATTATATAAATCTACTGACATACGTACATCTAGTTCATATTTGCAAACAATAAGTCACATTATCAGCCTACAGGTTGGTGACTGCACGGTTGGCGCGGTGGCTGGGCAACTGGCTGCCGCGCAACGTGTCGCGGGTTCGATTCCCGCACGGAACAACTCTTTGTGTGATCCACAGATTGTTGTTCCGGGTCTGGGTGTGATGTTCATGTGAAATTGTATATTTGTAAACGCACACACGACACAGGAGAAAATCCTAGAGTGGGGCAACGTTTTTTTAAAGAAAAAAAAAAATTATCAGCCTACAGGTGCCAAAAGCTGGGAAAAGGCCACAAGGATAAGGTTTTTAAGCATTAACTAAAAATCGCGGGTTACTCACGTGTCTATCTTGAGAAAAGCTCTACTAGTTTCAAACCACAGAGGGGTTCTTCCTCATGAGCAGCGGACGCGGCGACGTCGCGCAGCCTACTCAATAGGCTTTTCTCAAGATGGACACGTGAGTAACCCGCGATTTTTAGTTAATTTAGTATATCTCACGATAGTTATTATAAAAGCATTATTCACCACGCTTCCTCAAGACGGATGGTTACGTTTAGGTTTCATCAAAATGTTTTCCTTCACCGATTTTTAGTGATATCTAAGTAAGTACCTACCTAGAACTTGCATATAAATCACAAAAGGCCACATAATTCCTTGTATAGTTTATCATTAAATATAACTTTTTCCGAGTTATATTATGTACTTTCTAAGATTGTTGACACCACTGATATACGGTGAAGGAAAGCTGGACTTATAATTTGTAATAATAAGTTGGGAAGGATTGGGCCTCCGGTAACCTCACTACCTAACACACGGCGAAACACAACACTGTGGTTGTTTCACGCCGGTTTTCTGTGAGGCCGTGGTATCACTCCGGTCGAGCCGACCCATTCGTGCCGAAGCATGGCTCTCCCACACTTAAAAACTACACGTAGGATGAGGAAGGTTATTAATGAGAGTGAGATGAGAAATAGATACCAAGAGGCACAAAGCATTACCTTCCTTAAAACAAAAATTAAAAAGCGATTAATACTTTAAATTGATTATGACTAAAAAGCTTTGACAACCAGACCATACAGACATATAGACAGGCATGTATCTATTATTTTAGTCAAACCTTTTCGTCTCCTAAAGCAGAGTCATAGCCAGCCGACACGATTACAAGTTCGGGGCCGAACTGAAAGAGATAGAAATACAAAAAGCTAAAGTTAGAAAGAGATAAACATATGTACCTCAGGACAGCCGTACGCCGCGTCGTAGCCAGCTGATATTATGATGAGCTCCGGGTGATACTGTTGTGACAAAAACATATTTTATTTTGAAGTGTTAAGGGTGAATTTTAAGTAAAGTGCTACGGTTAGACAATTATTGCTCTTTATACCATTAGATTAAGAACCATTATGGTTTATTCTCACAATTTCACATGCGCTAGATGGCGTTGCTGGGTGAACACCTACCTAAAAGAGCTCACAAGTTAATATTTTTTTATTGCAATAACTGAGTAAGATGCCTCAGGCGCATAGTAAACAAAGGTTTCGAGATTGGTTGACGAAACGGCATATTTACATGTTTTACTTTTTCTGTGCTGTATTTACTTATATAATTTTTAAACTTACTTCCAAGGCCATGGGTAGTAGCAACTGATGCCAGATGGCGAGGTAGTCAGCATCCTTCATTCCAGTTTTGTTTAGTGGTACGTTGAAGTTGTGGCCTTTGCCCAGTCCGGAGCCCACGTAATGAAAATTGGACTGACGGAGGTTGGGCCAAAATGCACCGTGCTCGTAGCGGTGGATTGAGAAGTATACCACCCTGGGGAATAATAATAATCACGTAGTGTATTTGTTTTTGGTTACCGGAGTCCCAATCAATTCACTACTAGATCGGTGGGGCCTCTCCAAGGGACGCCGCCTATCTGATCTCCTAGCTGATTAGCTGCGCAGTACACAATTTTATTCCTAAAAGATCCATTGCGCAGACAAACGGCTAAATTCTGACTCGCCAAGATACGACGGCCGTATAGTATATGTATATCAGCATACAAAATTATACTATAACAAAACGTAATACAGCTGTTTTTTGTGTAGCCATGGCAATATAAGAATCTTACCTAGGGTCGTTATAGAACATCTGCTGAGTTGCCTGTCCGTGATGCACATCCCAGTCCACTATCAATATCCTGTAAGTAAAAATGTATCTTATTGAATAGAATTAGAGTTTACTTTTGCTTGTGGTCTGCTTTGTGAAAGCATATTGCAAGAAACAACCTTATTGATACGAAAGTATGAATTATTCTCGTTTTTATGCTGAACTTAAGTATACATAAAGTTAGACGCTGTAGTAACAGTGTGCGAGTACTAGAAATATGTCCTCAATCACAAATGCAGTATGTACTTACTTTGTATTTTTGAAATTGAAATAAAACAAAATATGTCTTATCTTGGCTTGCTAAAGTGTTAAAGATTGCAATGAAGAAAAACGAGAAAGGTCCATAACTTTGGTTTAAATTATTTAAAAAATAAATTTAACACTAAGGTAATAAGGTCGAAATTGTATTATTATTGATGTATGTATATAAATAAAAATAGACGACCATGCATGTATGCATATGATTTTTGCAATATAGCATTGAAGAGATACTACTAGGAACCAGTTATTTTGAAACAAGATACATAACAAATCCAAGAAAATTAAAGAATAGCATTTGATCAATGACAAGATAAGGCGTTTTGCTAGTTTTAAAACTAAAAAGAAGTTACCTTTTCAGTCCCCGTTTATCGATGGCATGTTTTGCGGCCAAAGCGACGTTGTTATAGAAACAGTATCCACAAGGCTCGTCCCTCATGGCGTGGTGGCCGGGCGGCCGGATTAACGCCATACCGTTTTGCACTTCACCGGAAACGATCCGGTCCACTAGGTCGATGGTAGATCCTGCTGATAGGAGGGCTAGCTCGTGAGTCGACTGGAAAAATAAGAAAAGCATATTTTACTAACCTTTCATGTTAGTTAATTTTCAAAAGAATTATAATGAAAAGACCATTCGATGACAATAAAAGGTGACGTTTAATAAGTTTGAAGAAGAAACATGAAATATCGTTATAATAAACTAGCTATTCTCGCACGGTTTCGACCGCTGCTCGGCTCAATTGAATCGTAGCGTGATGTTAGAATTTTGGCAATCCGACTAGCGGTTCCAAGGATTACCCCCTACATACAAACTTACAAATGTTACCTCTTTATAATATTAGTAAAGAAGTATAGATAAATAAAAACCAGTAACATAAGATAAAAAAAAAATTTACAAAATAAAAAAACCGCCTTCAAAAAAAGTCAAGCAATAAAAGTTCCTACACTAAAAAGTAAAAAATAACAATTTGAATTACTGTAAAAAAACTTAATTTATAGGTAAACTTATTTGACATTAATATTTTGCAAATATTCAAAATTTATTACTTATTTTTGGAGTCGGTGCCAGCATTTTGATGTTGAAACTTAATGTTAGTTAGGTTTTTAATATCCGGTGCCATTTTTCGTACATAATGCTTAAACATTTTCAATGTACTTAAAATGTTTTTGTAAGTACATATTTTTTATTTAAAAAAATGTGCAAATCGGACATTTTTTGTAGAGAAGTCTAATCTGTATTTATGTCTTAATTAATATACCTATATTTGAGTATGCAAATAGGTATTAAGTAGTTTTATAATTAAGTAAGAGGTAGTTTTTCAAGGGATTGTTGCCCATTTGTATTTCCTTGCATGGGCTGGCACCGACTCCAAAAATAAGTAATAAATTTTGAATATTTGCAAAATATTAATGTCAAATAAGTTTACCTATAAATTAAGTTTTTTTACAGTAATTCAAATTGTTATTTTTTACTTTTTAGTGTAGGAACTTTTATTGCTTGACTTTTTTTGAAGGCGGTTTTTTTATTTTGTAAATTTTTTTTTTATTTGTAGCCGTTTAGTGTTTTTTTTTTTTTTAAATTATAATGTGTTATGGCAAAGAAGTCAATATCGTTCCTACATTTCTTTTGAAAAAGTTACCAATGTCATACTTATACGTAGAAATACATATCATAGTACATTGTTACTGTGTAATCGTTTTGATCTCGAGGAGAGATGATATGATGCATGAGATACTTATGACTTATAGTTAAAATAAAATAATAATCTTATCATAAATTCATATTAGTTCTCGCCAAATAACAAAAAACTAGATATTTTCATCAACAGACAGATAAAGTTCAAAGATACCAAATGCAATCTAATTTAGTATCTATGATTAAATACATTCGTACTTAGAAAAAAGACCGATGCAATTATTGTTTTGTATCAATTGTAACCCATTAAATGAAGAATACTATTTTGTTATTACTAAGAACATTCATATATAGACAAGTTGGTAAAAATATAAAAGACCATCGCTATTGTAAATATACATTTATGACTCATTCAATGTATGAACCTTTATTAAGTAAGTATTATCTACATATGTGCACACAAAAGAAACACAATTATTGTTTTGTACGACGCAATTATTGTTTTGTAACCCATTTAAAACGACTGTTTTGTTAAAAATGCCAATTAATTCTCTTAGCCTATTACCAGGAAAACGATAAGAACACAATGACGCATTTCACCACTAATGTGTAAACGCAGTCCACGTGGACTAATGCAAAATAGCCAATACTAGGCCAAACTCCGCCCCCAAAGGTGTGCGGTCCCGCTCTAGAACCTTTCGGCCCCATCGGCCATCTGTTCTACGAGCAATGTGCCGTGCCCACTGTCACTTAAGTTTGGCATTTCTTCGGGCTATGTCGGTGACGCTGGTTCTTCTGCGGATTTCTTCATTTCTGATTCGAACATGCACGGAAACTATGAGCATAGCCCTTTCCATTGCTCTTGACAGCTCTAATAAGCTTACACAATACTAGGCCCCATGCCAACCTTCCAGCTTCATCATCACATCAGTTCAATAGTACCTTACAGCCAAAGTGCATCTTATAACAATTCTAACAAGCCCAAACACGGCTAGGATATATTAATTAGGTACGCAGTTCCAGTGCCTACCTTCCAGCTCCATAATCATCATTAAATCAGTTCGATGATAACATTTCCAACATAATTATTTAAGATCATTGGTTTACAGTGCATTTTCATAGTTGCTGAACTACCTTGATTGTGATATCTATGCGAGTGTCAAGTTTCATCATCCATTTCTGATCTTCTTCACCAGTTCCACCTCATCAAACATTACTTTTTGACTGTAAATGCTTGAGTGCTCTATGAAAATATTAAAATTACTATATAGTTGCCTATAATATTTGAGGAGTTCCCTCGATTTCTCATGGATCCCATCATCAAAACTTGATTTTGAAAAGAATGGGACCAATCTGGAAGCATATCCTTTCAATCATAAAAAAAATTTTGCAAATCCGTCCATAAACGACGGAGTTCTGAGGTAACAAACATAAAAAAAAAAAATAAAAAAAAAAAAAAAAAAAAATACAATCGAATTGAGAACCTCCTCCTTTTTTTGAAGTCGGTTAAAAATAAACTACGAAAAATAATTAAGTAAACAATTAATATTAACGATACTTATACATATTATTAGGTATGTAACTTCAATTCAATGCAATTCCAATCAGAACCAATTTTGCGAGTAAAAAAAATAGAGTTTAAACTGACTGAAAGGCTGTCGTGAAAAATGTCGCATGTTCGATTCCCGAACGGAACAATTAATTGTGTGATCCCCAAATTATTGTTCCGGGTCTAGGTGAGATGTGAATGTGAAATTGTATGTTTGTAAACGCACACACGACATAGGAAAAAAATCCTAGTAAAGGGAAAAAAAAAATATTTTATTGAAACTCACTGGGTGTATGTAGATCGCGTCATACTTCGCGGAGATCTCCTCCAAGTAGTCGAGGTTATTGTTCTTATGCGTAGTTTCCATCATGTCGTAGATAGAGGGCGCGTGGAGTACACATAGTTCCTCCTTGGTCGCTGCTCTAGGTGGATATTGCTTGCATTGCTCTATAAGGTTAAGTTCATGGCACCTGCACAGAGAATTGTTTTGTCGTTATTTCTCCAATAAATAATATACTGGAGACTATGGTTTTTGCCGGTAAATGGCAATAAAAGGCTCTCGCTCTAATCACTTAGCGAAACCATCTGCAAAACTCAGACTAGAAACTTTATCTTCTATACAATAAAAGTGAATCGCAAAATGTGTTGGTAAGCGCATAACTCAAGAACGCCTGGACCAATTTTGCTAATTATTTTTTTGTTTTGTTCGTTATTGTAAGGAGAAGGTTCTTACGAAAGAAAACTTTAGAAAATTAAAGGGAATAGCGGGTATTAACAACCTTTCCGGTGCCGTGGCCGTTAGGTTACATACCTTTCTATAACGCTAGTAAGTCTCTCAGGGCACTCCGGATACTGGTCGTCCCACAGACACCGGTGCTCAGCCATACGCGGCTCCGTTACAAGCCCCGTCGCTCCCTTCACTTTAGTCTTAGAATCCATGGCCTGGAATACACAATATTTAATTTTGGTTACTGCGAAAGTTACAATGTTTGGATGTTTGTTACTCAATCACGCCAAAATGGCTGGACGAATCTGGATGAAATTTGGCACAGGCATAGGATACACTCCAGAATACGACATAATCTACTTTTTATCAACATACCACGCGGGCAAGGCCTCGGGCGGAAGCTAGTTCTCAATATTTAGGTTGGCGCAGTGTCCAGCCACGAATGATAAACCGCCCTTTCTTTATCATTCGAGATTCAAGAACTCTTGAGAACTACGATGGAATCCGAAGTCTATCAAAATGTACGTTTATTTAAAATCATATTCGCATAAAAATATACAAACAAACAAACAAAAAGTATTTATTCGCGTCTGGGACGCATAAAAGACACAAAACGAACAATAATAAAAATAAAAATACATTAAGAATTACTATAAATTACTCACTAGTATAGGCACAAATAAAAAACGTACCTCATACTCATATCAAAGCCATATAAACAATTAACTATAATCTTAATTACATAAGAGAAACGCCAACACTCATAAACATGATCACATTCATATAATTTAGGGCAATAAAAGTTTATTACTATGAAAATTGTTTGAGCGTTCTGCCATCTTGCTTAGAGAATTCAACTGAGAAGTTTGAGTATGATAAGATGATAAGCATAAAAGCCAGAAAGGGAATATATAAGTACATATACATATGTACATACGTAAACTGAAATTAATTGAATACATGAGTTTTACAAGCTAAGGTAGACAATGGATTATTTAGGTAATTATTTTGAATTTAAAATGGGGCCATTGTTATCAATGTCACACGTTAAGGGGAGGTAGTGGGTAGATGAAGTGTGACATTGTGTGTAATTTTAAATCTCGGAACCGCTATTTATTAATTAAATTACAGATTTATTATGAAATAACGAAAATTGTAAAATATCATGTCACACTAAGGATAGGGCCTTAAAAACGTGGCAAGCTGTGAGAAAGACATGGGAGGGGGCCAAAAATGCCCATGTCTTTCTCACACAACACACACAAACAACATTGTTGAGTTTGTATAATGTATAAAATAATAAGAGATAAATAGAATTTATATGAATAAGTACAATATTATTATACAGCAAGCCGTTTAAAGGTTCTACAACTATATAGGTACAATAACAATACTTACAATTTGATAGTGATCCCGCAGTTCAATCACAAAATTATGTTTTTTCTTTTGTTGGGCTTTCCGTTTTGCTGCGATTACTGATGCTGATGGCTGTAACAAGATAACAATATATGTGATAACTGTTAAGGATTCAAGAATGTTTACACTAAACAGGTTTAATACAAACTAATAATTAAAAAATCATGGAAACTACTGAACAAATTTTAATGAAATTAAGTACTTATTAGCTAAATACCAAGGTCTAACAACTTATTAAAAAAAATCTCTTTAATGATTTTTAACGAGTTTACACCTTTTACTTGCAATTCTAATTATTCTATTTATTTGCTTTTTCAAAATTGATTTTTGCAAGAAGAGTTTATTTCAAATACTATCAGAAATGAGCTCATTATATTCCAGACCATTTAAAATGTGCTACAATTCAAATGCTAATTTTTTTGTGTACCAATGGAGTTATTTAAAAATATGCTAAATAATATCTTCTAAGAGACTATGGTAATGAATGAAACATTGACAAATACAATATATACATAATGTACACAATAAAGAGAAAAGTATATAGAACTGTATACATTGTGTTTAGGTTGGTGCTTGAGTAATATGAGTCAGTCGTAGAGGTGACTGTGAGACCGTGACCTTTCAAAGTGCTGATTGTACAATAATTGAGTAGCAACTTTACTGAGATATCATTGAATACTGAACTGAGATATCATTGAATTCCTTGTGTCAGTTGTTCATTTAAAATTGTATTTAAAATATTTTTTTTTTTATGTGATAGGTCGGCAAACGAGCATACGGATTACCTGATGGTAAGCAATCGGCGACGCCCATGGACACCCGCAACAAAAAAGGAGTTACGAGTGCGTTGCCGACCTTTTAAGGATTGGGATTTTGGGACTGGGAAGGGATCGGGGTAGGGGAAGGATTGGGCCTCCGGTAACCTCACTCACACGGCAAAACACAACGTTGTGGTTGTTTCACGCCGGTTTTCTGTGAGGCCGTGGTATTACTCCGGCCGAGCCGACCCATTCGTGCCGAAGCATGGCTCTCCCACACTTACCTACATATATAATGTATAAAAATATTTTATCATAAAGAGCAACATAGCAAGATGTTCACCAGTGTGTCACTTAAGGCTGCTAATATAAATGAGTTGAGTTCCTCGCCCAATGATTATGTAAATTTACCATTAAGCTAGATTATTAGCTTTATGTTTTAATACAAAAATGGAACATCATTATTGAGTTTATCTCTTACTTTATGAAGACTCCCTAAGTTTATTCTACTCAGGTCCATATTCTGTGATTTTAATGATGCTATGTGATACATAAGACAAATTAAGATTACCTAATTAGAAATGCAAATTAGTCTTCATGATTTCTAAATTCTTATCTCACTGAAACTCTTATTACATTATTAGATTCTCAATTTAAATTTGATATACAAATTTTATGATAAATGATTGTCTTTTTTTAAAAAACCTTTTATAATTAATGTTTTGTTACAAGAACAAAAATATTACAGTTGCCTGTTATTTGGTATTTCACTATTGTTCCACAAAATATTACAATTTGTAATAAATATTTATAGTATTGTTAAGTTTTGTAGAATATACTATTGTATATGTTTATATGGGCCTTACATGCCTGAAATAAATAGATAAATAAATAAAAAAAACATAAAAAAATATATGGGTTTTAATGATTTCTGTCTGTGTATTAAACCAATCTTTATTATTATACCTAAATATCAAATAACAGTTTACTTTATCTTTTAATTGTTTAATCTGCACTACCATAAATATTTTAAAAGTGTACATTATTAAAGGTTGCTCACCAAAATCTATCAATTGACAAAGTAATAATTTAAGAATGGACTGGCTGGTATTATGTTGATGTTGATAATTATAATTATGTTACTTGCAACATTCTCTTCTATCTTAACCAAGATAACACATTTATCTATGCAATAAGATTACAAACCTAAATACTGTATACTATACATTAAACTGTATTCAAGTATTATTGTATAATGAAGATAATTATCTACTTTATAAATAAATAAGTAAGTTTGCAAGTGATTAGTAATTTCATAAGTAATATGGTATATCAAATAATATTCCTACTCAATTCTATGTCCCATTACTTTTGTTCTAATAAATGTATCTAGATTCCATATCTTATACAACTGCCATTATCTTGATTTACACAGAGTTTAATTAATTGTCACAATCAATAAGGCATTTAGCTATAGATACGGTATTTGTATGCATAGCATGACATCTAGTTTTGACCCTACGTGTAGGCGGCGGCGCATTACCTACCTTAGCCCCTGCGGACATTGCGCGGGTTTGTATCTTGGCCTTGCGAGCACCATTTCTGGTCACAACGCTAGACGCAGGCGGTGCCTTTTTACTGTCTCCTGAAGTACGCCGTGGCTGCTGAGGCGGTGGGGTTGACTGGACAATAACAAAAAATAATATAACAAACTTCCACTTAATTACTAGCGCGCCAAGTCTAAAATTTTGAAGTGTTTTTAACCTTACCATTATGACAATAGAATCAGTCAATAGTTCGCAAAAATCACATTCACTGAAAGTAACTGTAAACTATACATTCATTGTTAATTGGAGTTTACGGTAACCAAAACAATGAGCATTGTGTGTAATCGGATAGTGAAAAATCGCGGTGTTGAATCTGGAGCAGCAAGTGACAAGAATTTGCATATGGTTTTGACAGTTGCTGCATTCAGCAGTTTGTCAGAATATACTTTGACGTTCGGATACTAAATATGATTTAACTTAATAGTCGATTTTTTATTTGTTTTATTTATAGTTTATTAGATTTATTATTTGTTTTATTGATAGTTTTACATTTGATCTTCGTTTCTATTAATATTTATAATAAAAGACTATAAAATCATTTATATACTTCAAAAGGTTTGAAAAATTTTAAAATCGACTATTACAATAACAATGACATTGGTGTCACAGTCTGAAGATAACCAAATGTCAGAAAAATTAAAAATAAAGGATTTTCAAAGGGGTTTCATCACTTTCGTTACGATTCGCTATAAAATGTTATTTTTGAGTTAAAAAGTGTTTTTTCGCAATTGATTTAGTTTTTACAGAGATTTGTGATAGCTGATTTGTTTAGAACATTGTTATTCTGCACATTCGGTATGTTATTTTATCACCAACCTCTACGTATTATTAAATAAAATATTACTTTTACTATTGCGAAAGTCACGAAAAATTAGCAAAACGTTAATTATTACGGTTAGCACAGTGCCTTTTATTAATTCTTGAAACAAACAAAGTACCGTTAAGTGTCTTGTGCTTTCTAATATAGCCTTTAGTTACACGCGATACAATTCATTATCGCATGTGAAAGTTGTTCACCATCACAGGGCAATTCGTATTGTAAGAAACATCAAAAGAGCTATAGTACCTACCTATGTGTATCTAAACTTAGTTTAATCAGTTGGTGGAATATTTTCTAATTGTAACTTTTCAGTGATAAGCTAAACTTCATCAATACCTTACAAACTTGTGTAACTTGAAAACATTTATTTACAGTATTATCACTGTATATTTTTAGACTAATTATCACAGTGCAAAGAATAATATTCTTAATTTCTTTTTTATAGAAAGAAGCCATTTGAAAATGAAGCTTTTAAAGAACACTTGGCCTTTTCGGCTTGGGCATAGGAAGAAACTTAATCGCTGTGTAAGCACTTGGTCTCCATTGGCCACAGCTTTCAACACTCGGCCAACATCAAGACCTATTTTTGACTCATTGCGTGAAAGAACTGTAAGTAATTTATACTATTTATTTTGAAACTTTTCTACTTAACACTGGGTTAACTGGCTTAAAAGCAATTTTTTTATAAGCATGAATGGAATATGAGTAGTTTCCTGCAAGAACCATGAAATGAAATATTGTTTATTTCAACAAATTGATTTGTAGTTTTGATTAGTACTGTAATTTCAAAAGATGCAAAAACTTAAACTATTTTTATTATAAAAAATTTGATAAAAGTAATTTTTGGAACAAAATTTTGAAACAGTTATGTGTGGTAGAGAAATAAAATATTTTCTGATTCACTGATATATCACAATATGTGTCTCCAAAGTTAGTTAAAACTGTGTAATAAAATGAAAAAGGTCTTTATGTTATGTTTCAAAGTTTCTCCCTGGCAATTTCACCCAACATATAAGTTTATGAATTTTTTCAGATTTTTTAATGACCGGATAATCATAAGGTGATTTCTCCCACTTGATGTAGAATTTGAAGCCCTCAGCTTTAGCTCATAAATATCTCTACTTAATTAAAAGTTAAAAACTCTTTTCAGGGACTCTTCAACAAGCCAGAATTAGTTAGTTTCGAAGGGTTTTTCAGTATGAGAGATCAGGCAATAGCAGCCACAGACCGATTGATAGAAGAAGCTACTTCAAACCCATCCCGGCCCATGGTGGAGATTTTTGATGAACTTTCAGACACCTTGTGCAAGGTGGCTGACCTAGCAGAGTTTGTGAGGATAGCTCACCCACAGTCCCATTTCGCAAGTGCTGCTGAAGATGCTTGTATAAGTGTTAGTGGTGTTGTTGAGAAGTAAGTTATCCAAGTCCTTTTTTTAGAATATTTTATTATATTTGTACAATTTAAATATTTTGCTTTTTCTAATGTCCAGGTTAAACACTCATAAAGGTCTATATGAAGCCTTAAGAGACTCTGTGAAGCGTGGGACTTCAGGAGACCAGCATTTAGCTGAGTTGTTCCTCTTCGATTTTGAGCAGAGTGGCATTCAGTTAGCTGAGGAGCGACGGCGGAGGGTCGTAGCTCTTAACGATCTCATACTTCAAACTGGACAGAGGTTCATGGCAGGAGCGGCGAAACCGAGAAGGGTACCGCGATCTGCTGTACCTAACAATGTTAGACAATTGTAAGTAAATATGTAAAAAATAAAATTTGTATTGTCTGTATATCAACGAAATTAGATTCGTAAGGTATCACAGAAGAGTCATATCTTCTGGTTTAGTCGTAAATGTCCCAGAAAAGCATTGGGCTTTATATTTTTAGTAGCGGTTTCATCTCGGGCGAAATATTTCTATTAGTAGAAATAGTAATTTGACAATTTAAGTTATATGTCCAGTCGTTCCCCTCCCCCAATCCCAAAATCTCCAAATCCCTTATCCTAATAAGGTCGGCGAGCACTTATAACTCCTCCGTTGCTGCGGCACTGATTGCTTACCATTACGCTGTCATATTAAACCGTCTGCTCGTTTGCCGTCCTAAAACATAAAGAAGTAAATATATGTTTCTTCTTTTTAGTTTCAGTAGTGAAGGTGACGATATAATAGTGAGCGGAGTGTACGCGGAGTGCAGCGAGGCGGCGGCGCGCGAGGCCGCGTACCGGCTGTACCTGGCGCCCGACAAGCAACAACATCAGCTACTGTCCACTACACTCGACGCCAGGCACGAAATGGCCACTATATGTGGCTTCCAGAGTTACGCTGATAGGTATGATAAGTTCTATTCATGCGTTATGGCCAGCTTCCTCCAGTGGCTTAGCCCGCGTGGCACGTTGAAATCTTTTTAATTAATTCCACAGAGCAATAAAAGCTAGTACAATGGAAACTGCAGCGAACGTGAGACAGTTCCTGGACATTCTCTCAGACAATCTATATGACAGAGCTAAGATGGACTTCGATGCTATGCTGCAAATGAAGATGAAGGAGACTCCATACTTGAACTCTTTGATGTGCTGGGACACGCCTTACTTCACGCAAAAAGCGAAGACACAGCTCTTGAATGTAGCTAACTCCGATTTCAGTCCTTACTTTTCGTTGGGCGGGTGTATGGAAGGCTTGAACATGCTCTGCGAAGAGTTGTATGGCATCAGTTTGAAGTCAGAGGAGATGTTACCAGGTTGGTTCTCTATTTGTTTACTAACACATTCATTAGAATCAGAATAATTTATTTGTTAAACATAGGTAGTTTACATAATAAGGTCTTACATATAGATAGTCCACTATGTTTTGCCGTAATAGACATACAAATATATTAGGTACATTCGAAATATTATTAGAAGATTAAAATTGAGATAATTTCAGTACAATGATAATAATAAAATAACAAAAATTAAGTAGGTATGTCAAAAATTTAATCAATTATAATAATAAAATAACAAAAATTTAGTATGTCAAAAAATTAAATTAATTATAATAATAAAATAACAAAAAATTTTGTAGGTATGTCAAAAATTAAATCAATTACAATAATAAAATAACAAAAATTAAGTAGGTATGTCAAAAATTAAATCAATTACAATAATGAAATAACAAAAATTGAGTATGTCAAAAATTAAATCAATTAAAATTGTCAAGAAATATTGTCATTAAGGAATTCTTCAACTGAGTAATAACATTTGTTTAATAATAGTTTGGTGAGAATACTCTTAAAATTAATTACTGTTGTAGTTTTTATTTCATTGGGAATTTTATTATAAATTCTAGGGGCATTACCAAACAAACTTTTGGACATAAGTGCTGTTTTACATTTTACTTGGCTTAGCTTATTAATATATTGGGTGCGTTTGGGAACATTCCTGACAGAGCTCAATTTTGGAAATAAGTGGGGATTTTGTTTTACAAACATAGCTGTTTCCAGTATATATACATGGACGGAAATGTTAATATTTTAAGTGATTTGAAGTGTGTAGTACAGCTGTCTATGGTCTTTAAACCACACATTGACCTTAAACATCTTTTTTGCATTCTAAACACAAGCTCTCTATCTGTAGACTGCCCCCAGAATATAATGCCATAGCGTAATACCGAGGCAACGAGTCCATGGTACGCTGCAAGAAGAGCCTGAATGTTTACTTTTTTTGAAAGTTCCAGCTCAGGACGTCGTCAATGGTTATACCCAAGAAGCTAGCTTTATTTGCTTGCTCAATAGAGTGGTTTTCATACGCGATTTCCTGTCGCACGTCATTCTAGGCGTGGTTTCCTGTCGCACGTCATTCTAGGCGTGGTTTCCTGTCGCACGTTTTCAAAACTACTATATAGATTTTTATCAAGGCGTAGCCGACCCTAAAGGTTATTGTTTAGGAAACCGATTTGAATATAACCAATGTTCTCACCTTTCAAACTTTCCCTGGACTTCAACGAACATTTTACGACCAAAATGATCCAAAATGGACCAGCTGTTCCCAAGTTGTAGCGACTAGCGAGACTAACGGACAGCAATTCATTTTTATATATAAGATGATAGTAAAATTTTTGAGGAATGTATGTGTAAAAACCTTAGTAAGAAAAAATATTTTATATAGAGTTAAAGGAATGAGACTATAAAATTGTCTTTATAGGTGAATCCTGGTCTCCGGATGTATACAAACTAGCAGTGGTGCATGAGACAGAAGGCCTACTAGGCTACATCTACTGTGATCTGTACGAGCGGCCTGGTAAACCACACCAAGACTGCCACTTTACTATACAGGGTGGGAAGCTGTTGCCCGATGGAAGCTACCAGGTGTGTTTGATATTTTATTGTGTATCATTCTTCCTATATTTTTTAACACTCTCTTATGCAAGGTATGTGCATAATGAAAATATAAAATTTTGATTTAATTTATTTTAAGTTAATTTCTAGAATGGTTTTAATATTATAGAATAGGTCGGTAAACTAGTAGTTAGATCACCCGATGGTATGCAATACACACCTGCGATACTGATGAAGATAAAAGTGTATAAATTTGGGGCAGAATATAGGCGTTCCACCCCTGTTCCACCCCCCGATTCGTGATCATAGCTCGTAGCTCTACCACAATTAACAATATTTTATTAAAACTATATTTTTTTGAACCAACATCAATATTCCACTTTTAAAAAACCGTTGAATACAAGAGATTATCAAAGTAATGTAGGTAAACTCGTTGTAGAACCCGATAGTGGTGGTGATGCTGTCACTGAGCGGAGGCCACCGGTCGGGGCCGGCGCTGCTGTCGGCGGGCGGCGTGGACAACCTGTTCCACGAGGTGGGCCACGCGCTGCACTCCATGCTCGGCCGCGCCCCGCACCAGCACGTCGCCGGCACGCGCTGCGCCACCGACCTCGCCGAGGTGCCCTCCGTACTCATGGAGTACTTCGCCGCCAGCCCACAGGTACTCGCCACTACCTTCTGCCACTCGCCACACATTATTATAACTAGCATAAATACAATAAAAGTACCATTACTATTAGTTGAAATATGTATTTGTAACACTAGCCACTGCTACCTTTCTATATACGCTATAAAAAGTTTGAAATAATTAATAAGTTACTTTTTATGAGAAAAACTAGCACGACAAACAGCAATCTTAATCTTTCATTTTTTTCAATAAACTGTTGAGTAGCAAATATAAATCAATCAATACTAATCTAAAAATTGTTTCACACATGTTTTTATAAAACCTAGTTCTGATATAAAACATTTATTAAAGAATTATGATGTACAATGAATGCAGGTTATCCGTCGTTTCGCACGTCACTTCCAAACACGGGAGCCGATGCCTGAAGACATGCTAAACAGACTGTGCGCTTCTAAACACTTATTTGGAGCTAGCGAAATGCAACTACAGGTATAAATTTTTAGTAAATCTACTGAAGACAGATCAAACAAAATGAAACTTAAAATACATGACCATAGTGGTAATTTTCGTTTATCCAGGTATTCTATTCGGCGTTAGACCAGCACTACCATGGACCAGACGCATCGTCCCGTGGCAGGACAACAGAAGTGTTACAAAGAGTACAGAAACAATATTACGGACTTCCTTACGTTGAAAATACTGTGAGTTTTGTACTGTATTTTTTGTTCCCAAACACCTATTGCATCCGTAATACTGTTATATACCGACAAAAACTAATATGTATTTGTTCATTCTGGGACATCAAAGAAATTAATTATTTTGAAAGTGTTAATCTCTTCCATCTAGTAACCCTACCTCTAGACTAACATGACTTCAGTCCATTCCTAATGCTAAAATATTTATATAAATTTTAATTTATTTCTTTCACAGGCATGGCAACACAGGTTCAGCCACCTAATAGGGTATGGCGCGAAGTACTATTCATACCTGATCTCTCGTGGCATCGCGTGGAGCGTATGGCACAAATACTTCCAAGATGACCCACTGTCGAGGTCAGCTGGGGATAATCTTAGACAGGGATTGTTACGACACGGAGGTGCTGTACCGCCCAAGGTAAGTGAATTATTGAAAGGTAGTCTGAAAGTTACTATATAAGATAGTTATGAGTAAGTATAGGAGAGCGCTGTTTCGTCCGAAGAAGCTGACTCAACCGGCATTAAACAATGCTTACGTTGTGTTTAGCTGTGTGAGGATACTGAGTCTAATCCGTTAATCCCTCTCGTGCCCAATCCTCAAAACGCCGGTAATGCATTTGTAACCCTTCGATAGTGTCCACGGCGCTGATTGCTTACCATGTGTGTTGTATGGTTGCCATAATTTCCTATTTCAACTATTTGGGACCTATATAAAGATGAAAGCGAAACATTAAAGCTACTAAACGAAATTTAAAAATTACCAACAATAATTTTACCATATGTTTTTGCGATTTAATCGATGGCATAGGTACTTCAAACGACTTCCTGTGTCGGCGTCCTTATTTATAAGTTAACCGAAGTGTCTATTTCAATTTACAGATTTTACTCCGCGACTATTTACAAGAAGAAGTAACGCCGACGACGCTAGCAAATGCTCTTGCAGAGGAACTCGACTATCACAAGGACCATTTAGACACAGTACTCAAAGTAATAAACAAATGATCTATTATGTAAATTTCATAATTATTTCATATCTTTAGATTGTATAAATCGTTATTGAAATGGCCGCTCCCTTCTGAGAAGGGGTCCATAAGACAAATTAAGTGTTAAAATTGATCTTATCTTATGATAAAATTATCATACATATTGATAGATATTCCCTATATTATTATGCTTCATTTTCACTGGGATATATTATATTCTTCCCGCTTCTATTCCAAGATCATTGGGGTAAGCGCAATACAATGTCTTTCTTCCGTCGATTCTTCTATACGTCATCACTTTCATAGATATAATAATAATAAGTACAATTCTTTAGCGGCCTATAACGATTCTGTATCGCAATACATGGATGTGTAGTGAAAATCAACTAGACCAATACCTATTTGCACTTCTGCCTACGCTTTCACCCATTGTCGAATAGTTTTTCACGAAGGTAGGTAGTTTTTGTAGTTACTAATTTTATCAACAATTTGACTGAAATTGATCTGTAACTTTATTTTTCAAATCATTGGATTTAAACATGGAATTTGGGGTAATGTTAATGCAGAACCTACTGTTTTCGCATTTACTGTTCAAATGTCTTCCTATATGAAATTCCTTGAATGTAATAATTGTCTGTGAATATGTTGTACATATTGTAAATGATAAATAAATTATTTATAGTGTAACTTGTTGGGATATTTTTCTTCAGTATTATGTATCGAAATTACTAATTGTAATAAAGGCTGTTCAATTTTAATAATGAAGCTAAATGTGATTTGTGATACAAATAAATAAGAGAAATCTGATAGGATAATGTCTGCAAAGCTTATCATATCACACAAAGTTGTTTCGTGCGGGAATCGAACCTGCAACACATTGCATTTTACATCACAGATTTACATACTCACTTGTAAATACACGAAAGATAAATAAAACAATGAAGGAAAATTATAAATAGTTTAATTAGTGATCCCTCCCGAAACAGACACGCGGGGACAAACAAACTGGATATCTCGACACGAAGCCCAGCTGACGGCAATATGGCGGCCGTTGTATATCGGAAACTGCCAGCTCCGTTGTAACTCGACAAGATCGGGTTGTCTTAAATTCGGTTCCTTATGCTATTAAGTTCAAATCTAAAATATAGGAATTAAATGTAAAAGTAAATCTAAGGAACGAAGCTGACAAGTTATAAACTGATGTGAAATCATAAATATCAATATTGATGTTATTCACAACATCATCTGCGCTGTGCACGAATGCACTTACCTCCCATTATATGCAAAACGAAATAAAATTTAATTATTTCGTGAAATCATAACTGGTCCGTTTCAAGCGGAGGGTACTCGATTCTCTAATATCACACTTTATATCTCTAAGGTGTAATTATTATATATTTATAATATTTAGCGCTCAAGTCGGACCCAGAGCTTTATACCTCTTTGCTGCGGCTATTTCTCGAGGAACGGGACAGTTTTTCTGTGTCCGTTACCCAGGCCGGATGTTGTCGATAATGGTCATTTGAATATTATAGATAATTAGTTGTGCGGCTTCTGTAATTGTTGCGCACATTTTTAAATTTGTTGCGCTTATAGTTTTTTAATTATTTCACAAAAACATTTCCTGCTGGCGTAACGTTACCACAGCCAGACCTTTTTCTTTCTAATGGGAATATTTAAATAAATATTAGCTATAAAATTAGTTGTCTAGATAAAGTAAATGTTGTGCCTTATTTTGTATTTGTTCTTTCTTCGGTTGCGAAGTAATTCGAGATTTTGCTGCGGTAACGTTTTTGGTTTTGCTAGATCTTTGAAATGGTTAAGCGGATTCTTATCATATTTTGTACACGACTTTCGAGGACTTAGTTTAAATTTGTTGTGCAATAACAAAACCAAAATAATGCATATTTTAAAGGTATTTTCATTAAATAGAAAAACACTTCAATTGGCCCCAGCACTCTCAATAAGAAGTCTAAAGACTTACTTTAAACGTAATTTTAAAGCTTGTAACTGCCTTCAAATGTATGTGAAGTTTCATTAGTATCCCGTAAGTATTTAACAAGTTATGATGATATTCAGTTCTTCACGAGCACGGTCTTAATGCACGCGGTGTTATTTGGCCACTGGATTGGATATATGAACTGAATGCTATGTCAATAATTAGTTGTTTAGATCAGTTGTATATCAGTAAAATTTCAGCTCAATACATTGGATAATTAATGAGATAATACTATGAAAGTCATTAGGAAGTGAATGACCGTGGTAAGCCGACCAAGTTTAGGTGGTTACGAAAAAGCGAAAACGCAGAAAATTGTACTATCTTTTGAAATGTTTAGTATAATACACCTTACAATTTTGGTACAGACGCGTACACTGTTTAATACCTATATAATAATAATAAAAAAGAAAACATTATCTTCCAGTTCCACAAAATTATCAAAAATCACCGCTAGAGCATGCCGTTCGGTAGGACGCAGGAGGAGTGGGGTGAAGGGGTAATACATTGTTTGCATAATGCACTCAGTCTTGCCAGAAGGTTACTTTTGTAACCTTTTAGATGATTTTTGAACTGCATTTTGAAATAGAAATGACAAGGACGGGTGATGTTTAATCGGTTGCTAAGCAACACAAGTTTTTATAAGTAAGGAAGTAAAAGTTGAATTGAAATGATTATTTTACCTTTCAATAAAAAATCTTGAATAATCACGTAGTTTTTTTAAAACTTTTGTACATGTCTGTACTAAATTTATAACACTATCCTACATATTTTAGAAGGTACCATAATGTTCTGCGTTTTCGCTTTTTCGTAACCACCTAAACTTGGTCGGCTTACCACGGTCATTCACTTCCTAATGACTTTCATAGTATTATCTCATTAATTATCCAATGTATTGAGCTGAAATTTTACTGATATACAACTGATCTAAACAACTAATTATTGACATAGCATTCAGTTCATATATCCAATCCAGTGGCCAAATAACACCGCGTGCATTAAGACCGTGCTCGTGAAGAACTGAATATCATCATAACTTGTTAAATACTTACGGGATACTAATGAAACTTCACATACATTTGAAGGCAGTTACAAGCTTTAAAATTACGTTTAAAGTAAGTCTTTAGACTTCTTATTGGGAGTGCTAGGGCCAATTGAAGTGTTTTTCTATTTAATGAAAAAACCTTTAAAATATGCATTATTTTGGTTTTGTTATTGCACAACAAATTTAAACTAAGTCCTCGAAAGTCGTGTACAAAATATGATAAGAATCCGCTTAACCATTTCAAAGATCTAGCAAAACCAAAAACGTTACCGCAGCAAAATCTCGAATTACTTCGCAACCGAAGAAAGAACAAATACAAAATAAGGCACAACATTTACTTTATCTAGACAACTAATTTTATAGCTAATATTTATTTAAATATTCCCATTAGAAAGAAAAAGGTCTGGCTGTGGTAACGTTACGCCAGCAGGAAATGTTTTTGTGAAATAATTAAAAAACTATAAGCGCAACAAATTTAAAAATGTGCGCAACAATTACAGAAGCCGCACAACTAATTATCTATAATATTCAAATGACCATTATCGACAACATCCGGCCTGGGTAACGGACACAGTTTTTCTACATCCAAAGACATCATATCACTCATATTTAGAATCTTTTAACATAACTTCTGTAGCTCTATTACGTAAATCACATTCTTTGAGTGTAGAAAATATCACCGAAAAGCTGTATCTTACGAGCTATCAGATATCATATAGTCGGCCATTCTAGAAGTCTTTAATTTTATTCAATTATTTATTGGTACTTGATCCAGCAAACCAAATTATAATTTCCATTGTAACGGTATGCAGTATGAGAACTACTAGGGATTATAGAATAGTATAGCCACGGAATATTCCGCCAACTTCAATACTAAGACACTGAAAATGAGAACATTGATCAAAGTCCAAGATGGGTAACAATTAGAACTATAAAAGTTATGGATATAACGGATAAAATACCCTAATGGCAGTATGTAGCTCTGTATTGTAAGAACAATATATTTCACATACATCTATCAATAGTAGTATGTATGTTTGTATTACCCATCTCACTGAACTAGTTTATGGTCGTAGGTTAGCGAAGGAAATGTACATCAGCGGAGTTTGTGTAAGCTGTCCACAACTGAGCGCAGAGACCGCGATCTGTACAGGCTTGCACGGCTCAGCGAGACTTCATGAGGCATTGTCACCACGACACAGACATACTCTTGTTATGTTTCACCAACACACTTCTGTGTTAATTGTTAAACATTGATTGTAATTTTAGGTAGATGCTTCTAAACAGGCCATTAAGAATGTGTAAGGAATTTGATTATCTGAAAATTATAATATCTAATATTCGAATAAGTTATCTTATTCAATTAACGACAGTTAAAATTGATATTGTATGTGATAATGCATTAGGTTGCAAGAATAAAGAACACTGGTTATTGTAGTAATAACTTACAAAAATTACAGGCAAATATGTGAAAAGATTATGGCTTATTTAGAAACACCGTTTAGCGTATAATATGTTATAAGTACAACTCGTTGAAACATGGTAGAATGATGAGACATTTATTGAGCGAGATTAGAGGCGGTGTCGCAGTGTGATGGTGACGCAGTAGCGTGGGCCGGGCGGCGACGCAGCGTGGCCGCGGCGGGCCGGATATTACGCCACGTAGTTGTACTGGTTCGGGTTATCCTTGTCGCGCTCCATGTAGTCGCGGTCGATCAGCGATTCTATGCGTTTCTTCAGGTCCGCAGGCTGAGAACGTAACGAAAAATAATTAAATTTTATGGCACTAACATATCGATATCGACAAAACTTAATCAGGTCTATAGGTTTTCTTTTGATCACCCCATGGCAGTAATGAATGACTAAGGTACTATAATGTAAGGTACTATAGCTATAAAAATCGACTGGCTTGAAAGTAGGAAATACTTTATAGGAGAATCAGATCTATTTTATATGTCTCTACGTAACTTGGGGTCCGTATAGTAAATATAATTATGGAGAAATTAGTATTTACCTTGACGGGGAACTTAAGTTGGTTATAAAGTTCGGATATAAGGAGATTGTGTGAGAGTGCTTTGCGCATCTTCATGACCCGCACGATGGCCGCGTCGATCTGGTACTGTCTGTCTTGGAACACGCGTTCTTCTGTAGCCTTCTGTTCCTCGCTCTGAAATTATTATTATTTACTTTAAATATTTGCTCGTTTCTCCGAGAAGAATCATGAAAAAAATCTTGAAAAGGGAAAGATCTTGTGCAGTGGTCAATTTTATAATGCGTTATTACCGGTACGATTTTTGTAATACTTATAGAATAAGTCCTATAATTGTGAACATACAGTCCACACAATTTGAATAATGAAGTTTTTTAGTATTTATTTTAAATGATAGCAAGCCGGGATTAGCCAGAATAACGGCCATATTATACGCAAATATTTGGTGTTTGATAAATGGAACATAATTAGTGGTACATACAGTTTCCTTCATTTGTATCTGGTTGATCTTGATGCGGAAGAGTTTGTTGGTGAAGTCTGCATTGAAGGAGAAGTGGTCGGAGTCGTGTACCTCCCTGCCGCGCGGCGCCTTGCTCAGTACTCGCGCCTTCCCGCATGCTAGCGACTGCAGGGTGCGGCGGAGCTCGCCCTCCTGAAAAGGCGGATGGTAAATATATTAAATACACTGATAAAACATGTTATCTTGCTTGCTATACCTTCAAGTAAGCCAAGCTTTTAAAGTAAATCGCACTTTTCGACCTTTAAAAAACCGAAACGTGTTTTTTTATGTAACATAACGGTATTTCTTTATACGTTTTATTCGACAAAGCAAATTTTGGGATATAGCCATTTCGATACACGATACTTGTCGCGTTGGTTGTCATACATGTTGTTCATGTTTAGTAAACCAATTTAACTGTAAACTCCAAGCAATAACTTCATATGCCTTGTTAAGATGAGTGATTAAATACATTTCTTTTGAAAACTTAGATCATAAGGCAATAAATATAAAATTTGGTTTACCTCAATATTGGTAGCAGCCTTGATATCCTCGAAGGAGAGATTGTCTCCGTCGTTGAAAAGGAGCAGGCAGAGCGCTTGGAACAGCGACACCTGAAGCTCTTTGTTACCCTGCAACACATTCATTCATCATTTAATTAAATTATCGTTAGAATAGAAAAGAGAGAATTAGAATAGAAGCCCTAAGCTTCTGAACTATTTATATATCCTACCTTTATGCCTAAAGTTACTTGAAGTAGGTGAAATAATATATTATGTCTTCAGTAGATATCTAAAGCAAATGGATCGAAATTTTCAAAAAGATGATGTAGTTTGTTAATAAACAATAAAGGTTTTGACGAAGTTGTCGTGTCAAGGTTTTTTCTTGTGAGTGTAAAATCATCAAATGATTTTTCTCGTTGAGGGTGAGGTTTAGAGGAGTGTTAGACTCTTGCTGACTATAACCCCACGTTCTATTTCCTGCTCTTGGGCAAGAACGCAGTACCTTGTTGAGTCTGCCCCGCAGCCCCGTCTGATCATCGGCGGTCTTGGGCCCCATCTAGCTAGAGTAATATTTTTCAATCGAGCTCAAAAAAACTTGATTGCTTATCATGGACGAAATTTTAGTGTCAATAATGAGTTAAGAGTTAGACAAAATCTAAAGGAAAGTAGCAAAGTACAAAGTAACTGAGTACAAAAAGTGAGGTGCGACTTTGAGTTCGAATATGTGTATGGGAGGTAGAAGTGTAGAGTGGGGTATACCTGTGCGAAGTGGGCCCTGAGTACGCAGTGGCCCAGCGTGGGCTGCCACTGCAGCTTGCGGCCGGAGTGCTTGGCGAGGTAGAACTTGGAGAAGTGTTCCTGCTGGCGCGTCAGCGTGGCCGGCAGGCGTACGTCCACGGCGCCGTATGTCGGCCAGAACCCCATCGTCAGGATGTACACGCTCAGCTCCAGCCCGCCGCCCTCCGACGTCGCCGCCAAGTGCTACAACATTCAACATGTTTTTGAAACTAAACTCACACTTAATCTTACTCATATATAGATATATTTATGGCTTATTAACATATAACAGTTCCAGGATGCTCGATAAGTTTCAAACTACACCGGGACTCATAATCATAATATGAACGAGCGACGTCATTGAGCTAAAGTGTGGCTTGAAATCAGTCGAACATCCTCGAATAATTCACATATTTTAAACTTTAAAATGTACATACTTGTTTATAAGTAATATTAATGTCTTTAGATAGCTCCATATCTTTGAACATGCCCTCTAGCTTGCAGGTGAATCCTCCTCCGCACTCCTGCTTCAATTTACTTAACATCGACTTCTCAGCGTCCACTGACGCTGACTTTCCAACCAACAACCGTTTTGCGAGGTCCTGCAAATAGAATAAACATAAAATTAAATTGTAACAAAGAATGTAATGTTAGCAGTTAATGGGAAAAGGATAACATGAGCTGGTAGCAGAGGTGGCGTAAGGCGTGGGTGACGTGGGCCTACGGCCTCGCGGTACAGGGGGCCTCGCGCCTCAAGAATTTTTATCTTACTCACCCTTGGGCCTTGCAAAATCTGTCTTGCCCACATTAAAATTAGATTTTACCGCGCCACTAGATGGTAGTGACTTTTGGAATAATCTCACAGACATTACAGGTCACGCGGAAAATGGTCTCTCTTCTTTTGCCTCAGCATCATCAATCATACCTACCACTGTCTTTTTGCGGCTATTGACACTCCACCTATCTGTAGGACCCTAACGCAATGTGCTTGCCTAGATGCAGTCTCCATTGCTACTAAGGTCTCATTTGTGGAGGCGTGTCCCCTGTGTCCATAGCACACTGCTACAAACGAGGCCTTAGACTTGTGAATCATTTGGGCTAGCTTCAATTCTCTATTGGATCTCTTAATGAGTCTAAAATAGTCTTCTTTTATTATTTATATATTAATTTAAGTAAATATACCTTCTTATAGAATGCCTCGAACACGTCTTTGCCGTGTATGAACCGGAACAGTACCATGATCTTATCCAGTAGCCGTTCCAATTCTTCCTCCGTTGCTTCTTTGTTGCCTGCTCTTAGTTTCACATCCACGAATTTTGCTGAGAAATTTACAAAAAAGTAATCATGTTAGAACTTGCAGTATTTTATCATTTTCATCATCATAATAAGATTACATTCCCCGCCTTCTGTATCCAATTACTCCAGTCATCCCATCCAAATTATCAGTCCATTGGGCAGATAGGTCTCCAGTATAAAAAAATTAAAAGTCATGCTCTCTCCCACACATTCAAACAATGATTTTATCTATCCCCTAGATTACAGCCAGTTTCCATGACGTAGCGTAGAATTTTGGCATAAACGCACTCGTAACTCCTTCGTCGTTGCGGGTGTCCATGGGCGACGCTGATTGCTTACCATCAGGTAATCCGCCTGCTCGTTTGCCGACGTATCACATTAAAAAAAACAATCTTATAATTAGTAATTACCTATGAGTTCAGCGGGTTTGTTCTGTCTCTGGTTGATGAAGTACTCGAAGGCTTCCCTCATAGAGTAGAGGAACTTGTCGTTGCGCTGGAAGCAGGTGTTGACCACATGGTCGAGCTGCTCCTTGAAGTCCAGCAGTTCAGCCACCATCGTCTTGTCACGCTCTGGCTCTATTACTATCGTACGACCTTTTTTCTGTAACAAATACAAATCGGTTAAATACAAGTTTTGCTATCGATTGTCATGTGAAAATCTCAACATTCGTCGTTACTACTAATCGCAAGCTTCAGAAATCTGAAAGCAGATCCCCTCCATCTAGAAATGGATATTCATGAGAATCAGAAACAGCTTTTTTTGTGAGGCGAAAATCATCAAATGATTTCTCCCCAACTTCAGAATTGGGCAGCAGGGAGCGTCAGAATTTTATTGACTAAAAAACCCCCTGTTCCTTTTCCTGCTCTAGGCCGAGGCCGCGGTGCCTCATTGCGCTTACCCCGCAACCCCGGCTGAACATCAGCCCTAAAGGGGTGTCTGTGGTGCCCTATAGGCTTTGGATATTTGAGGAGCGCGAAAACCCATCACTCCTTACACTCGGGTCTGATTTTGAGCAGGAGAAGAAACGGTGGTTTTTAGTCAGTAAAGTCTCACACTTCGTCTTATCTCACCTAGGGTGCTAGAAGTCATTGAATGATTTCCTCCTTCAAAAGGAACAGAAGCCAGGAGAATTAACATAGTATGTTTGACAACCTCAGAAATAACAGCCAAAAGTGTCCTTAATACCATCAATGCCAATAATTAGCTGGCCACCATAGCTTTTAAAAAGAAATTCTCCAGTCTTCGGCCAAAGAGCTAAGTAACCGGATGGCACCAACTAACCTTGATATAAGCATTGAAGTGGTTACACAGTTCCGTGAGTCCGTCCTTGACCCTGCTGAAGAGTGTGTAGAGAGTGGTGAGGTCTGCGAGCCGAGGCCCGTCCATCAAGGACTCGAGGCCTTTGCCCAGGATGCCCGTCAGGTGCTCGCTCAGCAACTGGCGCTCTATTGTGTGGATTAATTGCCATCTGAAAACAGGAAATAACATTAATATAAGAAAACTGGACCAAGTTTCTTTAGAAATCAGTATCTACTCAATGCATAGACATTACAGCACGTGAATACAGATTTTTTAACTAGATGGAAGAAATGCATTCATAAAATTAAGATCTCACAGCCCCTGCCAAAGCATTGGCACAAAATAATTAAAAAATAGGTGAATTTCCTTTTTTTTTCAATCATGGATATTCACTCACACACTACACATGCCACTTATACTTTTAAAACACAAGAAAACGTGCAGAGGCCGGTAAAGTTCATTCCGGTCCGCTCGACCGGAATGAACTTTACAGAAAAACGACCTTTTGATTTGTCGTATGTGTTACGTTACCAAAGGCCAAATCCCCCCCACCCTCAATCACGAAATCCCCAACCGCCGGAAGGCCGTCAACGCACTGGCCACTTCCCTGGTAGGATCCCTATAGAATAGAATGTTATACATCTTGAACAAAAGAGCCTTTTACTTACTTAGTGGAGGGGTCTAGGTAGTGGAGTAGCCTCTCATTCTCCTCCCGCAGTCTCTTCTCGACGTGTGCTAGGTACTGTGGTACTGCTAGCTCCCGCATCAAACGCTGTCCCTCTGCTGCGTACAGACGTTCCGTCGCTTGTAGGAACCTGACAATTACATTTAATTGTTTACATGGTACATAGAAGAAATCAAATCCTACTTCCGACTAATAATATCCTACTATCCTACTAATATTATAAATGTTAAAGTAAGTGAGAATGTATGGATGTCTGTTAGCCTTTCACACAAAAACGGCTAAACCGATTTAGTTGAAAATACGAGGTCGAAGAAGCAGGCGGAAGCTTGTAAAATGTATTTTGCTGTTAACAAGCGCAAACTACCTATTTTTAACAGACTGTAGGTACAGGGTAATTATGAAGAAATAAAATCCTTATTAAAAATAACAGCAAGAAAAAAACCAACCTAAGTCACGCGGGCATGAAATCCCGTACTTACGGATTTCATATTTGACCGCGTGACTTATCGTTGTCCTTCAAAAACCTCCAGACATTGGTTTCGTTTGTAAAGCAATAACGATTATCGATATTAAATTTGGCTTGAGGGCAGAGTGCTTAGTGTGAGCGCCACGTTAAGGCTATCGACACTTTTATGTCGTTCGGCGTCTTGATTGTTAACCAACCAATCAGAGGGCTATTTTGAGCGTATCCGTGAATAGGTTTATTTATAAATAACGTGATCTATTGAATGGTATTTTGCATCCAGAATTTAGCTTATCATTACCTTTTTACTTTCAATAGAAACGGTCTAGAGAAAAAACAAATACTCTTTCCTTTATAACTGACCGAAAACGAGGAAAAATTTAAAAATAAATAATGCTATTTTACTATCCGAAGCATTATTTCGAAGCAACATTCAACCTTATTATTACTGTTCACGAGTTCAGTTTTAATTGAATTCCACGTGCATTTACTAATCACGCGGCAATGTCGCAAGGTTGTCAATAGAATTCAGTGACGTAGCCTCGTGATCGTTCATGAATAGACCCCTATAATCCAAATACCACGTGACTTGGGAGAACAGAAAGGTATAACTAGTACAATCATTAGGGTAATTACATTAATGAATGAGAGTATCGGCTGTCTTTTCGCATGAGGCAGACTTTATAAAAATTAAGCCGCTAGTGTTCTAATGGCTAAACTATCTCGCTAATGACGGGATTTGAAAGCTTCGAGATATACCGATATACTAGTCTACTTTTCAAAATTTTACTTCATTACAATCTTCTCCTGACATTAAAAAACATAAAAGAAAGATAAGAATCAGTGAAATCCAGTAGTTCTCGAGATTTGCACTCAATAATATTAGATTTTTTTGCCCAAATGTCACCAATAGTACGGTACAAAGTGACTATTCAGATATTTTGAAACGCAGACGGGGCCCTATAAAGACCGCCACAGACGGGGACCTTTAGGGCTGAGTTTCACCCGTGGTTGCGGGGCAAGCGCAATAAGGCACCGCAGCCTCTGCCTAGAGCAGGAGAAGGAACGGGGGGTGTTTAGTCAGTGAGACTCTGACATTCCCTCTCGCCCCACCCTGGCCGGTAGAAGTCATTTAATTATTTCACACTCACAAAAAGGCTAGAGGTGTTAAAAAAATATTGTCAGTTTGATTTCGTACGACATAAATTGATGACAATAGCCGTAATAATCGTTCATCTGAGTCAACCTATTCAAAGTGTTTACTAATAATAAAATAACCCACTCATTGCGTATTCACATGCGTGAGTCTGCGTGACCGAGACAGCTCGATGATACAATTATCATAATGCGTCTATAAAATGAGAATAAACGTGACCTAATGACAAGTGTAACCCCCTTAATTCGCTGAAGGGGTAGGGCATAAGCAAACACAGCGTACAAGAGGCGATTGCGAGTGGTATGGGGATTTTCTTAAACATGCAAATCTACTTAATTGGAAATGGAAACTTTGTTCGGTAGTGGCGCTGGCGACCACTCTCACAAAGAACAAGTGACAACAACAAATATATGAAATATATTAATACAAATACATTTTACATTTATTTGAAAAAAGACCGTCGCGCGAGTCCCTTTGCCACTTGAAACCACACAGTTAAAACAATAGAGCAAGTTGTCATGCAAAAAATATTTTGTTCTTTCCTACATAAATAAAGATGAAGCACTTAGCTTAACCAACAGACAACTATACTTAGTAGTTTTTCGAATATTTAAAATAAATTGAAAAAGCTTTTGTCACATTCATCAATATCATAATATTAAACTGAAAAACTCACTTGTGTTCGAAAGCATCCTGGTATATTTGCAAGTCTGAGAGCATTCGCAGGAGACTCTTGAGCAAGGATATGTCGACGGCATCACCACCTCGTTCCCTCTCAATCAGGGTCAGTAGACCATCCACAGTCCTCGTCTGAACTAACGTGTTCATTGCTATGTGGTGTCGGAATAAGTCCAAACCCATATCCCTGAAAGAAATTAAAGTTAAGTTAAATCCTAGTAGCAGCGCGACAGTAGGCGTGTCGCGTGCCGCGGAATGCTGCTCGTGAATATGGCCTCTGGCATGGCTTGAAACTAGTCGAGTATCTCGTCAAATTATTACGTGAGAAAGCCGAAAACATAATAATGAAATTAAAGTTTTTACTTTTATGACTGGCTTTAGAATTCATAATAGGATATGCCATCATTAGTTGATAGTTCCACTGCCGAACAAATATGTTTGACAGTGGTTCGGGGATGTTAGTTAGGTCTAAAAGTTTTAGAAATAGAATTCATTTATTTGCAAAAATGTATGTTTAAAAAAGATGGATAGTTTTATAAGGTCTCAAAACATTTCACCTTACAGTATGCAAAGTATTAATTAATAATTTATTAAGTAGTGCATAATTAATAACAAAATTTGTGACAATCTCTCTATGACTGGTCAACATTTTAGCACATTTCTAGATATCTATTATTTTGAAATAATTGAATGAACAGGAGAATATCAGGAGTTCATTGAATTACTAAGCATGTTACAGGGCTAAAACTCACCATATAGAATGTATACTAGGATTTTGTAGAACATAGGTGCGGTCTAGGTACAGGAAGATACTTCTGATCATGATCATCTGGCGGCAATGGGCGCGCCAGCAGTCGTCCATGCGCTTAAGGAACACCTGCCGGTCCATGCTCTCGGACAGGAACTGCTCAATATTCGCCTTCACGTGAGCCTCCACCAAGTTCGTTAAATTCACATACAGCTGTGAGGCCATCTGGATATTTACAACAGATTTATAGATAACAATGTTCAGCATTAAAAAAAAATAAGTTTATGGTGATGATAGAGTTAAAACATCCTTTTTGAAGAAAATCATTTGCCATCTCTAGGATTATGCTGTGTCATGGGTGTGTTTATAATGATACAATTTCACATGCACAAGATCCAGACCAACAATTTGTAGATCAAATAATAGGAATCGAACCTACCCTAACCCTATTTTATATACATCATTTTACATATTATTTTATGTCCTGAGATGATAAAAAATGTTTTGTATTAAAGTCATTCATCAGAAAAAAAGCCAGATAGGCTATTAATACCTAAACATGGTTACATGTGCAAAGAAAGTATGTCACATGTGACTTGATTGTTGAGTGTGTAATATTACACACTATCTTGAGCTAACAATATGGATAAAGAAATTGGTACATGATCTTGATATTGATGAATTATAAAGATCTTTTTTTAAACATTGATTTATGTAAATAAACTGAGAGGACCTGTATGTACTTTCACATGAGAAAGTTATATTCCTAAAAAGGTTGTTTAATAATTTTCAAAAATATTATAAGGACTGTGTGCATGGTGCTGCTTACTTGCTTGCTTATTATCAATTTATAAAACAGATGCGAGGGAGCCACATAAGTGATGCAATAATCAATATTTTAGTTTTCTACTACAACTTCAAAAATATTTTGACTGATGGCCGACTAATAGATCACTCCCGGAATAACTTCATACAGTTAGTTGTTTTTGTAATTATTATGCTAACAAGAGCTTTTTATCAATATCTGATGAGAGTTATCAGTTTTCTAAAGAAATTATTTTGAAGTAATTTTAATAACATTATTGCCAGTTATTATCCTTTTCATTGTAATGACACTATACATTTCAATCTTGTCATGAAAATTAAAATAAATATTAATGAAAAAAATATTTGTTTTATTTCAAACATTGCAATATTTACATGCAATACTTATATTGTTGAAATTAAGACATTATATGATGTTGATAATATCTTGATAACTTTGTTATCATGCTCAATTGTCAATGTATGTTGGTATTGGTGCTCCAGCATTTGTTTATGGCATGGTTTATTGCCAAAAATGTCATAATAATATGTGTTACACTGTTTTTGGCAATGAACTTGAAGGAAAGTACTTATGAAGGTTGAAGTAGGTACTTTACCTTGTGACTACACATGTTCTCTACTGCCTGGTACAGCTCCTCCAGAGAGTACGCAATCGCCTTGGACGTCTGGATAGCGATCACGGCCTCCCGCAACTTGCTCCATGTTGTCTCTTGATAGTTTTCTGGAAGATTCGGCTTACCTAAAAACAACGTCCAGCCATTAGCCTCAGCAGATGTCAAATAGGTTATAATCATGACGACTTTGATAATAGCGTAAACACACTTTTGAAATTCTTTATAACCAACTTCTTCGTTGCTGCACCAGGCTTGTTCATAGATGACGATGTCATCTTAATGCTTCCATTAGAGTTTGGAGTCAACATTGAAAAATTTGATTTCTTCTCATTGGCACTCATTTCGTCGGATTTTGTTCTTTTATTATTGCACTGTTCGCTGGTCTGGATAGAACGTTTTCTACTCTGATTGATGCCACCCTCCTCGGCCAAAACTGGCGTTTTAGCTATACCCGACATAAGAAAGCATCATATGGCCGCAGCCACAACACTAAATATTACGATTAATGCTAATTAATTAGAAAATACAAATAAAAATAGATGCAATCAGTCGGTAGTTTACTAGAATCACCACCATTACGATAAGTTTCCAAATTTTATTGACAGAGGGCGCAGATATTTCATTGCTGTCAAATAAAAAGCCTTGTCAAAAAAGATGCGTTCAATTAATTGCAAAACGCCTTTAAAGATTTGTTCAAAGAAGAAAAATGAGAAAAACTAACTACTTTTTCATAAACGAATTGAAAATTTTCGATTTTATATAAATTAATTATAAGCATGCGCTCATAATTAATTAATTTATTTGTATTTATGCTAATCAAACGGTAACTGTGACGGTAATCAGTATTGCTTTTTATTCGTTGCTAAATGTTATAAGCGTCATCTAATGTAGAATATTTAGAATTAGAAACTATAGTTTTCTTTTGTTATAATAGATGGCACTGTAAGTTAAGATAATACTCCAAGAGACATGCGGTTTTATTACAAAACAAGATTTTTCTTTAGTCTAGGTCTAAACCACGGAGTAAGAACAAAGGTCTAAACCATTGAGCCAGATTTTGTATTTCAAATCAAAGGTAGTTGAGACTAAGATTCAAAATACAAAACCTGACTCAATGGCTTTAAACCTAGACTAAAGATATTATAATCTTCTTTTGTAATAGGGGGTTGAAATCTTAAATAATAAAAAGGTCCTTTTATTTTTTTGGGTTTGGCTTGGGAGGGATAGTGTTGGAGCTCCATCTCATCCACATGGTGAAACACATCAAAAGCGTTGTTTCACACTGGTAGTGGTATTGTAGGTAGGTACTTGCAGTAGCGCCACCCATGAACACCCGCAACACCAAAGGAGTTAGGCCATTTAGGGATAAAGGTTTCGAATATTTAAGTATTGGGAAGGGATGGGGGGAGGAAGAGGGATTGAGTCTCCGGTAACCTCACTCACACGGCGAAACACAACGCTGTGTTTGTTTCACGCCGATTTTCTGTAAGGCCGTGGTATCACTCCGGTCGAGCCGACCCATTTCGTGTCGAAGCTTGGCTCTCACACTAGCGTTCTATTTCAGTAAACAGTACTTTCATTTGATTGTTAAATTAGCCAAGCTAAGTTGTTTGCAAACGTATCTACGTTAGAAGCGGCGATCGACAGCCATGATCTAGTCGGAAGTCGTATTATGAAGTTTATCTAAATAGAGTTTGTAGGCTCCGCTTACGATCTATGCTCAAAACTTCAAGAAAGCTTTGAATCTCAGTGCAGGATATCGACTTTATTGGATGATTTTAAACTAGATAATAATATCTTTCTAAATGCTTAGTAATTACTTTAAAATAAATTCTTAGTTAACTAGGAATTTATCTAAAAACGTTAGATACTTAAGGATTTGGCAGGGATCACGATAATTTTAATAGAGATTGTGCTAAGCAAGATTATTCATTACAGTTTTAGGTATTCCTATAAGTTTTAGGTATTCATTTCTATAGCATCAGACTTATAGCATTAGAAATATTGTGAAACATGCACATTATAATTTTGACTTTGAACGTGGAGCCAGTTCTCGTAACACGGACTTGAACGTACGAGAGGAAAATGTGAATTTATGTATCGTCAAGCGTATGAGAGAGTAGAGTAAACCTTATTACTCTAAGAGTGTCTATAACCATATCAATCTTAAAATATAATTCAGTAGCTGAAGTAGGTGTAGATAGTGGAAACAGTCACCGAGGTTAGGATCGGCGAGCAAAGGTAGCTCGTCGCACAATCAGAACCAGGCCCGAGCGAACGGCGCGTAGCGTTCTGCGCGCGCCTGAAAGAGCCTAGGTATAGACCACCATCAGTCAGGGTCAAGGTTGCGGGGCAAACGCAAGCCGGCCTCGGACTAGAGCAGGAGAAGGTAAGGGGTGGTTTCAGTCAGAAAGAGAAAAAATGATTTGATGACTGTCCCCTCACAAAAAAGGGGTCACTCACGCGTAAAGTGTCATGTGCCAGTGTGCCTGCTTATAATTTATTGCTTCAATTTGTAGCATAGGGTTGTCAGATTTTACTATGCTGTGCTTTTCATAATTCTTTGACCGTTTTGAACCGGTTTGAGCCGATGTTATCATCAAGTAGTTTAGTGCATAGTAAAAAAAGTGTCAAATAATGCTGAAATAATCGCTCCCATAATTTTCGACTTGAAAGAATGTAGGTATCAAAACCCGAGACGCGTAAACGTTTTAATGTTACGTTGTGTAAAGGTTCTCAATCTCTGCCGTAACACCCATCAATGTTACAAGACTCACAGTTTCGTCGTGAACCTTACACCTACACGATCAAGTTTCACACCCGTTTCTCAGTACATTATGGATGAAGCTCGACATTACACTGGCCACTCCACGTCATTATAACGCCAGGAATCGTTAAAGATATAGTTACACGCTATAAATTTAACGTGAGAACGTCATTGGGACAAAAGTTTATTATTTATAATGATCAGAAAGTACTGCGTTGGACCTTGGACAAGCAGTCTGTGAGAAGACGTTAGGAGAGGATCTAGTTCATGAGTATGATTTGATATGATCGAAATGTGTCAAAGGCAGTCAAATCTGGACAGAAACCTTCAAACTACATAGGGGATTACTTGTATTTTTAATAGCTCTTGGACCTAATCTCCTTATCCTCAATCCTCAAAAACCCGCAAACTTTGAGGACTTACAATTGCACTGTAAGTCCTCAAAGTTTGCGGGTGTCCTCGTGACGCCGATTGCCTACCATCAGGTGATACATCTGCTTGTCTGCAGCCCTATGCTATCCTATCCTACTAATATTAATGTATGAATGTAGGTATGCATGTTATTCTATCACGCAAAAACTACTGGACCAATTTGGTCGAAATTTATGTTGACGTTGCTGGATTACATAGCCTGTTTTTTTCAACATAACACGCGGGCAAAGCCGCGTACGGAAGCTAGTGAAAACGTAATAGGTATCACGTAACTCTGGCTATCGTTAAAGATTCAAGGCGAGTAAATTATAAGATAACATAGCTACACAAATCTCCTAGACGTCTCATCTAAAAAACTTAGCAAAATGAAGGACAAATGACTAAGTTCAAAAGATACTTTATTGAGATTTAGATACCTGTTAGTCTCGGTACCCACAAACTAAATGATTAATGAATTTACGAGCGTCTCTGGTCGATGCGGGACACTAATCAAATTGTGATGTAAGGTCTCGCCCACTTGATTGGCCACTGACCTCTTTTGACAATCATCCTGAGCTCCTTACTACTGACAAATTCGTAGAATTTCTAATACAATTTTTTCTTAGAGTTCTTCATCCAGCGTAAAGCTCTAATTTCTAACTGGATTACAGTAAGTAGGAGTAATATTGTTTTCGTCTTTATATTCATAGGTATCTTCCGAGCTTTAGGGACTTAACAAAGGCGCGGATTACATCCTCCGCGGCTTACACCATTTAAGTCACCCTGAACGTTGACTCTGTTCTGGAGTATTTATGTCGGCTGTCTCAAGTTGGAGTTACAACCGAAGTGTAATGTAAGCGCTTCCCTAAAGTACCCATTATCCCGACACATGCCTTTATTCCCAGATAAGAGATGGTGAGAGCTGTAAAACTTGAGCGAAAACCTCAATCAGGAAATTATTCTCTTTGTTGACTACGCAAAGAGGGTCAAAACTTCAATATAATAGATTAGATATTTACAACAAACCACAAGCCCATCTGTTGATTTACATTGACGCAAAAAGTATTGGTCTTTTATAGCCGCACATCTCGAGGGTTAAAAAATAAATGTAAATACTTTTGTCCAATTAAAATGTATTGTAGTAGTGTGGTGCCAAGTCGGCGATTTGATTACACCCTCGCTGAAAGTGCAGGTCTCGTGGGCGGGGTGTAACAAGTGTCGGGCGGCCGGGACATGTGCGGCGCCCCCGCTTGCCTCCATTCACTCGCTTCATTCACTGGCTTGCCGGCATTGCGAGAGTGACGGCCGCCCGGATCGCGTCGTTTGTCCGTCGTTATAACAAAAGTGCTCGTAAGTAAATCGCGCGCGCTTCCAAATTTGAAAATGCATAGAGCGTAAATAGTGTTTCAAGTTTTACTTTTTCTTTTAAAAATGGGGGAACAAGCGTTTAACATATCGGATGAGAATTTGGAACAGCATATTGTTACTTTGTTTGAGAAATTGGAGTGTTTACGAAAGGATGCGAACTCAGGTGATGGGGGTTTGTCGGGGAGGGTACCGGCGCGGGTGGAAGTGCGGACTCTATCGTTGTGGAAGGCAGTGGTAGCAGAGTGCGCGGCCTCCTTTCTGTATGTGTTCATCGTGTGCGGGGCGGCTGGCGGCGCGGGCGTGGGAGCCTCCGCCTCAGCTGTGCTGCTCTCCACCGCGCTCGCTTCAGGCTGTGCCATCGCCACACTTACTCTCTGCTTTGCTAACATATCTGGTGAGACATCTTTTGTGTTACAGCTTTATTCAAGATCCAATACATCAAAGTAGACTAATTTCCCAAAATCAAACAAACCAATGTAAACATTCATTTTAAGTTCCACACAGCAGAGCTGGTCTCATGATAATAGATCTTTATGTTTGTACCTACCTGTGTCGGTAGCATTTTTTGCTTGTTATGCTTTGTGTTATGACGGCACGCCTGGCTTTGTTGCAGTCAATCTGTTCAAACAATAGCGCCAGTTAGGAGAACCCTTACCTTTGTAAAACTTGTAAAGGTGACATGTGACACCAATAGTTCCTGTACATTAACAGACTACTTATCAGAATTTCTTAGCGGACATGTATTCCCACACTAAATACATATGATTCGTTGTCTCGCAGTAAACATAACATTATTGTGACAGGTTTTACCTATAGATTGTCAAGGACCAGGAGCACTCGATACCGCCTATAAAATAGAACAGGTACTTCTAAAATAGATTTCAAGAAATAATAAGACAACCGCGATTACGTTACCTACTGTGGGAACTTGGAATTACAAGTTACGAGGAATCGAGGAATGCGAGCCGTAATTGGCAATGAAAATAAAAGTCGAGCGCCCACGTGTTATAATGTTATTTCAAGTTATCATTTTCAATGTTAACGCGGGACGATCGACCCTCCATTTGCATTTTTATTTGTTTTTTTTTTTAATAAGTGATTGTGCGCTTAACGCATTCCTTATAATCCTTACGGCAAATATAAAATAAGAAGTATAAAAACTCCTTGTTAACTTTGCCGTAGATGTACTACTGCTTATAATATTCTTTTTTTCTAGTAATGGAATATTATTTCAGTCCTGAAACATTTATTTTGTACGATATTGGCAGGTAGGTACTCTATTCACCTCGGGTTTTATGAACCACAAAAATATTCCAGAAGGCACTACGTAAGCCTGGATTCAGTATTGATATTCCAACATAACATAAGCTACCTGCCGTGTATAAATCTTTTTTGTACATTCAATATCATCCAGTAACTATAGCTGCTGTTTTGTTTTACGATTCATTTTGTCGGAGAATTTTAGACATGGCGTATCAACCGTAAATGGATTCCGTAGTTTCGGTTTTGTTTCTGTGTTTTTACTAGTTAGTTACATAGTTGGGGTCGAAATGGTCGGTGTCGTGTATAGGGTCCAATTAACCCTGCACCGTTTGGTAATTTATACGCGTTTGATAGCACAGGCCGTCGCGCGCTCGGATGATTTACGGACCGAGCCGCAGCGTGCAGATGTTCACAATTATCCGTCTTTTTTTTCAAAAAAGGTTCGGCGCGGCCGTGGCGGCTGCAGCGCGAAAGTCTTGAGTTTTTACCCGTCAAGTAGGTTCTTGCTGATTGTTTTTTTTTTGTAAGAAATGTTACGCTATATTTTAAATGTCTAAGCTTACTTTGTAATTAAATTTTTACTTGTGAGCGAATGACATAAAAATAAACACATAGGGCTCAAATGGATTCAGACGTTCGGTTAAACAAACAAATACAGAATGTCATAAATAATAAATTAACTGCGGAGAGACAATTTTGACGTCACTTCCCATAAAACTACACGACATTTAAGCGCGTTAGGCGGGATTATTATATCCTATCCAACACGTGCACCCTTCACCCTTTGTCCCCTCGATATAACTTTATAATGGCGATCACATGACGCGGGGACAATGACATTTTAAATTATATCAAAAATAACAATAACCCGGAGAAAGCTCTCTCGTTCACAATCAGGCGTCAATTCTTGCATCTACAATGTTCGCGGTAACCGTGATGAATTTTTAGAATACACCCTCGACCGAGTTGCCCTAATTTTCACTAATGGCTGGACAAGTGGACATCCCTATTTCGAGCGCGGACTAATGTACAGCTTCAATCGATGCATAAATTATAATGGGATTTACGTTTAAAGCTAGTGTAAGCTCAGCTTTCAACGAGTGAATGTCTGTAGTGGTATAAAGAAGGCACTATTGTCAAGATTCCTTTAAGTTCTTACTAAGTACTTGTTTGTGAGCGCTCTTTTTATTTTACTCGCCCGATGCTGAATTCATTTATCAATGTGTACTCAGGAAGTAGACTGCACGAAGTTGTATTGTCAACTGAGTTTCCTTTAAAACTTGTCCGGAGTTTTAAAGAACGATAAATAATTCGTCTTTATTGCGATCTTATAGAGCGCAGAGAGCAGTATTATAAATCAGATTTTTGTTAGAAATAACTTGGTATCATGATTCCCGAAGGAGTACGTCATAAAAGTTCTTTGTCAAAAATATTTTCTCGAAAAACTTTAACGTTAAAAAAGGTTTACGTTTATTCTGTCTGTGTTGGTATTGTAATGTGTCGTTATTTATATAAAGCAGATGTTAGGCTTTTGTTCTTTTTTGTAGGTTGTATCACGCCTGAGGCCTCACAGTTGGTGATGTTCCCTGATTCACTGAGAGCTATGTAACACAATCTGAATAATCGATAGGCGTAGTAGTTCGACTTTGCATTCGATATATCTGTGTCGCGGCGCATCGGTTAATCCACCTGTTTCCATTTTATTTTTTGCGTTCCTCTCTCCGTACACGCTTTGCTCCAGTAGGTACAGGTTTATTCATATTCCGTTTAATGTTCAAATTGATTTCGAATATTGATAGCCCCGAAGTTGTACCTCCTTAGCAGATAAAACAATGTTTCGGGCTACGCATTGTCTTGGATATTCATATTGACACATCTGGGCACGTAGTGTTAACGTTCTTGATATCGCATTTCTCTGCAGTACCCAGGGGTGGCACACCTCAAGGCTATCTACTGTATCTTAGCTATTATATTACCCGGAACGCAGGTAAACATCCGGCCAGCCATTATCGGGTAGCCACTATGGTGATTTCTCCGCCGACACCGACATGGGACCGAATATTCGGTGCGAATACTAACGTGAATGATTTTATCTCGCCACTGAATTTGTTATTCCGAACGTACGCCTCGCAGATAAGTTAGATTTTACGAAAACAATATTTTAATGTGGGAGGGAAAATTCAGGGAATAATCGTAGAGTACTTAGTCAGCATCGTAACAGCTGGCCAACGGGCCACGGGGCCGAATTCATTACGTAGGTACTTAAGGACTCTCTGATTGCATTGCTATGTAGAAATATGTTTTATGTCAATGATAAAACGGTGGGTTTCGAATGACACGTTATTTTAATACAAAGGAAATGTGAAGGTGAAAATTATGTTCGACACCAAATCAAGTCGGTGTTGAAATGTAGGTACTTTGTTTGTGTGTATTTGCTTGTTTATAAGAGAAGCACCTTCGTGATGGAGAAGAAGAAGAACAAAAGTTTTTCTTTGATCTAGTGTAGAAGTGTAGCGAAAGTTATAGTGTAGTAAATCGCCAGCTAGAACTGAAAAAACCCCTGAAGGTAATTGTGGCCCTATGAGTATAGCAGTCAAATTAACGTGTATATAACTTACTGAGCAATTAACCAGTTTAATACAGAAATGTTGTTGCTACAAACATATTTTTTGATTGTGAGCACGGTCAGTCTATCTACGCATTCACAAATTCGGTAGGTACATTTATTAATGACAGCTACAGCAGAAACACATATAAAATAAAACATGAACCACAATTCACATATGTATAATCTACCTGTAGATAAATCAACGAACTTGTAATTAAAACGAGACAGTATTATATTCGTTCACAATGTACAACAGAAAGGATTATAAATAAAAATATATTGGTAATAAAAAACACGAAAGTGCATGCAGTTGTTGCAGGTACTTTTGCATGTGTATATCCAGCTTGCATAAGGTGTTATTGCAAGTATTAAACAACAGATTAATGACAGACAGACAGGATTAATGTTTATTATTATCTTAAGTGTGGGAGTCATGCTTCGGCACGAATGTGTGATACCACGGCCTCAAAGAAAACCGGCGTGAAACAATCACAACGTTGTGTGACGCCGTGTGAGTGAGGTTACCGGAAGCCCAATCCTCCCCCCCCCATCCCTTCCCAATACATAAATATTCGAAACCTTTATCCCTAAAATTCATAACTCCTTAATCCCCAAAAGGTCGGCTACGAACTTGTAACTCCTCCGTTGTTGCAGGTGTCCATGGGCAAAGCTGATTGCTTTCCATCAGGTAATAATCCGTTTGATCACAGATATCGAGTACTTCCTGAGATTAGCACGTTCAAACAAACATATACATCTTTAGCTTTATAATATTAGTATAGATTAATTTTTAGAATTTGTTCATCCGAAACAAAACAAAGGAATGAAGTCGCTGATTAAAATGTGGTCATTGTCGCATGACACATCACACGTCACACGGTCATACTAATTCCAAAATTAATTGCTCAAAACTCGCATCAATATTAATCCTGTCGTAAAGACCCATTGTATGTCATCGTACCAAAGTACATAGGTAAGTGACAAAAATAAATAAATCACGATTTGTTTAGCTTACTTAGTTAGGTAAATAAATTGTAAAGTTTGTTCAAAAAGCTTATTGTTGTCGTGGTTCCAGACTTCAAATGTTGATCAGTTAGATCCCAACTTTATCATTCCCTTGATCCTCCGGTCCTCAAATAATACCCTCCCTCTCTCCCACAGCCATCGGTTATTAAATCCTCCTGAAAGTTTTACTGAAATAAACTAACAATAGCTTAAACGTGTCTGATGAAGTTCTATGTGGTTTTTAGTTCGGCGTTTGATATGTGAAAAGGATTCGTATAGTTTTTGCTCTTGTTCAAATAATACATCTGTATAATATTGGAATCCAAATACATAATTCATATGTAGATATATTCTTTTTTGCTTTCATATATTTCGGAGTTTCTGTGAGAACAATTTAGTATTACATACCATAGATCTGTTTTTATTGTATAATAACACAGGTACAGATTTAAATTATAAAATAAAACATTTTACTTACATACTCTTTGGTTGTTTGTTGTTCTTTGGCTAAAATCACTTTTTGTATCTTACACCTATATATTTAAACTAGCAATTCTTGTAGGTATTTAAAAATATGCATATCTATGCATATGATCTCGGAAACAACTCCAACATTTTCGATAAAATTTTGTTTGTCATCAATTAAATCAATCTAGCTAGGTAATATTTCCAGAAAATTAAAAATCAGATATTTATTTATTTTTTTATTTATTTATGTTAATACGGATTTGATCCAGTTACATTAACACAGATATAATAAAGGAAAAGAAAAAACGAAATATAAAAATATAAAAAGATGGTACGTAAATAACATCCACTTTTCGCCCGAATGCCATGTAATACGGTAGTGGCCAACTAGTCAAATTCAATACTTTTATCCAAATACTTTTCTATGATAAATATCGAAAATTTATTGTATCGAAACATCGATGAATAAAACTATACTTAGTCTTATTTTTAGGTAATTATTTTATTGTATTGTAACATCAAATTAATTTATTTTTGACTTCGGAAACTACCCAATTGTCGGTGATAATCATATATGTACTAACTAAATAAATACACATTATTGTGCAGGTGCTCACGTGAACCCAGCAGTATCGGCAGCGCTCTGCGTGCGCAGGCGCGTGTCACCGCTACGAGCTGCGTTGTACGTCGCCGCGCAGTGTGGTGGGGCCATCGCAGGCGCAGCCGCTATTTATGGGTAAGTTCTTGTCATATGCTCCCATTTTTTACCAGCTGTATACTCACCACCTGTCCCAGACAGGAAAGGAATTGATGAGCTGTGGTTTTACTACGGTAGGGGTTGGTTCTGATTTCTGTGTTCCGTCGTAGGTTAAGAAAAACTATATTAAGTAATAGATTTGTTTCGCTAAATGATTTTCATTTTTATAATTATAAGATATTTTAGTTTAAAATTAAATATGTTTTTGATATAATCGTTCACATTTGAATTGGACAATATTCTACAAGGTTGATTCTAAAATGCCACCAAGCAATATTCCTTAAATACCGGCTTAGTTTGTATAAGAATTTTTTATTGTTTGAAAACTATTTTAAGGCACTTTCAACTATTTTAAGGTACACAATAACTTCTGATACAACCTAACCACTGTCAATACGGACTAACTAGAAAAAAGATCTTATAAACATTTTAGTGCGCAAGCGATTTTATAGTGAACATTATCAAAAATGAACTAAGTAAGTACATAAAATGTTCGTACGTACTTATAATGCTATTCAGTGTTTCATATTTCAATTCAGTAAACTATTCACGATCTCTTTGTTCTGTAACAAGCCTGTAATATTTATTTCATGCGACTATAAGGCCTGTTTCCCTAGTAAAATTAATTATAAATTACCTTATTAATATTGTCGATCAGTGAGTGACAAGGGCTTATAATAATTTATCAGCGGTGTCTATTATTTATCATTGTTGTACATTATACGTATTCGTACCTATATGTTGTAGTGTGATTTGGGACATCTTATGGTTTATGGGATTCCTTAAGCGTGAATGGGCAGTGTCCGAAGTTGTTTTTTTTAAACATTTATGTATGGTCTCATTAAAGGGATGAAAAACTCAGCAGTCTTTTGTTTCTTAATCATTTTAAAATATTAGGTAATTTATTTTTATACGTTTTTAGCCTGCTGCGAATTCCACAGATAAAAAATATGTCGTACTTACTCACTCTTAAGATAAAAATATTTAAACACTATTCTCAAGTTTAAATTTTGATATCATTTTTTTATCCTTCTCAATAAATGGAATAAGACTGCGACGGATTTTCGCGAAAACTTAATAAAACCTTTACGAAAGCGTCATTAATCATAGTCAGTTTTAAATGAACATAATTGATGAAATATCATCTATCGAATTACCCATTTTATTCCATATCATTCTTTTTTAAATGTCAGAAACCATTAAGGGTGACTGAATCGATTATTCGTAATCGATTGTACACCTACATAACCGACTCGTTATCGATTATCGAGTTCAATAATTTTATGTTACGAACTGTAATTTATTCGCATTCCGTCGGGATGAATACACGAATTCCTTTGTCAATCGAGGTTTAATATTCCGTTGTATTAATTTGCGGTTTTTTATCTGTATACAAAAACAATGTAAATTTATTAATTTAAATCCATGCGGTGTAATCCAGAACATTTATCTTAAAACAATATTATTGGAGTGTGAATATTGAATAATGAGAAATGTAGTTTCTGGTTAACATTTTAATTGTTTGACCCACATTTATCGGGAATTGGTAAGAAGTATTGAATTGGTTACATAATGTTATCTGCATTAAACATTGATAATTTTTATTTAAAATTCGAATAACTAGTTTAATACCAAATTTCCAAGAAAGGGATGGCAGTTTTTAATTTTACGATTAAAAGAATTCCAATTTCGAAATTTACGCTGACAGCTCGGAGTTGAATTTGTTGCCCGATGTTTGCATGTATGTATTAAAACGACAAACTAAAAAAGCAACAAACTGACTGACAGCTTTTTACTAGACATTTGGACATCGAAGATAATCCTCAAATAAGATAAAGTAATAGGACACTATCGTATACAAGCAACATGGAGTATTAATACAAATAGAGTGACATGTTTACTTTAAAATGATATATTGATACTGGTCCTAACAGATATCGCGCTCGGTACTGTGTTTACTGTCCGACAGATAGGAATTTCAAACTGCTATAGTTGGTGCTGAATATCGTGTGACAATGAGACGTGATGGGTATACAATTACTGTATAACGCTTGTCAGGTGTCAGCCTGTATCACACTGAATTGGAGACGTTAGTTATGGTTTGTGGTAAAGAGTATGACCAATATGGAGGGTTAAAAAAGGCGGGAAGTTTTTTTTGTAAGCAATTGCAAAAAGTATTAAAATTATTTATGGTAAATGAATACGTTTGAATTGTTTGAAAAATTTGCCTATTTATGGTATCGTCGGGGTTGCGGGGCTAGCGCAATAATGTACCGCGGCTTCAGCCTAAAGCAGGAGTGGAAACGGGGGGTTTTTAGTCAGTAAGAGTCCGACACACCCTTTCGTCTAACTAGAACTAGAAATAGATGACTTTCCCCTAACAAAAAATAAAAATAAAAAATGTCATCGTCAATCACCTAAGACCACACCGGTGATGTTCTCCACCACTGGAACCATTCGCTGTGATCAAAATAGGCCAAGATACACTTAGTTAAATTTAAAAAGCTTTGTGTAAAAACACCTATTGTTCGCATACCAAGAGTTCCTTTTGCCAAAATGTTGTTACTTTGAAGGTCGTCACAGAAAGGTCGAAAATAAAGTCTCACTGCCCGAAAGTGGGGTGCGGAAAGTTTTTAACATGAGTTATTATTGTTACAAAGAAGGTTGGTAACGAACTCATTTTATTGCAAGTTCTGAGTGGAGAACTACCATTGTAAGTGAAATCAAAGAGTGCTCCAACTACTCTGTACATTTAAATTGAAAAGTTTATGTCTTCGTGTAAACACAATCTAGTACTAGATTGAGTACAGAATGTCTGGTTGCAAAAAAAAGATGTTGTAAGGTCCCTTATAAGATTTAGTTTTTTACGAAAGATATTCATTTGTGTTACCAAATTAAAAATTGGCTAAAACCCTCCTTAGTAACTTTTGGAGCTGCTTAAGTTACTAATTGAAATCTTATTGGTTATACGAAGGGTCTTGACCAGGCCATGGTGTTTTTTTTATAGTGGAACGAGTGCCCTTAAGGCTAGAACTCCTAAACATTTCTACGCAGGCACTTAAAGTGAAGTAGGTATACAAAAAATAAAGCAATCAATAAAATATACCAGGTGATAGACTCAAAAAGTCAAAGTTGCACATATTTCGTCTACAACTCAGTAAACTACAATGCGTTTATTCTGAGAAAATACATCTAACAATGTCGATTGATGCCTCCTGTCACACGAGCATTTGTCCAAAATCTATTCTCCCGTTTTGTCCCACGCAACTACACCTTCATACTGATTTATACAGCCAGATATATAACAAAGAGGTTTTATACAATAAGCACATTCGTTTTCGACCTCCTTTGAAGGAATTCCTTTGTAGATGCAACGGATTTTTACCTGAGCCCAGCAATTTGCACGGATCAATGAATTTTGATGTAAAAACTTGTGCTTTTAACTGCTTTACTTTTGGGAGTTATTTTAACTATGTTGTGAATGTTTAATTACGAGTTCCAACTGATCGTACATGGAATAATTTTCCAAGTAGCTTATTCAAAAAAAATATTTTTATCTTACTTCGTTTAATTGAATCTCAAAAAAAACACTGGACCGTTTCTAACTAAGAAGTTTTATTTTTCTTAATAAATTCAAAACTTACGCAAGAAAACTTATTTTGATACAATAGGTTATAACGAACAACTTTTTAAGTATCCGATATTCATATATCGAACGCAAATAGTTTTTTTTGTAAGTATATAAAAAGTTGGCATTGTTACCGGCCATGCTGAACTTTGGGCTTGTGAGTTATGCAAACTTCATGAATAAAACCTTTCTAGAAACATTTTCTTTTCTCATATAAGTTGTTGTGGTTGGCGGAATTGTTTTGGCTTTTCTTTACTTTCATGTTTAGTTGTTCTGTGGCTATGTGGCTTTGTTATTGTTCACAGATTGATCAAAACAAGTGGAGCATATTAAATAAATGTTCAACGTAGTTACATAGTTGTTAGTTTACCGAGTAAATAAAGTTATAACGTGTTTCGTGGCCACATTTTCAAGTTTGAAAAACTTATTCGTTTTGCACTTTTTTGGCTCGTAATGGCCACTAGTTTTTGAAGTCATATGCAACTGGCAACATCAAAAGACATTTCTTAACTGAAAAATAAAATGTATAAATTTTAATTGGTATGTACCTACTCGTCCGTAAAATAATTTAATTGCTATGTTGTAATATTAATGTTAATGTTATGGTTTGGTTGAGAACAGACAATTTTAAATAGCAAATCGTAAGAGATCACATACAGACCTTAAAACATCTTGAAGACCCTTTAGAGCGCGGTGCAGTGAACTTTAGACGGCAGATGCGTACGCGCACCGTGCACGTGCATCAGCCTGACGTCACCACACGTGCAGATACCGTTCTAACACTACCTTAAAGTAAACCTTTTCCTTCTACAATAAGGCATAATTTTAAGTAACACCTAAGAGATTTTACAAAGTTATGAATGTAACTTATATGAATCGTATGCAGTGATAATAAGGTTTATAATCGAATGATTAACACTGATTACGTGAAGTATCTTATTGGTAAGGAAGCCAGTTGTCAACTCGGGCGGTTCAGGATATTAATTAATTAAATAGATGAACATCTGACAGTTTTTTTTGTTTTTTTTTTAATATAGTAAAGAGATCTAAGTCGTTGCTCTATAGTAATATATAATAAATATTAATTACACGGTATATAGATATGTACGAATATTAATTATGATAATTAATTACTAATTATGAAATATTAATTAGCTTTGTTAACTGATGGATGATATTTTAAAGCAGTTTCATAATGTTATGCAAACAAATTGCGGTATCGTATAATTTAGGTAATGTTAAATATTATAATTTGTATAATGAAATAGTTATTACCTACATAAATATGTAATTACGTTTTGATTCGTTTATTGATCTTAAAAAACAAACATTCGGCTAATTTCCTCAACCA